ACTGTTATCGTCGGCGTCGTAGTCAATTTTTGATTGATTGATATCGGAGCGCTTCAGTATGGATATAAAGCTTTTCCGACGAAAAACGTTTTCAGGGATAAACAGAGTGTACGATAGCGATTGATTCTTATAGGCAAATAGCGCAAACTGTTAGGCCAAACAAGAATAGCTCACTAAAGGAACCAACACATATATCGCTCTTCCCTTTATCGAGCAAGAGGGCTCATAACCTTTTGGTGTGTGGTGAATGGTTGATTGGTTTATGGCCTATCGGCTGAGCTAACTATATAAACTACCGGGCAGAAAGCGAGGGCGGTCAGACACGTGACCCGATGGGTACTAACAGCCCCGATTGAGGATTGGACGGAACGGCCCCGTACTCTCACATATATACTAAAACACCCACATCTAAGAGCTGAGATCATCCCCTTTGGACTGCCCAATAGAGACATTCTTGCTACTCAGATTATCACTCCTCAAAGAACAGCACTGCTGTGGTTGTCCCTCAGAAACTCGCGAACGTCATGCGGCAACGCTTGCTGACAATAACCACCTGGATTTCCTTAATGCATAATTCAATTTAGGATAAGATCGGTGAAATCCATATGTCAATCAAGCACAGCCCGCTCGTCTCTCTGGAGGACAAGAATTCTTGGCCAGCTGGGGAGCATGTCACAACAGAGTCTAATTCAATCATCTAGAGGTCAGAAATCGTCTTCGCGAACCTACAAAATACTCTCGACCCTTACGAATATTGCGCGATTCACTTCGAGCCGGATGCATTTCAAGAATACCGTGTCCCAGCTCGGACTGAACCGACATAATGCAATGATGGCATTCAAGGCTTCCATACCCCCAGCGGCCTGGTATGTTTATCACAATTATGGGTAGATCTTCTCCAGGTCAATATCTACCTGGCTCCAATCATATCTACTTGTGCTTTACCAGCACCCCCGCTGGCAAAACTGGTTGAGTACAACCTGGAACTCGCCTTCGCATTCGTGTTGATGTACTGCCGGGTGTTACTCGCAGGCTGGTGTGGTTTGCAGGCATGGAAGCACACTCTGGGGCATTTGGGGGCATTTGGCGACACGGGGTCCTACAGCTCCTCCGGAGAAGCTGCTGTTGCTATCTTTTTGATGTTTTGGATCTGGTGCGTTTTCACGCTGAAGTCCGCCGCTCCTAATTGAAGTCTTCAATGCACCTTAGTAGGTATTCTTGCAGCCTCAACGTTACCCGTTGTTGCCAGCGTTTCAACTATGAGAGAAGTTGTCGATGAGGCTGGCAACACATTTGGGGCTTTTATCATATGACAGGACAGGCAGTTGGCTTCGTGGATGCCCTTCTTGTCCTTCCAAGGATATGCGAGGCTGTCTTGAGGAGCTGGTGGTCGTTTTGCGGGCCTATAAAAGATGCCTGGCCGTCTACAACTGCGATGGAGGTTTTGCAAATCAAGAGAACGAAGTGAAGTCCTCTATCGGTCATCTTCAAGATGCTTTACAAGATATCATTAACCACGCCGTCAGAACGCGCGAAGGCGTAGGATATGCTGTTTGTGGGGTATCTTGGGGAAGTCATGATCATACAGTCTCGGTGGCAGAGATGCTTTAGATGGCAATCCACCATCCTTACGACTCCCCTGAATAAGCTTTCCAAGGTGAGGAAGATTGGCACTTTCTTGAGGATCCAACGTATAAACATTCTTTAATTCTTATCGATGCAATCATCGAAGGTGTACAGTATGGCAAAATTCGCATCGAATTGACTGCGGGCCTTTTTCCTCACTTGGGAACGCAATTCAGGACGGCTAACGAAGAGAGCCAACCAAGTATCACCAGAAGCTCCTGGTAATACAAATTTCCTCGCTGTATACCAACACAACATATGTCACCGTGAGGGAGAGAAAGATTTTAAGAGACGTTATTTTGGACGAGGCATCATGAGTGCTAAGTGACAAGATGGAACGAGACCTGAAGCGGCGTTCGATCAAAAGCAACATGACACAGCACAGGCTATCATCGCCGCGACTGCGGCAGTGCTGAGTATGTAGCCATGGGTTTGGAGGTACCGAGGGGCTTGACTAGTTGGGAACACTATTTGCTGCACCGGTGTTTCAATAGTACTTAAGATAGAATAGTAAGTATCACGATATTCATTTGCCATGCGGGCTATGGCAATATCCTGTTCGCGCTCTGTCATCCACCAGGGCTTGGGCGACTTCGGCTCGTCTTCGTCGGTCAATGAAATAATTTCCTTTGGCTCTTCATGGATATACTCACCAGGACAGCAAAGGAAACCAAACAACGCGATCGGGATTCCAAGAATAAAACTAAGAATAAATAGCCAGCGCCAAGATTCAAGGCCAAGTCTACCATTCATGTTCCGGTGTCTGCCAAACAGTCAACACATCGTTCTGCATTATTAAGAAACGGTAGCCCGTACAGTGCTGTTTGGATATATCCGGAAAACATACTGGCTCCGATCGAGGAGAAAGCCAACAGAGTCAAACGGCGGCTGATCTCTGATTTGCGATACCAGCTTCCGATCTAGGGATGCTTAGCCCATAGGAACTGCATAGCCCAAGATTTTTATTCACCATGTAAAATGCACCCGGCATTGCACCCGATTCGAAGATTCCAGCAAAGAATCTGAAAGAATTCGATCAATCATTTGGCCAAAGGGGAAGCGGAAAGAAGTTACCGTAATATGTATATTGTTTTAGAATCTCCGGTTTTGTATATAAACAGAACGATGAAAGACCATGCAATTGTGCATGAAGGCAACCAATATCGAGGCCTTATCACCGTCAGGGCCCCAGTAAAGAAAGGGCCGCCCAGAATGATCCCAATATTGAAATATGTGGTGAACCAGCTTAGTTCGTTGTCAACTGATGAATGTCAGTATATATCATTAGTATGTAACAGCACAGTTTGTAGTCCGAGATCCTCTTTCATGCCGGAGACATAGGCGTTGTTCACGTTTTTTTGGTCCTGTTATTGTACGTGAGCGCAGTACAAACCAAAGCAAATCAGAAATGCTTGCCAGATATTTGATCCAGAATGTCTAAATGCCGAGGAAGTCAGTAGTGAGAAATCACTACTCTGTCAAAAACTTACTAAAAATCCGTAAATGAGAATGAAAATGTCCAACTTGAATATTAGACGTTTCTCCTCCTTAGATACGCCGAGCTCATGCCAATTGAACCAACGATTATTTTTGATACTTGCCCTCTGCATGCCCCAAAATTCTGCACCTAACCAGCACGAAGGCATTTCAATTCCTTTGGTATCGAAAGAGCAACCAGGAAGGACAATTACGCAGGGGGAAAAGTAAAATCACTTGGAATATATGTAGTGACAAGAACCTTATGGAAGACGCAAAGCCGATGTTTCCGAGACCTCATATTTAGGTTTTATTTCAGCGCACTGGCTTTTATTTAAAACAGTCTCAATTTCAAACGCATGGCATTTGAGATGGCACTGGAATATGGTTTCATATCTTTACTGAGGATAACTTCCTGGACTGCTTCTTATGGACCATTGTATGAGGCTCGTTGTTGCTTCCCATTGGACTTACTTTCTCTTCGCCCCCAAAAGGTGGTAAGGCCTTTTCTGGAGTTTCCCTTATTCGATTACGGTATTTTCCTATTATTTCTTTGCTCTATGGGACGTGATAGTGTGCCATTGACCGGATCCAAATGGCACAAACCAAGAATGACAGTACATTTGACTGTAGCCCAAGCCTCTAATTAAACACGCGGTTCGGATACTTGATCACTTGCACTCCAAAAAGTGGAAAAGAGGGTCTTTTAGAAACCCCATAAATTCTACGAAACCCCCCCTCCCCCCCCCCCGGCCCTTCTCAGTCAAATCAAAAGGGGGATGGTTAGTTTCTGCTATAGAACTAGGGCGGCAAACCACGTCCACGCTTGTAGTATCGGTTGATGGGACATCTTGCGGCTTCCTGTTTCTGCACTTGACCAATCTCAGAGAAGGCGGAACCCAGTCTTCTGATAGCAAATCACTGGCAAATTATTTGGAGTTCCAAATCGGACTTGTTAGCCCACAGAGGTTTCTACCATAGATTTTCTCATGGCCATTGTTAATGACGTATGTATGTTCCAGTAATTATGTTATTTTTCGGTGTTTCCGGCACCGAGTCTCCGAGTTCCCGAGTTTCCGATTTGAGACCGTCGCTCCCTCGTTTTCCATTTCCTTGTGAGAAAATAGTCGTCAACTCAGCATGGAGGGGACTCGAAGGTCTCTCGCCGATGACATGTCAGGCCGGCCGCTATACACTCGGACTCGCAAACCTGGTCGAAGGTCTTGCCTTGATTGTCATAGCCGTAAGGTCCGCTGCGACCGAGAAATACCGTGCAGGAACTGCTCCAGACACGGCTTTTCCTGTATATATCCGACTAGAGACAACGACAAGCGACAGGAGCTCACACTCCAGCGCGTCTCTGACCGCTTGGAACGATTGGAGACACTTGTGTCTCGTTTTCCAGAGGATCGAACAGCGGAAGCAGTGCGCAATGACCCTGAAGCCCAAGTTGAGTCAGGTGGAAATCTGGCTTCAAACCCTCATCGATCACGTTCATGGGAGGTACTATTGGGTGATGGGCAGAGTGCCCAGTATGTGAACAATTCGAATATCAAAGACCTTCTCGAAAATGTGAGTCATCAATTGTTCTCTATGAATAGCTGCTGATGAGTACTGTTCCCAGGGGGGTCGAACAAATTTACCCCGATACCCCGAGTCTATAATGAATCCTTTGTACCTGCAACAAACTGCAGGTGTTCATTGCTCTATCCCATTTTCCAGTCTCCCTTCAGACACCGCTGCCGGCCTCTTACGATTCTATCCTGACCCACATCTAGCACTCCAGCTATGGTCAGTATATGTCAGGGCAGTTGATCCGGTAGTAAAAATTTTGCACATACCGACCACTCAATCTGCCGTTATAGCGACGATTCTAGCTCCAAGTTCATCAGGAGCACCAATGGTTGCGTTGACATTTGCGATATATTTTGCTGCGGTCACCGCTTTGGGCCACTTCGAGGAGCCCATAGAACTGCCTTCAGAGAGGCCAGCACTTTTAAGTGGTTACAAAACTGCTTTGGATCAACTCCTTGTGGTGACGGACCTCATGCGTCGGCCCGATATCACGTCACTACAGGCTCTCGCAATCTATGTGGTATGTACTTCTTGCAGTCTGCTTACAGAAATTCAATCTCACCATGCGCATATAGACCTGTTTACGAGTCCACGAAGCTAGTCGTAGCGTTTGGGTTCTTAACGGGCTGGCGATCCGGTTAGCTCAGTCTATGGGCCTACACCGAGATGGCTTTCTTCTACATCTGGGGCCATTTGATACAGAATTGCGTCTTCGTCTCTGGTGGCATCTCTGCGTGCTTGATTCTCGTGCCCCAGAGGACCATGGCTTCGAGCTCACCGTCGATGTCCTCAATCGGGGCCTAAGACTACCCTTGAACATTGATGACGACCAGATATATCCGAATATGGTACAACTTCCAAAGGAATCCCAGCGTTGGACAGAAATGTCTTTCTTCTTAGTCCAAATTGAATCATGTAGGTTATTGCATCCCGTTCTTGGGACTTGGGAGCAATGTTCCACGGCCCCTCTCCGAGAACTTGCAACTAAAAGACGGTTGATACGCGGACGAACTCAACACGTTTTAAATAAATTTGACATTGCCGTCGAGTCTTCGCCTCCTCTAGCTCGCATCGCAATGCAACATTTCTCAACTGCACGCATGAAAATGGAGTTTATCCTTCAACTGCGAGAAGAAATCGAAGAGCAAGCACACCAACAAGCGGATACGCCCAAGTCGTCTTTCAAGTTGGCATGTGATGGGCTGGACAGCAGTTATCAGTTACTGAAAGGATCTGTCTCTGCACAATACAAATGGATTTTCAAGACGTACACCCCGTGGTATGCCCTCGCTTATGTGCTACGCTGCCTTTCAAACAAACCCTGGGGTCCGGGGGCTGAACAGGCCTGGGCTTTAGTTGATGAAGTGTTCCCCGACGATTTCGGACTTGATTATCCCGCTCAGGGTAGATTAAGTGGACCGGGAAGGGATAGTATTTGGGGATGTCTTTCCTTGCTCCGACGCCAAGCCATGTCATTGCGAGATGGTCGATCGTCAAACGACGATTCTGCTCGACTCTCGCACGAGTCTAACGACCCCCATATCTCACATCCAACCGAGTTCATTACGGGCACGGAGAATCCACCAATACAAAGAGCATCATACCGAGAATTTTCAGACTCTGAGACGGCCGAGTATGGACCGTTCGCTGACTCAGGCCAAAACATACATTTTCCTTTGGGGTTCCCAATACCAGAAATGTCGTTCCTGCCGGAGTGGAATGCTGTTATTAACGGTTCTCTGAACATCTGTCATGACTCCTAATTTGTGCCGGGAATATGTCAGTTTATAGTTCTCCAAAAAATTAAGCACGGTATAAGAAAAGCGGCTTACCCGGAAGTGTTAGAGTCCAGATAATAGTACTCGTGGGCTTGCCGCTATAAATATCAAATCAGGTTCGGTGGAGTATATTCTCCTGTATTCAGTTGATGCCTATATTAAAGACCTGGCAGGCTTCCTCCTGTTGTCCGGCATCATATACTGTAATGCAACGGCAGAATGTCATTGATAAAGTGTAAATTAGATAAGCTGTGGAGGCCCACAACGCGGAAGGGAGCCAAAGAACTGATAAGGCTGATAGCTGGGGGCACCAAACCGCAACCCGCCTGGGTGACTTAGTGAAGGGAATAGTTATATTATTTGCATCAAGTGACAAACTGGGCACCTTGCTTGCTTGCAACATCAATCCCAGAGCTCGTACCAGAAGACGCATGCACTAGGCCCATTGGTACCTCTCAGCCAGACGAAGAATTTCCTCCAGGAACGTCGAAGGAGGGCATCGCGAAGCGGAATCCAAAGCCCTGATCAAACGTTTTTGCAATGTTTGCGGAACAAGAACGATGTGGCTAGCGACGATTGGCATATATAATTGATTTCGGAGCCACTCGGTGGTTGACATCGCTCAGTAATGGATTTCGTTAGTAGGATGCGTGCAATTCGGACCCTCGGCGCCGAAAGGCCGACCAAACCATATAAGATTATATAAAGACTGTAAGGGCCCCAACCTTTCTCTGAGTCATTTGAAAGACCAGTCTGATAACGCCCTCTTACAATCCATTGAAGATGCCCGAATCAATCCCGCGTGCACAACTGCAGGATAACGAAGACCCCTGCGAACCAGATCCAACACCAAATGGTGCCGATATTTCGAAAGAAGGGGGGTATGACTGGGTATGCGTAGCAGGTACCTTCCTGTTGAATGCTCATACATGGGGCATTAATAGTGTAAGAACAACCCCACTACTCATCTGTCCGCACGAGAGCTGATTGGTAAAAGGCTTATGGCGTGTTCCTCTCTTTCTATCTCTCCAGCAACATATTCCCTGGTACTACAGCTCTTGAGTATGCATTCATTGGTGGTTTAAGTATTTCCTGCGCCATGCTGGTATCTCCTATTGCAACATATATCAGCCAGAAAGTCTCTACCCGCCTTGTCTTAAATATCGGCACAACACTGGAAACACTGTCTCTGATCACAACATCATTTGTCTCAAAAAATTGGCAGTTATTCCTCTCCCAAGGAGCATGCTTTGGGTTTGGTATGGGTTTCTGCTTCATTGGATCTGTTGGGATTGTGTCTCAATGGTTTGACAGAAGGCGAAGCTTGGTCAATGGTATTGTGGCCTCAGGTGTGACGGCCTGGTCACGTGGGTTGACTATCACGTGTAGCGATGTTGTTTGCTTTGTTGTTGATAGCAGCATTTCCTCCTTTCCCCCTTTTCTTCTTTCCTCATGTTGATAATTCTCGTCGATAGCTACCTAGGTAGAACACATGAGTTGATGTTCCGTTACTCTAGCTGAGCTCCGTGACATCAGGCTCTGGTGTTGGAGGGCTTGTTTATTCGCTTGCAACGGGGAAAATGATTCTTAGCTTGGGCTTTCCATGGGCAGTGCGTGTTACCGGAATTCTGTGCTTCTCAGTGAATATCATCTCAGGAAACCTCCTCCGACAACGTTCTAAGCCCAGTAAAAAAGGCGCTGTTTTTCATCTATCACTTCTTATGCGACTGGAATACATTTTGTTTCTGGAATGGGGATTTCTAAGTGCAATGGGCTATTTTGCCTTGTTCAGTATGTCAAGTTATACTGTTGCCATTGGACACACGCAGAGCCAGGGAAGTCTTGCAAGCGCGCTGCTGAACCTGGGACAAGCAATTGGTCGTGCATTAATAGGTCTGCTCAGTGATCACTTTGGCCGTGTTGCAGTGCCCTTTGTTGCCACCTTCCTCACAGGCCTATTTTCACTGGTGATTTGGATTTTTGCAAAATCTCTGGGAGTGATTCATTTCTTCTCTATGATAACAGGTCTCTTTGCAGGAACATTATGGGCTGCGGCAGCTCCTATGGGCACTGAGGTTGTTGGCCTACCAGATCTCCCAAGTGCGTTGGGGATTCTATGGCTTGTGCTTACTCCTCCAACAGCAGTGGCCGAAGCCATTGCTGTCCAGCTTCGGGGTAGTCAAGCAGACAATCGACCTTATCTTCGGGTACAGATCTTCATAGGAATTATTTATATCGGTGCGGCTTTGTGTTTGGTCCCGATGCGGATACTCTTGAACCGGAAAAGGACAGGTTCGAAAACAGGATGAGGCAATTGCAATGTTCATGAGATAGTCGAGTATATATACAATATATCAGCAAAGACACAGGCAGTATATGCCAAAATAGATCCTGCAACCGATTGAGTCCTTTTCTTTTTTCTGTTTTATTTTTTCTTTTTTTGAGGGGATGTGGATGCCGAGAAGTCGAGAGGATCGATGGTGCGGCTCGAACTCAAGCGTAGCGTTCGGGTGACGGGGAATGGTGGATCACGAAAAAAAGAATTATGCTCCAGCGAATCAATTCTATACTGATGTGGACCCGTCCGTTGAAGCATATCTCGCCAAATAGTTGATGATAATAAAGTGTTAGTGTGGAAGCATTCGTAGGGCTATCGATCTTGGGGCATCAAGACGGTGATTGATTCCAGGCTCGAACATGTCCAAATGCGAAACACATTCTTCTTTGACTCGCTCTGGGAACACATTGATGAAGCAATTAGCGGGCCAAATTCACTGAACCCCAGGCAGTTTCGATCTGCCAGTCGAATGTCCCGCCCTGGGACCAGGCTTTTCCGCTTCCGAGGAGGCATGGAAGGACCGTCCCCGACGTTAAATAGATAGATACGTACATATTTATACAGGATAATGTCTGACACGTCTTTGGCTTTCTCTTTCTGCTTAGGTGCGCTCCGGGAGAAATCTCAAGTCTTGAAAGTAGGAGGAAATATTATCACATGTCACTAGCCATTAGATCAATTCAGTAGCTTTCCTCCCCGAATAGTAGACTTGAATTCGTGGCCGAGCTCGTAAAAAATCGGAATTCCAGTTGGTATCTCCTTCTCCAACATCTCCTTGTCACTGAGGTTATCCAATAATTTAATGAGTGCGCGTAGTGAATTTCCATGGGCAACGATGAGTACCGTCTGACCACTTTTCAAATCCGGTACAATGTCAGATAGCCAATAGGGCCCCATTCGTTCCATCACATCGCGAAGGCATTCTGTTTCGGGAATGACATATGATCCGTTCACATAGTAGCGTGGCTCAAGCGGTCGTGTGTCAAAATCGTCTTGAATGGCTGGAGGTGACACGTCGTACGATCGCCGCCAGAGTCTGACCTGCTCAGCACCGAACGTATCTGCTGCGTTGTCTTTGTTTTCGCCCTGTAGTCTCCCGTAATGCCGCTCATTGAGACACCAGCTACGTTTGACGGGAATCCAGTGCCGATCAGCAACATCAAGAGCAATGCTCGCAGTATTGATGGCGCGGCGCAAAAACGAGGTGTGGAGGACCTCTGGCAAAATCCCCGACTCAGCTAAGCATAAACCGGCATTCCGGGCTTCTTGAAGCCCTTTGTTCGACAATGGAACGTCGACCCATCCAGTAAACAGATTGGATGCATTCCAGGTACTCTGGCCGTGCCGAAGAAGAATGAGTTTGAATGTCATGCTTTCAAAATATGATATTTCATGCTTCGAAGTCCGTTTGGTTGAAGAAGTTCCGCAGAAATTCGAGCTAGAGCATTGGAAATGGTCTCTTCTCATTATATATCCAATTGAGACTTTCCAAACGAATGATCTGGATGTCACCGGAGGATTGTCAGTCGAACGCCACTTGACAAGGATGGTAAGCACCTCATTCGTGTCGCCGACTAAAACTAGCCTCGGCCTGGTCTCCGAAATCCGAGAACGCGGCTTTTTTCGAATACTCGGATATTGAGGAATTCGGCCCCGAGTGTCACGGTAGTGCTGCCCGGCTATCCATTTGTCCCAATGCAATCGATAATCCCAATAATTGACTTGGGGGGTTTTTGCAGGCAAAGCCTTTTCCGGTCACACTGCACTTCGTCATGCTGCGCTGTTGCGCTGTTGCGCTCTTGAGCTGGTTTGGATCAGGCGTAATGACCTTGAATCTGGCTTCTCGGCTGCCACCTAAGTCTTGTGCCTGGAGTTTCTTTGGCTTTGGCTTCCGAAACGCTCGCAAAACGAATTCTTTTTGGATCTCGGCCCCGAAGGTCCGGTGTCTGCCGTGCTTGTAAGGATGGTATGGTTGCGGTAGCCTTTTCTCCAGCGGCCGAGAGATACTTCGGTGTTTTGGGTCCAGGGCCGAGCGTCGCATGAAACCTTACTGACTAGTGAACCCCTATGGACCTACGGCTGTTCTTCAGCATCAGAGCCTGTGCAAGACGACTCAAAACTCAAGACTGCTTTTGTATTCCGACAAATACTGTGCGGGACCATGGCAAGAAACATGTCAACACCAGCTTCCACCAGCACGTCTGCGGATACTACGAGGCTCGTGCAGTTCAAGTCGGTCTTGGTACAGCTGACTTTGGACTGGGACACTCTGGAAATGGCCATCAAGGCAGCAATCGCGCCTGCCGCGCTCGTGTGTATGATTGAAGTGGACGCATATATCAATTATTTCACCACAAATGCTTACTTGGCTGCGATCATGGCGGCGTCTGCGCTGCCGTCTCTACCGCAGGCAAAGCTTATCGAGTACAACCTCCAACTCGCATTTGCCACGGTCGTGACATACTGCTGGGCATTGCTTGCCGGCTGGTCTTCACTGCAGGCCAGGAAACACACTACATATAGCAGTGGGGAGCTGGCAGCCTACAACTCCTCAGCTGAAGCCGTGGTCGCCATTTTCCTGATATTTATCATCTGGTGTGTGTTTACCCTAAAGTCTGCCTATCCTTCTTGGAACCTCCAATGCACCTTGGCTGGCATCTATGCTGTTGCGGCAATGCCTGCTGTTGCTCAAGTTACTACTATAACGCAAGTCATTGCTAGTACCACCAAAGTCTTGGAGGCTTTTCTGGCAGGGCAGGCCGCCGGCTTCATCACTGGCCTTGTCATATTCCCGACGAGTTGCAGAGGGGTATTCAAAAGGGACGTAAAGGCCGTTCTTGATGCGTTGGCCGCTATTATGCGGGCTCAAGGAAAATGCATGGACGATTTTAGGTCAAACGAGATATCTGCAGAAGGCGAAGCAGAAAGGAGCTCATCTGTCCGTCAACTTGAAGAGGCTCAGCAACGGTTCATAAATTCCATTGTTAAGGCTCGTAAAGACGTCAAGTACGCAGAGCGTGAGGTATCTTGGGATCGTCTTGTTGGCTCAGACCTGGAGTATATTGCCTCGTTGTTGGTCGACCTAATTCCACCTGCGTCCGGTTTAAGCTCCACAGCACACATGCTGCAGCTGGCTGCAGAAGGCTGCCATTCGCACAATGGTGCCAATGCGACAAATGGCCGTGATGCGGGAAATGACACCTCGGATGACGAGAAAGACTGGCATGACCTTGAAGTAGCAATGCATCAGCATTCACTCAGGATATCCGAGGCAATCATGGACGGGGCAGAGCACGGCAAACTCAGATTGGATCGGACCCTGGGCTGTTCTTTGCTTGGCAGGGTTCGTGCGAAAGAGACTGACGAAGAGCGCCGGGGGAGCTCCATGATTCCGGGAACAGCCAGCTTTCTCAGCTCTTACCGTGACGTCTTCTCCAGCTCTAGTGTTCCGGATCAGCAGGACCACGGCGCTAGAGAAGAGCAGCTGCTCTACAATTACATACGGAACAGACCACAAGTTGAATATTGGGATCACGCCGCGCCTGAGGCGTATTCCAATACCCTGCGCTATTTCCTGTTACTCCATGTATGCATCCAAGATTTACACTGCTATCAATCTAGTCAGCAACTAATTATTACAGTTTCAAACCCTGCTTTCGTCTCTTGGAAACGAACTACTCCAACTCCTGGTTTTCCTCGAGGAATGCAATACGAAACCCAAGCGCCTACGCCTTCCTCGTGCAAGTAGCCTTGTTCGCTTCATCCTCTGGCCCAAAACAATGGTCCGCCCACAATTGTGCCGGCAAGAGAGTGCCGACGCTGAAGCGGATGTTAAACTTGGCCCTGCATTCTATAATCAAAGGGACCCTGACCATCTCCCACCTGTCAACCTGGTTCAGTCTGTTGGAGACAGGATTCGCAAAATCAGCTCCGCCCTGCGCACCGATCATGCTGCCTATGGTCTTCGAGGCGTCTGTGCCATAATGACCATCGCTATCATCTCCTTCCTCCATGACTCGCAGACCTTCTACTTCGAACACCAATTTCTCTGGGCCATGTTTGCCATTTTACTCTCCATGGGCCGCACTGCTGGATCGTCGACCTTTCTTTTATTGTGCCGCATACTGGGGACAATCCTTTCCATGATAGCCTGCTACCTCATCTGGTACATTCCCGATCAAAAAACCCCGGGGATTCTGGTTTTCCTCTGGCTTTGGTTCACCGTCATTGGCTACTTCTGTAAGTACTGCAAAGCCCTTCCCGTATCATTGCCTTGAGAGTAAGAACTAAGTCATACTTTCTTTCTGCTAGTTGTTCGGTTCCCAGGTTTTTCCAGTATATGGTTCGTAGCCCTCATAGCCGCAATCGTTATGATAGCCAGTGAGCTTCAAGATCGCCAACTGGGGCAAGAAACCGTCTCAAAAGCCGGACTTGTGGTCTACGCGCCATATATAATCTTCCCCTACCGACTTGCTGTCGTAACTATTGGTGTCCTTATTGGGTACTTCTGGACAATTATCCCATATCCACTGTCCGAACACTATGAGCTCCGCCAGGACGTTGCAAAGTCCATGTACATGCTCGCCAACTTCTACACGTGCATCCGCCAAATAATCTTTGCCCGTATTCACGGCACTGCCGGCAATCCCAGTGATAAGGCCAGCCCTGGCTTCCACCTGCAAGGGGCTCGCCGCTGTGTCTTCCACCAATACCAGACACTGGTGAGCAGCGGCAAGAAGTACTTCCAGTTCCTAGATTGGGAATTTGCTCTCGGCGGAAGCTTCCCCAAGCGAGTTTACGGCGAGATTCTTCTCATAATAGAGCGTTTGGGCGGCTACATGACTTTAACAGGGTATGCGTCTCGCTCACTTAACCGCTCTCCTGGCCCGTCTCCCTGGTGGACTGCCGACCAGACCGGAACAGTCGAGAGCTGTGTCGCTCTGGATGGCATCGCTACCAGGCTGATCATCCTACATTCTGCATTGGTTGGCAGCCACGCCTTGCCACCGCAGCTTAGGAAGTTTGAAATCCCGGACCTGAGGGACTTCCTGCGCAAGGAGATACCCTCTGACGAAGGATTTGCCGCGGCAGCCCTTATTCGCAGCGTCAACTGGTATATGACTCGGGATCTAAATCGGCTCACGCAGTAAGTAACCGGCCTGGCTTTAATATGTCTCAGACCATATACTGATAATGAGGTCCTCCGTGCAGGCTGGTGGAGGAGCTCGTAGGGGAGCTTGACTTTTCCGTTACTGTTGACCCGGAGACATTAACATCTTCAAATGCCGGTTGATATGGCGGACTTGCTTACTATGACATTAGGCTTCTTCATTCTAGATCAGCGCAAAAATTCAACTTTGAAGAAGCCGTCTGGCCATGGTGACCACGCTCGACACTACACCGTGCAAGTCTCTCCGATGCTGTGTTACACCAAAAATTGCACTATAGGTTCAAAGGACGTTAGATGAAAATAGAGTTTCACTCTGGACACGAAGTCTCATTCCCGCAACGGACTATAATTTCTTTGTCTTATTTTACATGCATGGCTAGGAGTGATGATGCATTTTTGCTTTATATGAAACAGTTCTTGAGCATTTTATTTATACTCTATTCATACCATGAAAACCAGTACGCACACAAACATCCATATATTCTCCTTGACTCAATATCTCCTCAAACTTCCCTAGTAGTATAGTCCCTTGTAATTGAATTTCGACTAGTTATCATATTTACAAAGTATCAATCACAAATCCATCTGGCATCTTTGGCCGCTTCCGAACCCTCCCCAAGCGTCCCTGCGTGCTACTCTCTTTAGTTGGCATTTCTGGGAGTGGAAGCCCATTATCTTCATCATCTATATCCTGTGTATGCTCACTTCGGGGCCGCTTTCGTTGTGCTTGCTTGCTTTGATTTGTAGCTTGCAAGGAAGTAAGTTCATCCTCTAACACTTTGTCTGGGCCACTCTTCTCTTCATCCTCGTCCTCTTGATTACCCTCCTCATCATCACTAATAGGCTCGAGGTTTTCAAGTGAAGGAACAGGCTTCCGTGCTTGTTCAAGGATAACAGCCTCACCAGGAGAGAGATACTCCTTGACTAAGTCCAGTAAGCTTTGTTCAAGCTCGAATTTGGATGAGAATAGGTGGAGCATAAGGTCTCTGGTTGTTTCAGGCTTTAGATTACCACGACGATAGTGACAGACATCCCGAGCACAGTTAAAGAGCCGCTTAACACCAGCACCACTAGCTGAGATTGAAAGGATATCCCGCGCTAATCGTGCAAGTACTGGAAATTCATGCTCATGATCTTTCCAGTAAACCCGAGGGTTACCTTTTTTAGGGCCTATTATAGTGGTTAACTTATGAGACCTAGAAGTATGCAGGAAATACTAACCCTTTGCTAGATAACACGAGATTTCATCCTGATTTTGTTCGGCTTCGCTTTGAAGGTTCTGTGAGTCACATAGCATTGCAAGCTCCTCTTCATCACCTGTAGGTGTCTTAGACGCTTCAGGCCCTTGATCAATCTGTAGCCTTGTTTCCTGGATAGCTTGCTGTTTATACCGTGAGTACTCCTTTTGCAGAACTCCCAGGTACTGCCTCATAAAGTCAGCATCTTCAGCCCTCCAGTCTTTATTGTTAAAGTATCGGAGCTTCTTTGATGGGTAAAGAATCGTTGCTATTGCATAGATTATACCATACGGTTCGTTGTCAGTTGCAGTATAGTACTTTCCTAGCTTTTCCTTCGCAGCTGTGAGTGCCTGAAGCATTCTTTTTTTCCAGGGAACAGCCTTTCGTTTTAGTTTCTCTTCAGCGTCGTCGAGGTGGTTAAAGAGACGGTTATAGATGCTGAAAACATGATGAACTGTAACATCTCTAGTCTTCGATAACATATTGGTGAAGTCAAAGAAAGGCTTTGTTATCAAGAGAAGGTACTCAATCTGGCGCCACTCTTCCTGGTCGAGTTTGAAATGGAGGTATTGATGAGTTGTGCAATATTAATCAAAGACTGGTTGAAGTTTTTTTGCGCGATAAAGCATTAAAAAGGTTGAATTTCAGCGGGTACAAACATCCTGGATTGGAATAAGACGAGGCTCCTGGGTTTGGAGAGCCAGGAATGCTTCCCGGCGTTGTGGACTTGCATTAATAAAGACAGCAAGCTCTCGAATCTTGAAGACCTAATATTAGTATTAATTTCCAGGTGTCTAAAGAGTAACATACCTTTTTTAATGTGTCCACAATCTGCCTTGTGGGGCGCTTAGATAGGAGTGACTGGGTTCGCTCATTAGACCACTCAGACTCTGCCTCTTTATTGACCGGGGTTGCTTTCAAATTCCCTAGTATATTATTCAGACTAAGCTGAATCACATGGGAAATACATGGGATCCGGAAAATTGATATATCAGTAAGACTCTGTAATTGAATAACCTCCTGGATGCTTCTCATTAAGGTGTCATTACTTGTTGCATTATCAGTGGTAATAGATAACACCCGGTTGGCGATACCATGGTTTTGGAGGATCTGGATAACAGTCTTGCTTAAATTTTGACCCTTATGCGAACCATGAAGATGTTCAAATCCAAGAAGAACTTCACAGTAATTCCAGTCATGGTCAAGGAAATAACCTGTGGTAGCCATGAATGCCTGTTGAAAAGGTGACGTCCAGCAGTCAAGTGCAATTGACAGTCGACTCCCCTCTGGAAGCTTGCTAAGCACGCCTTTCTGCTGGTCTTGAACTGTTGTGTCCAGATAACGTCGTAAAGTTCGTGCGGAAGGGAGATAAATCTTAGATTGTGCTAGTTGAATAGCCTCAACTAGCTCCTTGAACTGTGTATGCTCAACAATACGAAATGGTAGTCGCGCAGTTGTGATAAACTCAAGAAGTTTAGATTGTAGGAGCTCTTGGGTAAATCTTTTACTTGTCAAGGTACGTGGCTTCGAGAAAGAAAAAGTAGTTAGTATATTAAAATAGGGTAAAAGAGAGGGTAAATACTGACTGAGTTCTGTAGTAACTGGTCTATCCTTTGCTTCTTCGGATTCGTCTTGCTGTAACGGCTCAGCCCAGCGCCTTCATCAGCAAACATCATCAACACGGCAAACAATACCATGGGAGCAATCAAGACAAACAAGCTGCTTAGCGAGACCACACACAACCATATAGGACTTCCTCGTGTAAATAGACTTGCCTCTTCTTTTCCTTTCTTCTCCAGATTCGATATTCTAGTCGATGGCTACACTGGTTTAGATAGGAATATCATTTCATTAGTATCTACTGGTCCGAGCCCGTTGTGACGGCTCAACGCCAGACAAACAGCGCCAACATATCAAACGATGCCATACAAGCAATATGGGCAAACAAGGGCTTAAGCCGCACCACACAAATGCCTATAAAGACCGTTCATCGCCTAGATAGATTTCTTTTTCTTCTTCTTCTTCCCCAGATTCGATATTCTCGTCGTTAGGCTACCTAGTCTAGATATGAATATTATTCGTTTTATCTGCTAGTTTCCGAGCCCGTGACATTTAGTATCCCCGTCCAACTGGATCTGATACTAAGCCATACCTCTATTGAGGTCTTTTTCTTCTAGGTGTTCAACACTTTGTTTGCTCACTTTCTGTTGAACAGGAACTGATCTGCACCTTTTCTTTTTCTTTTTTTGATCTATCTTTTCTATTTTGGGATGCACTCCACTTGATGTAATGGGGAACATTGGTGATTGGTTGAAACCTGTTCAACATCAACCCATGTTCAACTCATCCAAAGTATTTGACCACCACACTACTCGAATGTGTTCTGTCTGTCCCCGCATGTTGAACACCAAAATAAATCAAGGAACCCCTAATTCTGCAGGAGTTGAAGCAAAGACCGAGCCTACAGGCCAATCCTCCCAATCCACAAGATAGCTGGAAAAGCGACGATGCGTGTAAGCAGATACTTTATGCCAAATACTTTCTTTAGCAAATATGCTTCCTCCCTCCGCTAGATTAAAAACATACAACAGCCGGGATTCACTGGTGGTCACCCACCCAACTACTAACCGGCCGGCGTATGGCTTGTGTACAGTCAATAGTCCGGCAAGGGCACTTAAACCTGCGACCCCTGCGACCACCGGCACCCAGCCATTGTCATCCATTCCTAGGCTCGCCTGCAAAGTAGACGTGAGGACGAGCCTCTCGGGGAGATGCCGGGGCCGGAATACTCTCATTGACAGGAGCCACAGACAGACCGGGAGGAGGATCATTGGGGGTCACAAAAAGCTCCGCAGAGCCAACACGACCGGGACCATCGCCATCGTCTTCGACCTCGACCGCGGGGGGGAGGAGGTGCCATTGGTATCGTCGCGGCCGCTCTCGTTCAGGGAATGAGATCGTACGAGACGCAAGCGCATTGAAAGACAAGATGCATCAGAGGTTGACCAAGTCCATAATATCATCATCAGACGACTTCCACGACACTTCTGATGTCAGTGATGCCTTTAAGTCCCGGCGCTTCTGCTCCTCCTGGAGACCTAGGTGGAAGGAAGATTCAGAGATTGGTGATAACTGCTGTTGAGTACTTGCGGCTGCGTCCTTGAATACTGGCGATGCCATGCTTGATATGCTACTAGATCATCGCGGACAAACTCCTGCATGGCCAATTTTCTGCTCCATAAGGGCCAAGTAGCCTCTGAGCTGTTTGTCATCACACCGCGAATGCTCCAGTACTTCATTCTTAAGCATGAGAATCTCAGAGCGCATGACTATAAATTCGGATGATAGTTTCTGGTGTATCCCTGACTGTGTTTTCAAACTCGATTCAAGGTTACTATTTTGCTCTCTCTTTTTCTGACGGCATTTTTTTGGCTGCCATTCGGTTATGCTTGAGGTATTTCTCGCGTTTTGCCCTCTCATTATCGAATTTAACTGACGAGGTGCGTGCATTTTGTTCCGTGAGCCTTCTAGAAAGGCTGGTTTTATCTGAATTTGAAAGTGAATTGGATCTGTTGGAGGATCTTACATCCCGTGATGCAGATGTGTATGGGTTTTGTCGGCTATGGATGGGTGGAAAGGAATCAAATTTGCGATCGCCCGATTGAAGGGAAATTTGCTGGCCATTTGATGCTCTGGTTTGCATTCTAGGCTGTTACCGGTAGAAGATTTCTCAGGTTCAGGCTCCCAATTCAATATGGACAACATAGAATTGGGATCCCAGAGATTTCCTCCGCCCAGAAGGGATAGATTGAGGTCATCACCGGAGGCCATGGCAGCTGCAATGCTTGTAGGTGCAGCGTGGAGAGGACCCAGATAACAGATGTCACAATAATCAGAGGGCAGCTTTCCAGCCAACGTAGTGAGGGTTGATGGAATTGTTGGTTGCAAAATGGTAGGATTAAGAAGGTGGAATTAAAATGATCTGTATTTAATTCTGTACGCGCGGAGTGCTGTGGTAACGTAGAAATACAGAATCGCAAACTGTGAATTAAGCCAGCGGTGGGTTATTTATGCCTTGGAGACATCCAAGCGGCCGTTCCTCAGTTCCAAGTTGTAAAGCAACTGCTGGATACATGGTCACAGAGTCATGATTGGGGGAGAAAGCAACCGGTTTTTAATTACAATGCTAACTGATTAATCCATAATTCGCCACATAGTTATTCATTATTCTCAGGAACCTTGGAAGGAGTCGTGATTGCAAGCCGCGTGCCGCGGCGAGCAACCAGGCCGTTGGCTGCGTATTACTGGCTAGGGCTAACAGTCTGAGACACTCTCCGCGATGCAAAGCCTCAGACCGCGAACAAATACAGACAAGAATATGTTATATGCTAGCAGCCAGAAGGGTAAGACTTATAATGCAATATTTATCTGGGGCGTATTCATCATGGTCTCATTAGAAATGGAGACTGCAGGTCCTTGGTTCCCCCGCATTTGGCCTTAAGCAGAGCGCTCGGGATTGAGTTTAAAGTTCATCGGGAGATGCTATCAAGTCGTCCATGGAACATGAATCCAATACTTCTTCAGAAACCTCAGTCAGATCCCACAAAGTCTTGTCGGCATTGGTCATCATGTGGAATGTTGGCGGAACCTCTTCACTAGCGTCATTAGGCACTTTCCCTGACTGGCCAAGAGATACTTTAAGAAAGGTGCCGCGGTGAAAGAGAAACTGCTGTCGTGCGTACCGGCTACTGTAAGAGAAGTCGGCGTATGCCAATATTTGAAGTGACCGAAATCCCGACGGCCCAAAACCCCAGTCAGCCAAAGCAAGGTAAATGTGAAATTTGATAGGGAAAGTGATCGAAGAGAAAATAGCTTGATCGCAAACTCTTAGATTGCCAGCTCAAACCCATTTAGGCCATGACCTACGTCCCATGCATACATCGAGCCGTTGCAAAGACTGAGTCGTAGCGTTTCCAAGCGCATAAGGTTCTCCCTAACACATCAACATAACGCAGTAACCTCTCTAGGGTCGCGCACACCTTGCTGGGCTAAGTGTCTTAGGTTCTTCAATTGATGAAGTCTTTCTAGGCGCGAACTGGCTGGGAGGCAGGTTCTATCTGTAATCAATGACAGTTGTTCAATGTCGTTCTGTGCGCTGGTGGTACAACCATGTTCATCCAGGAGCTGTGCTGGGATGCATGTGCCCATATGCCAGCTGCCAAGCAGTGTTAATTACAATTAAAATATCGACAGCAAACGTGTGCTTACCTGAAGGGACCAGTCTGTTCGGTGCTAGTTTGTCAAGAGTGGACTGTAGTTGACAGGAAATGTCTCATAAGTTTTCGTGTAGCATTGATCCATTTGCTTTTCTCTTATTGTCGGTAATATAAGAGAAGAGAAGGATACTACAATATGCACAACGGTTGAATCGAGCAAAATGAAGAGGAGCTTCGAGTCGCAGATGCCGTACATATTCAAAATGGCTTGACGCGCGCGTCGCTGTACGAGAATATCACTACCGTCGCATTAGGTGCTATTCTAGGACTAAAGACAAGCTGGGGCATGGCAGCAGGCGAAAAAGCGGAGGCGTACGCAGCGCGAATGATCGAGCAGGGCCGACTTCAGAGACGAATTGATCAGATTGATGGAGTGACCTTTTTTGACAGCACGACCGCTACGGGGAGACATATTCGGCAGTGGGATGGGGGGTGCGGTTGGCGGTGGATGTGGAACGTGTGGCTGCGAGTCACACTGTTCGATATCAAATTTATATACTATGACAGGACATTGCATCTTCGCAAACGATACATTAATACTATGCTACACTTGTGATGAATGATTGCCGAAGACGATACGCATGTTAGATTATGAGAATGACATTGAACCTAAGTTACATGACAAGTCCGAACTCAATGATAAACTCGTATATGCACATCTCTTCAATAAACAAGACTTGCAAGCAGACTAAATACGGATATCACGCTCAGTGTGAATCGTACAGGATAATATATACAGGATAGTACAAAGCATCACATCTGGGTATATGACAAAAATCGATAGATAAGAGTATGAGGGGAATGTAGAAAAGAGAGTATGATTCAGGGGAAAGAAAGTGAAAGAAAGATCGAGTAATTTGTAGCAGCTACTAGCTGGTGCGAGCATAGACTGGATTCGGGTCGTGAATCAAGTGCTTTGGACTTGGACCGATTGTTGTGCTGAGGACCAGGAGCCAGTAAACAATGGATTAGAGCCTTGTTTGGTCTGATATCCAGGCTAACCGTAGATCGAAGGTTAAACTGTTGGCAGACCAAAATATGAACCTTTTTCTTTTGAATTTAGATTTTTTACAGAATCTTCTGCTTATAAAATATTATGCTCACCAGGTAGATTTATCAAGTCTTTCAGGTTGCGTTGAGTTGTCATCATGGTTGATAGGTTATTGCAAAGGTCATCAAAAGGTGGCAGCCTGGGGGTGTGCTCCCTCTGTCTTTTAATGGTTCTGTCGGCCTCAAGAATTCAACAGAAAATGCATCTTTGACATGTGAAGAGGCAAATTCCTGCTTCAGAACTACATCTATTAGCCAACAATCCAATGAATCTGGCAAAGAGACAGTTGCTGCACTGTCCCATCAGACACCTGTGCCTGCAATGATCTTGTTACAGTGGTGCTCCATGCTGAACATGTATGTCTAGTAAGAGATCCCGGCCTCTTCTATACCTAAGTTAGCTCCTTCATCGATAGTCTGGGGTTCCCGTGAAGATTTCGCTTGTGTTTATCAACTTGAAGAATCACCTCGGTTCATGCTCTTTGATTACCGAATTGCACAAGCTTGCAGATCGAGACAAGGGCAACATATATGTGGTCCCAAGAAGTCCGTTCCCCTAAGACGGTTCCTGGTTAGGTACCTTTCGCCCATTAGGGCTGGAGATCGTTGATTTGCGTAACTTTCTATTTTTCTAATTATTTATTGGACACTAGTCGCGACAGCTCTCATTTTCTTCGCGGAAGGTTTTGGTTGTCGCGTGAACAGTTATTTGAAGGCAAAATGAAAAAAAATAAAATAAAATAAAATAAATTTTTTGAAAAATAAAGAAGAATTGGAACCTTTTTTGCCCCTCGCTTTTGTACTAGAAAACCACAAAGTGAGCTGAAGATTTTCCTGGTAGATCTTCCTAACCCCGCCACAGAAGAAACGCTATGCCGAAGAGCGGGCCTTGGTATTGCTAGTCTGACTCCGGAATAGCAACTTGTCCATTCCTCGCCTTCCCATTAAGGAGATTACGATCCCGCATTCTGGGGATGGCCTGGGGATAGCGTGGGCGAAGACTGATGAGCTTGGTGAGGCGACGACGAAGATGATTGTTTCCTACGTACAGAGTTCGGGGGACTTTAGGTGGTTGAATAAAATGGTGTTGTTATCGGGACCACGGGTTTTGTCGTTGGAGTCGGTTGATATTCTGGGGAGGGTTACTGGGAAGAACGTGAGGATCAGAGAGATTTCGGCTGATGAGTATGCGGAGTTGCCATTCAAAGAGAAGTATTGGTATCGTGGGGTGAATCTCTTGAAGGATTATACATCGTGCTGGGAGGCGTTCAGATGAGGGGAAGCGGCAGTCGTGTCGCCTTTGCTGGGGGAGATACTGGGGAGGGAACCGGAGGATTTCGAGACGACTGTAAGAGGGTTGTTGACCTAGGTGGTAGGTACAACAAATAGCGATATCGGTATCTTCTAGATGATCAACGGATACGCACTTGGGTAATATCAGGGGGGCCCTATGATGCAATGGGGCTCCATCCCCACAAAATAGCCAAGAAACACAATTCTGGAGATTTTCTACGGCTACAGACTAAATCTACAACAATGCTTTATAGATCTCATGCCTTATCGACTGTCTATTAAATTTTCGGGACTAGTAATGCGCGGCGACCTATCTCGACTCTAAGTACAAGGTCCACCCGCATATCCTTAGCCCACGCTCTACAGCGGAAGAACCCCAAAACCCAAGCCATACCGTAGTGAAAGTTGCAAGTCAATAATAATAGTAGTAATAAATACCGTAGCACTTGATATCTAGACCTGAGTGCCGGGGAGAAGAACCAAGGAACAACCCCTTATTCGCCTCCTTTTTATCTTTTTTTTCTATTTTTCATTTTTTCACTTTTGGTGACCACCTCTTCCCCTTTTCCTTTTGCCCTGCTCTCGAACAAGAAAAGACGAAGGTAAGGAATAGTACCGGCAGCTAGGACGTAAACGCAAAATGAAGTAAAACTGCCGCGGAAGAGGAAAAAAGGAGTGCTCAAGAACAAAACAGATGGGAATTTAAGCGACAAAAGGTCGAGGCCACCAAGGGATAAAAACAAGAGAAAAGAACGCTATAGTTCCTCCGGGTCGCCGGAGAGGAAACCTATCCGCAGTCGGTGTGACTAGAACAGCGTTAGCGACAATGGAACGTGACACAATCCGAGGCCGAGGGCAACATACGAAAGGAAGTTTGGGAATAACGACACCAAGCGTGGCTAGGAAATTGATGGTGAAATATGTCAAGTCGTAGTGGGTATAATGAGTGCTGAGAAGAAAGAGAACGATGGGTACGCAGAGGAGGAACTTCTTGGTCGGTGTATATTGATCTCCATTGTCGATTTGCTCCCACATGTTGAGATTATCATAAGCACCGGCGTTGAATTCGAACGGAATACCCCGCACCCAGTGAAACATGATAAAAGAGCCGAACATGTAGCTGATGTTGGTGAGAGTCCATGATGTTTCCTGCGAGACGCCGGGGATAATGTCATAGAAGATCTTGAGGGCCACGATTAGAACGAAATGGATAGTCCAGGCGCCTAACAATCGAAACCAGGGTCAGCATTATTTCCCAAAACAACAAACAGCCCTGTCCACCACGTCCGTCATGTTCATCGATATCCCCCCGACTAACCTTTGGCATTAACCCAGTTCGCATTGAGGTTGGGCAGCGCAGCCTGATCACTGGTATGCTCCAACGATTCTGCAGGCTCCTGGTAAATTATACTGCTCGACCGCCTCCTCCTCCCAGACTTTGTATGATCCATATTGTTGTTGGGGGTCAATCGTTGCGGCGACGCATCGTTAACCTCCGGAGGGAAGGAGATGGCACGGGCCCGGGGAACCAGTAACGAAGACACTTTGGCGGTTAATTCCCGTACGGGAGAAGAGATCGGAAAAGGTATGCAAGGGGATCGTAGTCGAGAGGTAGAGACGGAGATGTCGGAATATATTTAAAAAAAAAAAAAAAAAAAAAAAGAGAGAGAGAGAGAGAGAGAGAGAGAGAGAAAAAGCTGACAGGCGTAGGCGTGGACGGGGCGAGGAGATGTTGAAGTTCCGACCGGAGAGAGATCTGCGGAATTGGGTCACGGGAGCAGAGATCGGTACGGATAGAACAGAGTGAGAACGACGAGAAGAAAAATAGAGAGAAAGAAAGATAAGGCAGAGAGAGAGAGAGAGGGAGGGAGAGGGAGGGAGAGCTAGCGATGCTTCCACAAAAGATATGGAATCTGTCAGAGAGCGACACGGAATTAGTCCCCCCAAAGCACGCAGTATCGGGATAGGACAGGTCTATGAGAGAGGTAAAACAGAGGCTCAGAGAAAGAAACAGAGGATAGTAAAAGAGAAAAGAGAGAGCCAAGGGAAGAAAGAAGCAGAAATTGTACTAGTAGAGAGCAGGAAAGAACAAAAAGGAAGCCAGAGTGCTAATTATGGAAGAATCGCCGCCGGCACGTGGCCAATGGTCTAGACAGTATAGACCCTGCTACTGTATGTGACTAACAGTTGGATATTAACATTACTATCTTTGTTACTTTGTAGTCATAATTGTCTTTTGAAACAATATTAACACAGAAACTCACATAAAGTAGTGCTGTACCCTGTATTAAGAACTGCTCTCTGCATTGCGTATCTGGCCTGTCGCGGTCACCGTAAATTTTCAACTCCTACTCCAGATTCCGTTCACTGAATCTCTCCACTTCACCATTCTTCTTCCTCACACTCCCCACCGGACACTACACACCCCGTCTGATCGCAGCCATGCCCGGCTCATCAGAGGAAGAAAACGACTCGCGAACCGCATCCGTTGGCCTCCAACGCACCCGCGTTCAAAACCAAGACTCGCACCCGAACAAGCGCCAAAGACGCACACGAGGAAACTCTGCGAATAGTGATGTCCGCGATTTCGTTCCCCAAGGTGGCACATTCAGTGCGAAACCTCTAGAAGTCGATCAGGATGATACGTCTAGCTCTGGCTCCGATTCCGACTCTGGCAGCAACTGGTCTGATGCGAATCCGAACCCGTATGCGGGAACGACTTCGCAGGCTGTAAATTGGAATCAGGGCAATAAGCGCGCGATCAGGACTACACTAGGTGGAAGAGGGAAGGCGAATAATAATAAGAAACCGGAGCCCCAGCCCCAGCCCGAGCCGGAGAAAGAATCAGACGCCCAGTTTGATGCGGTAAATGGCGCGTACTGGCGCAGTCGGAGTGAATCTGTCTCTACTGGAAATGGTGATAATGACAAGAAGGATGAAGGTCAAGACTTGGAAGAAGGGGAGGTAAATGAAGACGCGCCTGCGTTGGACACATCAGGAGACTCAGATGATTCGGAATCTCTGGACTCTGAGGCTGACGATTCGATATTGTTAAATCTCGGTCAAAAGGAAAACGGGCATGCAGCTACATATGAAAATGATGATTATGACCCTGAGATGCAGCCGTTTGTGGGCGTCGTTATTTCGAATGGCACTCCTGGAAAACAAGGGAAACAAAATGGCACTGCGACGGACGCTTCCAAAGAGGAGACAATCCGCATTTTTACGCAGAGATATCCGTCTCCACCAGCTGTTATGACTGACCTGGTTCAAGAGGACAAGGACTTTCAGATCAGGTTTATGTACTGGTCCGAGTCGAAGGATCCTCAAATCCCCATCTCTTGCACTGAATGTATGCAGGAGGGACACATCGCGCAAGTGTGTCCATCGAAGGAGGTGTGTATTAGCTTTTCTAGAACCCTGCGATAAAAACTCACTGACAAAACAGTGCACGCATTGCAGTGCCTGGGACAAACACGACAGCAACTTCTGCCCCACATGGCGAAGATGCCAACGCTGTCGCGAACGAGGCCATGACGAAGCCCAATGCTCCTCGTTACTGAAAGGCTCCGCCTCCGAAGTTCCCTGTGACCTATGCGGCTCGCAAGACCACCTAGAACTCGACTGCGATTACATGTGGAAGCTCCCACTCCGCGATCCATCGTCAGGACCGGTGCTCGTGTCGATTTCTTGCTCGCGTTGCACTAGTAATAACCATCTCGCTGGTGATTGTCCATCGCTACCGAGACCGTTGAATTCATCATCGTGGACACTGAAAGGAATCGACCCGAATATGGTCACCAATATCAACTCCGTAATCCCTGGCCGCAGTCGACCCGGTCCCGTGGCTCGGGGTAGAGGGGGAATGAAGATCCGCGGCCGGGCAGAACGCTCGCCAACGCCTGATAGCGACGAAGATGACGGCATTTTCACAAGACCAAACCAACGTCCTCCACCTCCAGGTCGTGGAGGAGGCCGTGGTAATATCCGCATCGGAGGCGGGATCGGACGAGGGAAGAACCTAGGCCCTGGGGGTTATCGGGATCGAAATGATTCCTTCGGGGACCGCTCTCGTCAACGATCATTGTCTCCTATTGGACGGCCGGGTCCTGGTCCTGGGAGAGGACGAGGAGCTCGGGATAACTGGAATGTGCGCTCTCGGTCACCGCCGCGAAGGGGGAGACCTCCACCTCCACCATCGCGTGGTGGACGTGGACGCGGAGGAGGCGGAGGCGGAGGTAAACGAGGGGGAGGCGGCGGTGATGCCTATCGTCCTATGCCCAGTGCTGCTAAGAAAAATTGGGATAGATATCGGTTTTGATTTGGGTACTTGCTGCATTGCCACATTTTGTTATATACCCCGCGTTCTGGCAGAGGAATTTGCGTACATACGACGATTTTGTTGTATATCTACGATACCAATGGAATATGTTCAAAAGAAGAAGAACAAGGAATCCACGATTTATCCCTCGCGGTCACTGGTAGCCGGCTTATCACCTCCCCGATGACCAACGAAGCCCTTCTCAAGAACATCAACCAAATCATCCAAACGGTTGATACTAAGATCCGTATGCTCATGATCCTTCAGCCAACCGTTCTTCTCATTCAATAGCAGGACGGTAGCTGCACCGGCCATGTCTCCTGCGGTCATGTCGTCGATGCTATCACCAACCTGTTCTTGATTAGCTTGCTATTTACCATACGCAGGTAGGCGTCGAATACCATGATCAAATGCTCAGCCCTAGCCCCAACCTTCCATTCCTGTGCGACATGCAAGATCCCCGCGGGATCTGGTTTGGGCAGTAAATCCGGCGTTTCCCGCGTGATAATCGGCAAAAAGTCCTTCTCGTGTGCCGGAATATGAGTCTGAATCAGGTGTAGCACTGGCGTTCTATCAACCGTTAGCACACCCTCATAATCAAAGTAGTGAGGGCGGGAAAGGCGTACTCAAAATTCCTCGTACAAAGCGCCCTGCGCACCCCACGCGCCTGCAGGTAATCCATCAACTGAACAAGACCCGGCTGCGGCTGCTGCGAGCTCATGGCTTCGCGCTCGATGGCTTTGATTTTATCCGCGGCTGCGAGGCGGGCTTCGGGAGTTGGGAGGCCGCGGATGTGGTGGAGAATGTCGATTGATTTGTCGATACCTAGGGCGGAGCTTCATTTGTTTAATATTTTTTTATTCAATCCAATTATGAAGAGAGAGGCTTGATTTGATGAAGATGGACGTACCGCATCTCAGAGAACATGTAATGTTGCGGTAAACTGCATATATTAGCATCAATCCTGGCTATACACATGTAAAAGGTAAATACCATAAAGTTCCATCAACATCAAAAACAATCCCTTCTAACGCTGGCGCATCGGATTCACTCTTCCGCTCCGGGTTGAGGGGAGCGAAGCGTCGTTGGCGGAGGGGGTAGTTGGGGATTGGTATTGATGGAGAAGTCATTGTTTTCGTAGCTACTGTTCTTAGAAAGCTGGGTTTAGATAATAGAATTGATTGAAATAGAGGTGAAGGTAAGAGGCTCATGGATGTAGTCAGGATAGTGTTGGGTTGACATTGGATGTGGAGGAGAGGATCCATGGTGAGGTGAAGCGGGGATCTTAGCTTAGCTATCTATGATCAGCATAACATCTATACAACTATGTACTGTGCATAAACAGGACAGCGGATTAGATACAAAATACAGAAATGGGAGGAGCAGTGCAAGACTACGGCCTACCCGAACATACTCTGGTCGCTCTTTCCCTCCTTCCATCCAAAGTAGCAAAAAACAACACCCCCGAACCCTCTTCCCGCAAAATGAATGCTTCATCCTCTTCCATTCTACCAACTCTCTTTTTTCTATCCCTCTACTCTATATATACCCAGCATACACTACTCTCCGGTACTTATATGCGAGAATGTCCCTCCCAACAACCACCCAAGACCTCCGTCACCTCCCAGAGATGCAACAGCCCCAACCCACCACCGAGCACTACCACAACTACTCCAACTCAATCACCCTAACCTTCACTCAGCTCTTCACCCTCCTCGGAACCTTGCTCACCCTCAAGCTCTACCATGGCCTATCAGCCCTCTCGCACGGCAAGAGACCTACTCACCAGTCCATTGAGGAGCTTGAACGCCGCATCGTAGCTCTTTTTCAGGTTATCGTTCCGGAGGGCTTGTATCGGATGAACTCGAGGGCTTCGAACTCGGCATCGGAATCGGGTGCGGCTTCGAGACGCTCGTTTCCTTGTGACAGTGACCGGAACAAGAGTGGTAACGGGAACGGGAACGGGAGTGGAAATGGAAAGGCGAGGTCGATGGCGTCGGGATCTACCCAGCGTACTCAGCCAGGTGATGGGATGATCGATTTGCACAATGCAACTACCCAAGAAGGATCTGCGCACAGTCCCCTCATGAGGGTTACGACGAATATCGCCCCCGCTATACGCATGTCGCAGGGTTTGTCGAGGATGTCGGGGGAACAGCTCGTTCGGACGGTCACAGCTGGAACGACTATCGCGGAGAGCATCCCAGAGATGTCGTTGGACAATAGCAACGGTGACAACCGCCAATCGTTCACTTCGTGTCAGGCATACTGTGGATCCGTGTCTTCTGCTGCTCCTCCTCCTGTGTCTATCTACACGGCTTATAAACCAGGCACGCCTTCGTCGTCGACTCTTGCTTATGCGCCGCCGCAGAATACACCCGAGTCGGGTACACCCATCACTACCAACATTGACCGGCTCATTCTGCAGGCCAGGCCGCCGCGGTCCACTCTCATAGGTCGCTATCCGACAGAGGAGGAAGAAAGGTGGCCGGTTATCAGCCAGAGGGAATTGACGAACGAGTCTGAAGAAGAGTCTCCGACGAGGGCGGACAAGTGGCCGGGGGTTGAGCAAGAGCAGTCGCTGTCGTCGGGACAGGAAGAAGAATCACCAAAGAACGAGTTTGTAAAGTGGCGCTTTGGCAAGGAAGAAGTGTCTCTGACGGATGAGGACGATTTACACTCGCCAAACTACGACGCGGAACGTGTGGAGACTGAATCAGATTCGGATGGCGATGAAAATGAGGATGCGGATCCGGAGGGTGGATTGAGGTTGATTCGTTCGGCTGAGAGCTATCCGGGCAAGTTTCCTGTTAGTGAAGGGTTGCCATTGGCGGCGTTGGCGACGGCTCCTATTTGTGTGAGAGGAAAGGCGCAGACTTCTGTGAGGCCGCTGTCGGAGGTTTGATAGGTTTTATTGTTGCTTGGTTGACGCTTTTCGTGTTTCCATTCTTGGACTTGGGTCAAAAGTTATCGTTCGTTAGCGTTAGGGTACATCGGTTCGGGATGTCTTGCTGGCAGGTGACCAACGCTTTAGCTATAGGCCAGCAACCTTTATTGGAGACATTAATAAGGATATTGTTCGCTGCAATAAAAGTCCAGTACTATTCTGTATGCGTGTATGTACGACCATTCTATACCCATCAGCAATAAAAGCCAACATGATACCAAATATTGAGCAGACTCGAGATAAACAAAATGTATGATGTATGCCAGAACTGACGCTCGTTTGCTTTTCAGAAAAAATCATTATGCACCGAACATCAACATATCAACAAATGTTACATGCATGTTTATAAACAAATAATGTGCAGAGAACAAGTACATGATATGATAAAAAAAAAAAAAAAAAAACACACAAAAAGATTACAAAACCTCTGTCCATCCCATCATACCTAGTTAAGTGACATCGAAAATAAGAAGTAAGAATAAGAACGAAAAATGACATGACATGACATAGCCTGAAATGCTTCGTCAACATGCAATGCAATGCAATACAATGCAATGCATAACAGGGGATATAAAACGTTAAAACAAAATCGACGTCATAAATTTCGTAAAAAATCATTAGGAAATTGGGGTATGGGTATGGGTATTTAGGTAAGGGTATCAGAGTTCAGTCGTTTAACGTTTAACGTTCTACTAGTAATCAAGGTCGTCGACTTGGTCTGGGCTGGCGCCGCGGTACCGGCTGGTGCGGCTGTATTGGCTGCCGGAGTTGAGGGGGCGAGGACCGGTGGGTTTGCGGGAGGGGACGGGGGATGAGCGCATTCCCGAGCTCTACAATCACTATGTTAGCATTCATCACATTTCAGTTGTGGATGGGGGGAAAACATACCCTCGAAACAACACGATCCGCATAAGACCGCTCATCATCCTCCTTAACCTTGAGAGGGCGTTCAGGAACCAACGGCCCGTCGTCTCTGACCTTGGGAGGCCGCGGTGGACCCGTACGCCGCGAGGAAGCTTCCGAGTACCCCGTGTCCGAGATCGGGGACAAGCGGCTGTTGCCACTGTAGCCGCTGTATCGCTTCTGGACGTTACTTTGGTTGCCGCCGGACAGGCTGGAGCCCGAGCCCCATTGTTCGGATTGCGGGTTGTGGAAGCCGTAGACCTGGGCTTGGGTCTCGAGTTGGGTTTGGTAGCGGCCTGTCGGACCCTGGCGGGGCTGCGGGTGCTGGAGGTCCATGCTGTCGCGGTGAGCGCGGTACTTGGGGGCTTCGGAAACCTGCGAGGGGATCAGCGGGGACGGAGGGCGGTCCTCTTGCTCCTGCGGCGGCTGCTGCTGCTGCTCGAGGGTGGTGTTGGACCGGATCCGGTCGTCACCCTGGGGATCGTAGTAACCGTCCGTCTTGTAGGCTCCGTAGGGAGCAAGGCTCGTGTCCGACCGCTCTTTCTTGTTTGACTGGAGGGTGTTGCGGATGAATTTGGGGAGGAAACCGCCAGACTTGCGCTTCTGAGCTTTGTCGGTCGGCTTGGGAGGCGTGGGTTCTCCATTGAGAGCACCAGAGGCCATGGGAGGCCTGGAGCTCTCTTGAGACTGCAGCTGAGGGCTCAGGAATTCGCCGCGTTCATCGTACTCGTCCTCCTCATCCTCCTCGGGGACCGTGCTGGGGCGACTGGGCTGATTGTGGATCGTGCGAGATCCTCCGGTCGAGGGTCGTCCAGGTTGATCGATGGGCGAAGGACCAGCTTCGCCCTCGGTTTCATAGCCATCCTGGTCGAAACTTCCCCGTCCACTACGGCCAAAATGGTCATCCTGTTGAGATCGCAGAGCATCAACATCGTCAAGGAGTTGTTCCAGCATGTCTTCGATCCTAGTCAAGTCGTTTCCGGACTTGAGACTCAAGCCCTTCAAGGCGCGCTTGAACACGTTCTTGCGCTTGGAGCGCATGTCATCTTCTCCCTCTGCGGCGGCGGCGAGTTGACGAGATCTGGCGCTGGGAGGTTGAGGGCGCGGCCCACTGAGGGCCCGGTATGTTCGCTCGTGTTGCTTGTCGTTGGCTTCCATGATCAGTCCATCCTGGTAAGCGATGTATTTCTTCATGTCCTCGAAAGAGGTGCGCATCTCTGCGGCGCTTCGAACCAGGGAGACCAGTATTTCCGTGTCCCTGGCGTTGCGTTGGGCGTCGCGAACAGTAAGCTGAAACGGTTAGCAAGTTCTCCTCAACGGGTAAAGATCGAAAGATACTCACATGATCCATCAGCGCAATGATATCCTTGGACTGAATCCGGTCAACGCCTTGCCCAGTGGCGCTATCGTACATAGGCGAGCCAGCTCCATGAGAGTAGCCACTCAGGTTTCTCTGATGCTCAGCACCACTTGGGCCGTCAAAAAGCCCCATGTTATCCATACCACCGAAGCCCTTACCCTCGGACTTCGGAGTGCCAACACTAGGTGAGAGCGGGTGCGCTCCGGACGCATAGCCTTCATCCTTAGCGGCCGGCGGCGTACCAGGTGCCTGATCATAGGATTGATCGAAGTAGCCCTCGGGGGCATATGCACCTTCAGGGTAGTAGCCTGGATCATAGCTCAGTTCCTCGTCCAAACCAAGTCCTTTACTCGCTTGGTCGTCTTGAAAATCATCCTTGGACTGCGATCCCTCGTTGTAGGGCCAATAGTCCTGGTTTTGAGAAGGCGCCCTGGGTCCCTGGATGATTGAGGGGTTGGTGTCAATCTCAGATTCCGAATCCTGGGCATCGCCTGCCTCCGGAATCTGAGCATCATCACCGGGATCAAAAGATCGGGAGTGGCCCAGCTCAGCCTGCTCGTCAATCGACTGAGCGATGCTCTGGGGCGGCGAAGTGATACCCATTCTCTTGCCGAAGGAGGTTGCGTCGGGACTGCCAGCGTCCTGACGCTGCTTCAGGGGACTCCCCTGACGAGAACCAGGAGTGGTTGTCTCCTGCGCCAGCTGTGCTGTGGGTTGTGGGCTACGTGGCTGTGGGCCGCGGGGCTGCGGGCTGCGTTGTTCCTGTCGCTTGCTGAGGTCGGACTTGGAGCGATTGGTCAACTCAGAGAAAACCTGAGTGTAGCGCTCCACAACGGAAGGTTCAAGCAGCGAGGCAACTGCAGACTCAACGGGAGCCGGGTGAACGAAGTGAGGGTTGGCGCCATTTCCGTGGGAAACGTGCTGGCCTTGACGAACCTTATCCATGTAGTCGACTTCGCTATCGTCGGTGTAGTTTGCCATGCGCCTGGGATCGAGGCTGCTGGTATCGGCAGCTGAGTGTCGACGAGAGTACAGATCGGATTGTTCGTCCCAGTCTTCCGCGCGCGGTTGTCGAGAGGAATCCTGTTCAGACTCATGTCGCTTGTTCAAGCTGAGACCCGAAGGTTTCGTTCTCGTCGATCTGGCGAGATCCGTACTGGGTGCGGACGAAAGCGAATCGATGGAAAGTCGAGGCTTCAATTCTTTCCCTCCCGACGGCTGACCAGGCAATGGTCGTACTTGGGGCGGAGGCGGCGGGGGCGGCGGTCTCAAGTCGCTCTGCTCGCTAGCGACGCTTTGAATGGGACTAAGGGCCCGCCGTCGGGCAGGATCAGTGTGAGCATCCAGCAGGTTGGCCACGGCTGCGGCCGCAATATCATCCGCGGCGGCAGCAGCATCCTCGGAATCATTGTCATCATGTCCCCCAAAGGAGGCGCGGTCCTCCTCGTCAGATACACTTTCGACGGAGACGTTATGGGTCGATTTGTTGGGGTGGCGGATACCCAATTCGTGTCGAGTGTCCAGTGGTGTTCGATTCGGAGTGCGGGAGAGAGGAGAAGGAGACTGGACGGGAGCTCCGCGAGAAACCTCCTGGAAACGAGTCTTTTGCGGGACAATTGACCCGGTCTCAGCGGTACGATGAGAAACGAGCGAGTCTCTGGTCATGTCCGACTCCAAGGCGCTGCGCAAAGGCATCGGAGGCACATTATGCTTCTGGAACACCAACTCCGTCTCATTTCCGTTCCCAGCACGCTCCTTCGTGGGGCTGGGGCTGGGGCTCTGGCGGTTGCTTTCGTTTGTGTCCAAGCTGGACTTGGAATCGTGACGTCGCAAAGCCGCAGCGGTCAGTGCCGTACCGACACGCCCAGCCTTTTCCGCATCGCGGAGTCCTTTGCTCTTGGCGCGTTGAAGCTTGTTGTTCTCATTCATCTCCGGACGAAGACCCCACCTGACGTAGGTAGGATCCGCTTCAGTGTCCTTGTTCTGGCTGCTGTCCTTGCTGGATTTGCGTTCCGGATTCTTCTTCGCGGGAGCCGGCTCGTCCCCAAGCAAAGCAGCGCCTTCATCTTTGCTGTCCTTGTTAAGGACAACCTTGGGCTTGATGATATTCGGGGCACTGGCATGCTTTGAAAGCCGGCGGCCAAGCTCATCGCGAGACTGGATGCTTGATTTCATCGAAGCATTCAGGTCGCGTTCAAACTTGGATGTGTTGTGCATGACCTTCTGGTCCTTTTTGAGCTCTTTGAGTTCGGGCAAGATCAGCCGCCGGATGGCATCTTCTACGGTCTCTAAGAGCTTGGGGTTGTTGTTGAATGAGGACTTGTTGGAATTTTGTGAGAGGAAAGAGTATTGGTCGTTGGAACGGCGATTCGCCGATACTGCTGAGGCACTGAGCAAACTGGACTCGGCGGGGTTGTAGACGGAGTCGTCATTATCCTGGCGTCTCTGTGCGCGCTGTCGTCGCCGACGGGCGGCAGGAGTGTCGGGGTCCAACAGACTCCGAGGGTTGCTGCTGTGGTCGTCGTCGCGCTCCTGTGGGCCGGTGGTGAGTTTCTCTGCGACCCGGTGCGCGATTCGTTCGGTGCTGAGACTGCGGCTGCGCTTTCTCCGGGGGGTCTTCAGCAGCTCCTTGTTGTCAGCCTCTGGCTCCAAGCTCTGACTCTGCTTGTGATGTAGACTGGACGTTGGGCCCTCCAGCAAGCTGTCTGTCGGCATCGACGAGATATCAGACATGGCGGGCTGGACGTGACGGTTATCGCGTGAGAGGCTGGAGAGTACACTTTCTTGATCAGGATTATTCAAGAATTCCTCGGCTTGCTCACGGTTCTCGAACTCAATTTCGAGCGGACGGGATTCGCGGTGGTTTTCGTCGTCGCTCAGACCTTGCTCATCTGGGTCGTCCAACTCGAGGTGCTTGTGCGACTTGGGCAGCGACCCAAGAGAGATACGGCGGGCGTAGACGGGGCCCCGATTGCCGCTGGATTCGGTGATCTGGAGATGGTGGTCTCGTTGATCCTTGAGCTTCTTGGAAGATGGCGTGACGCGGACGCGGACACTGGGTCTGGAGACGATGTTGCCAGCACCTTTCCCACCCTCGAAGTACTCAATGAGGAGGGAGGTCTGGGAGTTGTGGGACGCACGGGACAGCTTGGAGGAATCGTCCCCACGGGGATCACGGTTTCTCCGGCGAGTGGGGATGATGACGGGACTGCCGTCGTCGGGAACGGAGTAGGACGTCTTGTCTGTCCGTCGAGAGAGGTCAGTGGCCATGTCAGTTCCAGTCATGCTGCCTCCGGATGTTTCGACTAGGGAATCCGAGGCGGCGGGCATGGTCGGTCTGCGATTGTCGACGCCCATGATTGCCGCCAGAGATGGTGAACGAATGGAAGATATGTGTATGTAGAGAGAGGGGGGGGGGGGGGGGATGAGAGGATGAAAGGGAAGGCTTTATGTTTTTATTATTCCCGTTTCAGCCAGACAAGACCATAGTCTTTTTTGATTTGAGACCAGGTCTGTAAGGGATGATTATATTATTCTTGATAGAATCCGAAACAGAGAGGCAAAGAGAGAGAGAGAGAGAGAGAGAGAGAGAGAGAGAGAGAGAGAGAGACGAATGGCTGTCGCTCTGCTCTGGTCACTATCACTGGCGGGCGATTCACAGCGACGGCGGGGCGGATGCGAGGTTGAAGTAGGAGTAGGGCATCGACAGAGATAGTAGACGTACCAGCAGAGCAGAGGGATTTCTCCCTTGTCGATTATAGACGATAAATGGAGAGAGAAGAAGGGGAGAAGAGGAGAAAAGACTGTCAGCTGCTGGCGATGGAGGATAATCCCAGCGGTGAGGGACTCCACCGAGGAGAAAACAGAGCAAAAGATGGCTGGAATGTCAAGATTTGCAGAGAAGAAGGTGAGATGAAAAGAAGGAAATGGATAGATTCCCGATGAAAAGCGAGAGGAAAAGTGCGCCAGAGAGAAAAAAGCAAAACCCGAAAAACGAGAGGCTGGACACACACTGACTGACTGCTGTGATGGCCAGCTGTCGGCGGAGACTGATCTGATGCACTCACAGCCAACCAACACCACGGATATCTATTCTATTCTATGTTACTTTATCCCCTTAATCAGACCAGCCTTTCGCCGATTAATTCAATATCTAAATGTCTATATAATAATCATCCTTCACCCTGTCTTCCTCCTTGTCTCTCAGTGTTATATCGGTGGCTGGGCACGAGTCAGAAGTTTATCTGATACCTTTCCCCATCGGGTAAAGCTCCTTGCCGCTTACACCGATATCAACAACACTGCACTTGCAGTCTTGTACACATACAAGTATGGCTTAATGACTTTATATCTTTAATACCTACAAGTACGCTTGCATTGCATGTGGACCTGTATGCGTCAAAGTATATGCTAGACATTTACATGTCAGCCACTGCAGGAACCGTCCACTGACCCGAGGAACAGCCAAAGTCAAATGTGCTGACAAAATTGTGCAAGCTGGATAAATATGTGAGACCTCAGAGCGTCTAGGAATAGGCAAAGGGTACTCTGTACGCCGATCTGTAACATTGTACTCCGTATGCATGTCAGATCTTGCATCTGGAAACTTCGCCTGTCGTCTCGGGACGGTACCACCTGGCTGACATGTGTATGGAGCCCCATACGAATAGCGTCTCAGTTAAGTCGGTTCCATCACTGGAATCCGTATAGACGAGTGTCTTTCGATAGCTCAATCGTTCTAACAGTAAACAGCAACCAGCAACCAGCAACCAAGCCTCCCCCGTGGGCGATCGTGTTTCGAGCCCCATTCCCACACAGCGAGTAAATTATACCTCGATCATTCATCAAAATTGGCTGCCCTAATGAGTACCATCTGATTGATCAACATGTTGTCCAATTTAGTAGCTCATCTTATCACAAGAAACTAATCTCTATTCCCGAGACTTTCAAAGTGAGCCATAATACCTCTGTAAAGAAACACGGCTATGTGTTTTTGATCCATTGTATGGCCTGGTGATGCTTTCGTCTTTGCTTTCATAGACTTAAACCAAAAATGAGACCTGTCCAGTATCACTATGGCAACCCATAAGACCGTTTCCTTCAAATACTGAGAATATCTTCAGACATATTGGACGACTTGAACACCCGCATCCAAGCATCCACCATGGGCAAACGAGTTGCGAGCCCCATTTCCGCACACAGAACATATGTCACCAGACCGTTCGTCAAGGGTTGCTGCTATAATGACCATATTGATGATCTACTGTATTGGACCTCAAATCGTTCAGTCGGTGGGCGTTTCCAAGCATTTTCCAGACTTAGGGCATGTGCAACTATTCCTGCACTAAGGGATTTTCCTGATCTCCGCTCGTTATGCTACTAGAATATTCTTGGTAAGCTTAGTATATGATAACAAGCAAGTGCTATCTATGTATGTCTTATTAACGAATAAGTCAACGGAGGGGGGTGATGGACTTACAGTCGAGTTTGTTAGCATTATCAACGGGTCGGCTTAGTAAAAATTGTCAATGGTGCCCCCCCTGTTATCAATGTCTACGGCAATTTCGGCCTCAATTCTTCCCATTGAAGATCGACCGCGCTCACAGATTTGCACAGGGTCTCAACATTCCGGCTGTAAGACGTCATTTCGTTCGATGAACTCAAATCCCCTGTTGACATTTGATTATTCTCTAGCGGCTGATTTGAACATAGAAAAAATGATAACCGAGGGAATCAGGGTGAACAAGCGCGAAGCGTGGCTAGCGGGTCTTGAATCAGGTTCCCAAGTACGATGAGACCGTCAGGCTTGTAATGCAAACATGGGGCCATCATCCAATCCGCGCCTCGGGGGATGCTGCTTGAGGGGGTCTATATTGATTGACGAGGACAGTGGAATATATCAGGTTATTCGTCGAGTTATCTGCAGCAGGCAACTGCATTGCTTTTAGGGAATTAAGTGTGTACTTCGTAAGAAATATCTTGTGCCGATGTAACAAAGGTCATAAAGATAGGAATGAGGATGTACTGAGGTGGAATTAGGAGATTTGTCGAGTTTCAGCATTGGATGATGGAAAACTCGAAAAGGGGGGGGATTCGTTAGACTGGAGGAAACAGGAAGAAGTAGGGCATCTTGTATAGTGAAGTACCTACGACTCGAGGCAGGCATTTACTTGATTGATATGAACTCGATTGAGGGAGCTCTTGCAGATTTGGGATGTTTCAGATGAATTTCATTACAATGTGGAGAGTACAATTGGATTTGTCTGAGGTTCATAACATGTTTACATTGAAGAATAAGTTCCCCTCAATGCTCTGGCATATGCCACTGATCTCCAACCCGGAAGCCCGTTGGAAAATGATCCGAGGGATCCAAAGACATATGTTTGAACCCAGTGATCCACGCACTTCCCTTGACCGTAGGCAGGACCGCCTTGAAATCCCCCACGGTGATCGTACCTCTAATACGACAGTCGAATGTCGATCCAATAATACTCTGATATACTAACTTCTCGCCAACCTGTAGTTCACCTCTTGCATGCAAGACAGCCAGTCTAGCACAGCTCCCAGTTCCGCACGGGCACCGGTCGAATCGCCCTGGAGACACCACGACGGTGTTTACCGCTGTTTTGGAGCCATCTGAGGCTTGCTGTATAGGCTCTGTGAGTTTAACAACCGTGACCTCTCTGATCTTATCATTTTCTGGATGCACTGGCGTATAGGTATTTCTCACAGCCTGTTTGATCTTCTCTCCAACATCAATCAACTTTGGCCCATTCGCATTCTTAATCTCCAGGCCAACAGATCGAGCATCAACAATCGCATAGTACATGCCGCCCCACGCAATATCAACCGAAATCACACCCAGTCCAGGAACATCAACCGGCAGATCAAGCTTGTACACAAAAGCAGGCACATTATCAAACGCCACAGCTTTACACTTTCCATCCTCGCAGTCCGCCGTCACGCTAACCAGACCCGCCGGTGTATCGAGATTCAACTTGGTAACCGGCTCTGTCATCTTCACCATCCCCGTATCAAGAAGCACCGTCGCTGTGAAAATGGTGTTTCCCCCTGACATCGGCGGATATTCGTCGCTTTCCATGATGAGAAATCCTGCATCTGCGCGAGGATCGCACGGAATTAGGACAAGGTTCATGCACATGGCAGGTCAGCCACGGGGTTCGTTCATGAGGAGCTGACGGATGTCGTTTGCTTCGTTTAGGAAGTAGAGTAGCTTTTCGTACATTGTTTTGCAGTGTGGTGGGTTGAGGACGCCGCCAACGATCACGTCGCCGACTTCGCCGGCGCAGTGGACACCCACTATGGAAATGGTGCGTGTGAGCTTCATTGTGGGTGTTGAGTATAGAGTGGTTCGGGACACGAAGAATATCAAGGGTAGGGTGGGTTTATATCAACCCCTTCAGACATTCTATTGCTCCCAGTTTTACCACGGAAGGCATGCCGGGCTACCTTAATCAGGCTTCTATCCAGGATCGATTTCCTGCGACAGATTTCCGAGTGTCAGACCTAGACTTCATGACTGCTGAAGGCGGGTTCCCTACACTTCTCCCCGCAGTTTGAAGGTGGCTATTGGTTGAGATAAGACCACCGGCAATGCACCCGATCGGGATCGGGAGAGCTCCCGATATCACCGACAGGAAATAACCAAAGCGTATGTGGATGAAGCTACAATCGATGGAATACACCCCCGCATTTCGGCGGCGGGGTGATCTCTGCTGCATCTCATGATGGAATGTCTATTGAATTCATATAACCATGAATCTATCACCAGAGGCTCGTGTCAAGAAACGATCATTAAGTGAGACAATACTGATATAGTTCAGCTGCCAACGATGCAAGAGACACAAGATCAAATGCTCCGGTTCTCAGCCCTGCTGCGATACATGCAGGAAGCGCAAGTTGAACCGCGTAATCGATGATCGCGCCCAAAAGGTATTGGTAACTCGAGGGTATGTCGCTGTACCCCTTTAACTGGCCAATGCTAAGATCTCAGTTATATTGAGGACTTGCAGAGGAAGGTGGCCTTGTTGGAACGAAGTGAAGAGTTGCCAAGTCCGCAGACTTTCTCGGACGACTTCGATAGACCAGGTTCACGTACTTCTCCCGAGCCACTCTTTCATCTTTTGAGATCACTAACTGTCAAAGGTGACACTGCAGGGCCTTTTGAGGGCACTGAGTGGGAGCAGGCTGAACATAACCCCGAAATAACCAACCCGCTCTCGACAGGTCCATCGACGTTCATGTCGACAGGGTTTCGGCCGGACATGTAGGTTTTGCCATATCATCATCTGTTGCTGTTACAGAGCTGACCCTAGCAGTCTACCTGGGCACCTCCTCCAATTGGTCCTTTGCTCGAAAGGTCCTGAGCATGATCCACGAGCATCTCTATGATTCCCCTCTCCCGACTGACAGGCGCCACTTTGATGAAACTGCCTACGAGCTGGGCTGGGATGGCTTGCGGACATCCATGTCATCTGAGGCCCCAATGATCCCCACCCTCGACTTCTCCATCCATCTCCTCAACGTGGTCAAGTTCCATGTTGGTCAACTATTTCATATATTCGACGAGCCGTCCTTTATGGAAGGCCTCTACGCCTACCACGAGAATCCTGTGCATCAGACCTCCGTCGATCCACTGTGGTATATTCAATACCTACTGTTGCTGGCGTTTGGCAAAGCCTTTTCCGTGCAAAGAGGTCTGAGTAGTCAACCTGCTGGATGCGAGTTCTTCGTCAAAGCGCTGCAGCTCCTACCAGATTTGACTCATCTTTATCAATATCCAATGATAGCTACTGAGATTCTGTGCTGCGTAGCGCTGTATCTACAGTCGCTGGACTTTCGGTCGTCGGCTTACGGGTTTGTAAGTACACTTTCATTCAGCGAATTGTCAAGTAGCTCATACATGAATACATAGATCGGCCAAGCCGTACGAATTTCTCTCGCCTCTGGTATGCACACAAACATGCCAATTGACCATCTAGGCGGAGAAGCCCTCCAGCGCCGACGCAGGATCTGGTGGACGGTATACATTCTCGACCGCCAGATGACCTCGTTCATGGGCCTTCCGCAGTCCATCGAGGATAACCAGATCTATCACGAGCTTCCATTGTTTCCCGAATCACCGCATAAAGTCACCGCGCTGAGTATGCAGATCAAAATGTGCCAGATAATTGCGGATGTTAACAGGAGTAGGTACCTCTTCCTTCCTGAGCATACTGCAGCTAACGCATCATCAAGCTGTGTATGGAGTTGATGGTCGTCTCAACAAAAAGTTCCTCTCGAGCACCAAGACAGCCCTAGGGAATACCGCCAATTTTTGATACCAGATTACAAGAGTCCCATCGTCTCGAGCTAGATGAGTCTAGTCCGAACGGGGTATCTCGTCTGTCAGCTCATCTCCACCTCTTATACCATCAGGTACATTTCTCCAGTAGTATTGTTATCTTCGTGACGCATCTGACCAATATTCAAAGTGCATAGTACTAGCAACACGACCGTTACTATTCTGCTTTTTGAAAATGCGACTCCAGAGCTTCGATCCGAACGCAAAGCCTCTCACCTCCTCGGCTATCGTTTGCAAACTACTTCAAGTGTCCGCCAAGCAAATGCTGAACATTCTTGTTATTTTGCAAATACAAAGTTTGCTAGGTAAGCCATTCATTTCCCTTCGTTGATAGTACATCAAGCTCACATTTATGCACAGACAGCTTCCTCCCCTTCGACCTCGAATCCACATTCGTATCTGCCCTAGTCCTCTTACTCGTACCCTTCGTCGACCCATACCTCCTAGACGACTCGCAACCATGGCTCCAAAAGGCATACGATGTCCTAGATGAGATGATATACCGGGGCAACCAAATCGCCGCATTTCGCAGATCAGATCTCGAGCAACTGCACGACTTGCTCAGAGAGTCATCAGGGCAATGTGACCGTCGCGAGGAGATGATCTCGCACATGTCGTTGCTTTATAGTGAGGAGAGTCAGATTGGTGACGCCAATGATCTGACGACGGCTGATATTATGACTGTTGCGGAGTCGATTGGGTCTATGGATGTGGATTGGATGGTGCATGCTGTTACGGAGAATTGTATTTGGTAAGTTGTTTGGTGGTGGTGTAACGGAGTGGGATGCCTCGAACTTCAAATCATAGGGCTAGGTCTCTATCAGGAGGCCCAGGTAGAGATCATCCTCAGCTAGACGAATCTAAAAGGGTTCCCTGCTTCTTCTTGTATAGCCCCAAGATAGCATCACCAACCGTGAAAATCCCTCTGAAACAAACTGGTTCACATTCTCAATATGCCCTTCCTTAACCTTGGTCAGATCCACTCCCCTCCTCAACGCGATAATCTCACCAATCTCAACAACACCCCCCGCCGCAATCTCACTCTGGACTAACTCACCACAGCTTTCGAGCCCAAAGTCGCGATCATCGATGAGTATGACACCCCTACCCTCTTCCCCAGTCGCAGGGTTATATCCATCATTGGCTGCGATGGTATCATGTAACAGCGAGGGATCTAGTTCGATCATATCAGGTTGCCAGGAGCCGATTGCTGAGATAAGTGGTCGTCTTTCCCCCTCCTCCATCTTCGTGAGATAGCTGGCCGCAAAGAGAGGTTTCTTAGACGGTGTAGTGCAGAAGACACAGTCCGCGTTGCTCAAACAACTCTCAATCTCCCGCTGAGCGTCCAAAGCAGCAGAGTTGACATAGTGAAAAGAGCATCCAGACCTCCAACGACCCCGATTCTCCCCCGAAACCCTAGCAACAAGCCCATCAACCCGCTCCTTAGACGGACTAATATAAGTAATACTCCTAACCTCCTCACCGCGAAGCATCAAAATAAGCCGTGTATGCCACAGGGCCTGCATCCCAGCACCAAAAATCACAATATGATCAACATGTTTCCTCCAGGAAAACGAAACCATGGCATTCATTGAGGTTCGATAGCCTGTTACTTCTTCAGAGCTAAGGAGTCCAGTTGGATTGCCCTTGCCGTCGGTCAGGACTATGACGTCGTGCAGGGGATCCTTTCTGCCGTGACTCTGGCCGTCAGGTCCAGGGCCAGGTCCAGGGGGCTGGTTCAACTGTGATTTTGGTACCGATGCATGAGTCTGAGGTAAATGGTCGGAAGAGAGTGTTCTGTCCGACGATGCTTGGTGGGGGCTGGTATTGGCGCTCGCCGTTGATGGAGAAGGCTTCGAGGGTTTGCTCGATTGTATCTCGGAAAGAGGTTGTTTCTTCTTTGGAGAGGTTGATTAGTAGGTTGTGGATTGTGGGGTTGTCGAGGACTTGGATGGTGGCCATTTTAGGATTCGGGAGGTGCTCTAGCAGAGCTCTGAAGAGGGTCGACATAGGAAACTAAATGAGTGGTCTGGCATATTCAGCTGAATAGACCCTTTAAGTGCAAGAAATGGCAGTCGGTAGGGTTCCCAATAGAGGCCCCGGAACTGTATACGGATATCGGCAAGTCTTCCGAGCGTTCATACGATATAGTACGTCCACAAATGAATCAAGCAGGCACTATTATTATATCATACCTAAACGCACTAATAGTACACTGCAATAAAATGCAGAGGAGAAATAGCTCTGTCGACAAAAAGAAAAGAAAAAGCCACAAACCCAGACCCATCACCGAATCTAACGCATCAACGCCTGAAAAAAACAACAAGAGAAAAATATTCCTGACAAGGACGAAAGCAAGACTGTATAAAAAAAATAAAAAAATAAAAAATAAAAAAAATAAAAAGCGAAAGAATCTTTTTTTTGCTGTATATCACATTGTATAGTGGGAGAAGAAGAAATGAGAGCACTCGAGCGGGTAAAAGTGCAATCCATTGAGAAAGTAAACGAAAAAGGATATATCAATAAGCAAAGGTCCGCAGGAAATAACGAAAATATCAATCCAGTCCCGCGCGCTAAGCCATATCTTCATCTCGAGCAAGGCGAGGGGCAAATTATAAAACGAACAAAAATCACACTAGCCCTCCCGGTTAATGATCGTAACCGGCTCCTCTTTGCCATGGACTTGCAGTGTTTTGATTTCGCTGGAAGGGCGATGCATTATACCCTCTTGGGATTGGCGAAGGCGACCGCATGCCATTGTAGCTAGGAGGGGGACCGCGGTTGTCACTTGGGAACAGAGGCACTGATGGGTCCACAGGAGAAACAGGAACACCACCGGTGGCACTGTGCGGTGACGTGGCCGAGTGCGGTGCTTCCAGGTTTTGACGGCTGACGCTAGCCCCATTGCCGCTGGAGAAGGAGTCATCGTCCTCAAAGGGGCTGGAATTGTAAGCAGAGCCCTTGGCATCCCCACGGGCGGTAGCACCCAAGGCATCCAATTCGGTGGTGAGCTGAGTCTGTGATTTGACGAACGAGCCACGGTCATCGCGCATCGGCTGGTAGCGGGTGTCGGGGTTCTTGGACACAATGGCGTAGATGGAGGCAATCAGGACCAGGATCAATAGAACCAAAGCGAACACGGCATTGTAGACGAAGAAGATAACACCCATCACACCCGTGACAAGACCAGGCTGGTTGAAGACCTGAGCGAAGAAGAGCAGGAAGATGGCGTTGAGGAAGTTGATGGCCTGGATCGTGATGTTGTAGATGTTGGTCTTCTTGTCCATCCAGGGGCGCAGCACACTGACGGCGATGAGCATGGCCGCTTCGATGATGACAAAGGCCACCGTCTGCACGATGGGGGCCGGCTGGCTGAGACCGATGAACATGCCCTTGACGAGCATATAGATGAGGACAGGGATAACAAAGTAGTAGGCCGTCGCGCGGTACTGCACGTACAAGAAGCCCCACTTGTTCAAACAGGTGGGGTCCGAGTAGAGGATGTAGGCCGGGTTCCGGTGCATGGTGATGGAGCGCTTGGCGAGGCGGATAACCTTGACAGCCGCCCAACCCAATGCAGCCACCATCGACACGATCATGATGATAGCCAGAATGATCTCGGCGACCGAATCACGGTGGGTCAATTCCCAAAGACACAGCACAACCATTTGCGGGAAACCGATCAAGGTCAAACGGAACAGGATGCCTCGAGCCACGACCTTCCATCCATTACGGAAGTCCGAGAACTTGTCACTCTTCATTTTGCCGTTCTTGGCGAGGATCTCGCAGACACCCTTGAAGATGGCTACGATAATCATGACGACCGCCACGAAGAAGATGAAGAAGATCAGACCGGTTAGGAAGATGTTGGTCTCTTCAATACCGGCTTCGAATCCAACACGCTTGATACCACGGACAATGGTAGTCTTCTGAGTGGCCTTTTGCGACTCGGCCTCTCTCTTGAGCAACGGCTCGGCGGCACGCTTCATGAGGGCAAGAGACGGGTCAACGGAACGCTTGAGCACCTGAACGGATGTGGTCGACAATTCCGAGAGAACGGTCGATGGGGTGCCTCCGGTCGAGCGCTGATACCAGGTACAGATGGTTTGCAAGAAGCCTATACGGATGATACCCATACTCCACTGGAAGTTCTGCGTCCACGATTCGACGATCGGGGGCATATGGACCGCCACCATACCAAACAGGGCCTGAGACTGCATGAAGCCGAAGAGAGACAGGGCATTGGCCGCCACGTGAGCGGCGGTGTTGGAGTGTCCAAGACCGGACGTAATGGCAGACGCAGTGAGACCCAATCCAGAGATGACGGCGGTCGTCCAACCAACACCTTTTTGGTAAACCGTTTGCCCGTTGGACAGGCGTGCCTCGAGGCAAGAGATACTCTCACCCGTTTCGGTGGAGTTGATATAGATACGGACATTGGCGTCGAGGTCGGGAACGGTGTATGCGATGCCTGTGCATGTTAGGAACCGCTCACTTTTTCTTCTTTTCTCTCGAGGTAGGAATACTTACTGGGAATTTGAGAGACGACACTCTCTGGAAGATCGAGGTTGGCCCTGGGCACATCAATGGGACCGGTTTGCATGGGGCAGAGACCGGCGAGGCCCATCTCACAAGGGTCCAACTCCTTTCTCAAGGCAGTGTAACCATAGGCCGTAAGGACGATTTCTGCCTTGACCTTGCCGGAAATCGCAGCGACACCATCGAAAGCAAAGGCGAGCGAATGGTTGTTGGGAGTAAAAGTGACACTGAAGTAGGTTGCCGTAAAGTTGTTGCTGTCCTGGCAGAGACTGAGGGCATTGGATTCAATGAGCTTGGTGGCACCTCCGAATTGCGCGAGGAGCGCGACGAAGAACCAGGCAAAGAGAGATATTAACCGCATATTGGCTGAAATCTGTGGGGGGGGAAAAAGTTGAAAGGAAGAAGAGGGGCGAGACGAGACGAAGGCGAGGTTGTAGTAGAGGGTGTAAATTCTTCGACTTGGCAATGGCCGGATGCGGAAATCACGAGGTAGTATTGAACGTCGCAGGGGAATCCAGGGACGGGTCGAATGATTAGTCACGACGCGAAGAATCCGGGACGAAAATCACGACGAAGAAAACAATCGCTTTGAAGAGGATAACAGTTCAGAGCGTCATTGATTGAAGGGGGGAGCAGGAAAATCGATAACCAGAGCGACTTTTCTTTGCGCGGGTTCAAAAATAAAAAAAAAAAAGGAGAGACAAGAGATCTATCGTATCGAATAAAGAGCGACCGAGCGATAAGATCAAGGAATCAAATCCTTAACAAGTAAAAGAAAAATAGAAGAATGAATGGATCACTTGAAAGAGCAAGTGAGAAAAAGGCGCGTAGAATCGAGCGAGTGGGACGGCGACACACAGTATAGCCTGAACGGGGGAGAAAGCGAGAGACAAAAGAAGAGTCTATGTCTTCTTTAAAAAATGTGGGGAAAAAAGAACTCTTTTCTTTTCTTTGAAATTGACTCTCTTCTTTCTTTTTTGTGTATATATTCTTTCACTCTCTTAGGGGAGTAATACCTCTGTTTCCAGACAGAAGAAGGGGGGGGAGGTCTGGAGGCGGAAAGAGGAGAGAGAGAGAGTAGTTAGGAGGTAAAACGAGAGTCGATGATGGCACTATTAGTTAATGGCGAGAGAGATCAAAAAAGAGGCCATCAAAAAGAGCGGAAGAAGAAGAGAAGAAGAAGAAAAGAAAAGGCGAAAAAAGAACAGAAACGAAAAATCAAGTCAAAAAAAAAAAAAAAAAAAAGAACCGACAGACACGGAACTGGGAGGCGAAAAGAAAGAGTGTTAAGTCAAGTATGGAATTGGAATGGATGGAGAGGTATGACTGCTGACTCATCCGGCAGGGGATGGAATTCAGGGATGCTAATAGTCCGTAGTTGATGTCAAGTACTGCCAGATTAAAATGAAGATTGATCGCTGGATCATGGCAGTGCTCTACAGTACAGTGCTCTACAGTATCCATACCACTTCATATTCTATATTCTCATATCTCACCCCATACTACTCCTCTCTTCTCCAGACTCTACTCTGTATGTACTCTGTACAACCTACAGGTACAGAGTGCACGCGCGTCCTCAGAGCTCAGCCAGTGACAGATGGTCCGACATTTCTGCCGCCCGGCGGATGCAGTGGATCGGACAGGCTATCGTTACTCGCTCTGGGGAAGCGCTCACTTGCCGTTCCGTGTCGATGAATGACGATATCTTTTTTGTTTGTCTTTCTGCCTTGTTTGCTATAAATATTTATTCTGTGCAGAGTACTGTACAGAGTATAAAGAGTGCAATATCTAGAGTACAAAGCAGGTACAGCTGACAAGATTTGACATTATGCAGGAACTCTACACCATACCTTATATGCATTATGATTCTTATCCAAGAACATTAATCTTCTCACTGTTGACCGCATGCGACTCATACCAAGTCTCCATACAACTTCATCAACGGAAAAAGGTAATGCCCAGGATGTGCACTGCCCCAGCCCCCTTGGCGGATAATAATGAATGAGCTTACCAATAGTTACTCGTAGTAACCCTCGTAGTTGGCCCCAGGAAATATTAACATTAAATGGGTTAGTATTTCTTTGAACGACTGTTGGTGTGTTTCACATTGGATCGTTTGGGAGCACTGTGCAAGTACAGAGTAGGTGTACAGAGTATAGTAAGTCAGGGTCTAATGACGCTGAGCCTCGGATCGGCCTTGATTGATCTTCGCTGGAATGCGCGTCTCGGTCGAAATCAGCCCAGCGGTCACCAAATCCAAAATTTTGGAAGGATTTTTGACTTCCTGACGGCCGATGTGTCTTTTGTATGCGTGTTTTCGGACTCGGAGAATATGGCACCTTGGCTCTCCAGGTGCCCGTAGCAAAAAAATAAAAATAAAAATAAATAAAAAAATAAAAGTGGTTGGTTCTATTTTTAACGCCGAACCATACGACCGATTGCTCTACAGAGTACAAAGTATGGTTCAGACGGCTTATGTACATATGTACTCCGGAGTACTCTTCTTTCGACATGTTTCAACCTGAGATTAATCTCCAAGATAAAAGATCTCATACGAATACGATTGACTTTATCTGAAGCAAGTAGACAATTTGAAGATGTACTTGTATACAGCTGCTGGGCGCTCTGACCGGCTTGTGCGGTGGTTTTCTACGACTGAACGGTCAGCGTACTCTGTAGAGAAACTATATTATGCTTTCTTCTTTTCTGTCCATGCCTTTCATCACTATACAGGTGGAAATATAGAGGCATCTGCTCAGCAATTGCTTGTAACTATGTGCTCCGTCGATATTTTGAATGGTATGACCCACTTTTCCATATCAAGACAGTACGAGTACGAGCCGGCTTTAGTTCGGCATATCTACCTGAGGTGTATGTTTACGCCTCGTTTCTACCTTATGCCGTCTGCTATCGCTATCACCACGTGACTAAATGCTAGAACTTTCACCGCCCGGCAATAAGATTCTCGCCCGCAAAATCTAATATCTCCGACCGCCGAAGAAAAAAAAAAAAAAAAGTCTCTACGAGGACAACCAGGTACAGTGTGACATAACATTATAATAATCAATCATGGCAAAGGAGATCGAGAAGAAGGCAAAGCCCGTTGACTCGGCAAAGTCTATCGCCAAGAAGAGAAAGAGAAAGCATGCGCGCGCCGGCGCAGATGCTGATGAAGAGACTCCCAAGCAAGTCGCCAATGGCAATGGAGCAGTGAGCGACGATGACAACGAGAGCGAGATCGAGCAAAAGAAGACTTCCTCAAAGAAGAGCGCCACCAAGCAGAAGGAATCGTCGAGAAAGCGGAAAGTAAACGACTCGCCCAGCGCCGACGAAGACGACGAAGAGAAATCGCAAAGTGAAAACGAGGATGACGATGGCGACAAGGAGGAAGACCAGGAGGATGAGGACGCTGCCGATGATAAGGCCGGTGCAGACCTTCCCTCCGTGGATGCTGTCCGTCTGCCACAGACAGAGGGCGCACCGCAAAAATTCTCAGACTTGAACCTCTCGGACAAGACAATGAAGGCTATCGGCGATATGGGTTTCCAGACTATGACGGAGATTCAACAACGGACCATTGCTCCGTTGCTCGCTGGTCGGGATGTTTTGGGTGCTGCGAAGACTGGTTCCGGAAAGACTCTGGCTTTCTTGACTCCTGCTGTTGAGATGCTGAGTGCCTTGCGGTTCAAGCCTCGGAATGGTAGGCATTCTTATCCCCATACTACGATTCAGTACTAATGTCATTAGGTACCGGTGTTCTCGTCGTCTCTCCTACCCGCGAATTGGCTCTGCAGATTTTCGGTGTCGCCCGAGAACTCATGGCTCACCACTCCCAAACCTACGGCATCGTCATCGGAGGCGCTAACCGCCGCGCCGAAGCCGAAAAGCTCACCAAGGGTGTCAATCTCCTCATCGCAACCCCCGGCCGTCTCCTCGATCACCTCCAAAACACCCAGGGCTTCGTCTTCAAGAACCTCAAGACCCTCGTCATCGACGAAGCAGACCGCATTCTCGAAGTCGGTTTCGAAGACGAAATGCGCCAGATCATCAAGATCCTGCCCGCCGAGGAGCGTCAGACCATGCTCTTCTCCGCTACCCAGACTACCAAGGTCGAGGATTTGGCACGGATATCGCTGCGCCCGGGTCCGTTGTACATCAACGTCGACCACCGCAAGGAACACAGTACGGTCGAGGGATTGGAGCAGGGATATGTGCTTTGTGAAGCGGATAAGCGGTTCTTGCTGCTATTCTCGTTCCTCAAGCGGAACCTGAAGAAGAAGATCATTGTTTTCTTCTCCAGCTGCAACTGCGTCAAGTATCACGCTGAGCTCCTCAACTACATCGACCTGCCGGTTCTGGAACTCCACGGCCAGCAGAAGCAGCAGAAGCGCACCAACACCTTCTTCGAATTCTGCAACGCCACGCAGGGTACCCTCATCTGTACCGACGTTGCTGCCAGAGGACTTGACGTACGTTCCCCCATCTTTCCCATCTTTCTTATAATTTCAATTCCAATACTGACAAACGCAGATCCCCGCCGTCGACTGGATCATTCAATTCGACCCCCCAGATGACACCCGTGACTACATTCACCGTGTCGGCCGTACCGCGCGTGGCAAGGAAGGCAAGGGCCGCAGTCTTTTGTTCCTGCAACCCTCTGAAGTGGGCTTCCTCAAGCACCTCAAGGAAGCGCGCGTTCCTGTCGTCGAGTTCGACTTCCCCGCCTCGAAGATTGTGAACGTCCAGTCGCAGCTTGAGAAGCTCATTGGACAGAACTACTATCTTAACAAGGTAAGCTTTTCCCCCCTGTCCCCAGACTGCACCGCAAATCCCATACTAACTGGGTAAACCACAGTCCGCAAAAGACGGCTACCGCGCCTATCTCCAAGCCTACGCCTCGCATTCCCTCCGCTCCGTCTTCGACGTGAACAAGCTCGATCTCGTCAAGGTGGCCAAGGGTTTCGGATTCTCGGCGCCCCCGCGCATCGACATCCAACTTGGCTCGAGCCTGGGCCGCGATAAGAAGCAGTCGCAGCAGGGACGGAGAAATTATGGGTCTCAGCCTAATGGGAAGGGGTTGAAGTTTAAGAGGCAGAGGAGGGATGAGTAGATTATCTGTATAGAGGGAAAAGTTTGGTTTTTGTTGATGGTTTGTTTGGGTATGGCGTTTTAGCCTGTGGATACATTAATTGCATGCTGTTCTACAGAGTACATCACCCTCCCCTCCTATCAGGGTTCAGTAACTATGTTCAACTTATGTTCTATTGAAGATCAACAACCACCTTCCTCGCAGAAACACCCTTCATCTGAACATCAAGCGCATGCTGCACACTCTCCAGTCCCTTCCCAACAACAACCGGATCAGGCTTCGCCTGTAACTGCCCATTAACCAGGGCACCAGGCACAAAGTCCTCCCATATTGCTTTTCCGATCTGTTCGTGTTCAGGCATGGCCAAGTGTAGCGCGAAGACTGTACTGTTAGCCTTCCCATCCTCGGGGTAGTGAACAAAAGAAGAAAGAAAAGTCAAAGAACATACCAAATCTAGCATCCAAACCCCTCGCCTCCTTATAAGGCAACACACCCGCAACCCTCAGATCCTTCTTCCCAAGTCTCTCCAGAATCTCCGCAAGTGGTGCAATGCTCCCCTCCTCACTGATAGCATCATAAACACCCACAAGCTCACTCTCGCCCTGGCTTAACCTATTCACTATATTCTCCACAACACTCTCAGCCCTGTAATTAAACACCAACGACGCACCCAACGACTTGACAAACTCATAGTTCGATTCCGAGGCCGTAGTTACAACTCTCAACCCCGATGCAACGGCGAGTTGGATCGCCGTTGCGCCGACGGAGGACGAGCCGCCCCAGATTAGTATCGATTTTTTAGCATCGTGGGTTGGTTTGGAGTTATTGGTAAGTGTGGGTAATGGGAGAGACAGATAATCCGGTAAATAAAGCCCAGCCGCAGCCGTCGATATAGCCAACGGTAAAACAACAGCTTGTTCAAAAGACAAAGAATCCGGGATGTCCGCTGATAGACTCGCATAGGCGTGCGGATAGAGCTGGTAGCCTGAGTGGATGGGGTTTGATGTTAGGAGGCTGGGGACGTGACTGCATTTGTCAGTTAGTGTATGCTTTTTTTTTTTTTTTTTTTTTTTTTTTTGATATTGGGGGTGTGAGGGTGGCAGGAACGCACGAAATAACACGATCACCCTTCTGGAAACGAGTAACTCCCTCGCCTACTTCCTCGACGGTCCCTGATACGTCTGTTCCCAGGATGAAGGGGTAGGTCTTGGTGTAGGCGCTGTATTCGTAGTTTCTGCGTGTGTCAACTTTCATCCCATACAGATGTATCAGACACATGAGGCTTACTGGATCTTCCAGTCAATTGGATTCTATACACGAATGTTAATTTGATTGCTGCTCATTTGTAACTCGGAAAGTACTCACCACCGCCGCAGCGTGATTCTTGATCACTATCGTGCCCGCTTCGGGTTTTTGCGTAGGCGCATCGTCGACTTTGAGGGGGTTTGCCTTTTCAGATACGATCCATGCTGCGCGGTTGGCCATTTTGTTAGTATATACAATGGATGGATGTAGAAGGATGGAAATCGAGATGAGGGGGTGTAGATGGGCAATATATTTTATTATTGATATCATGTCCCTAACTCCGTTTAACTCCGGCTCCATTTCAACACATTAATCAGCTATGAGTAAAGAGATTGAGATATTTACGTGAACAATGGCAAATCCCATAGATTTATTACTATTCATGCACGTTTCCCAAAATGCAGACGTTTTGTCGAAAGCTAGACAAACAAGACTAGGTATATGATATGAAAACATTGGAAACAACCGTAAATCAAACCGAGGTCACTTTTCTATCACCGCCCGTCACCAAGACCCGGAGGCCCCGGAGGACCTGGCAAAGGAGCACCCGGAGGTGGGCCCGCAAACGAAGGCATCGGCGGTGGCCCACCAAAGCCATCATGCCCCGGAGCGACTGGTGTGCCAGGGCTGGGACTCGGGGTGAACCCGGCGCCCGGAGGCGGAATGGCAGGGAATCCCGGCGCACCAGGAGGGGGAATCGGGAAGTTCGGGAAGCCACCAGGGGGAGGTGGAGGGAGACCTTGGCCGCCAGGCGGTAGTGGCATCCCAGGCATAGGAGGCGGGGGGAGGTTTCCGGGACCGGCAGGGAATGGGGGAGGGAAGGGAAGGCCACGGCCACCGGGAGCTGTATGGTCATTAGTTTTATTTCATAAGGCATAGGATAGACAAAACGTACGTGGCATCCCTGGTGCTCCAGCTCCAGGTGCTCCTGGCGGAGGAATTCCAAACGGAGGTGGTGGCATCTGACCCGGTCGACCTATCAAGAACCCTGTGTCAGCTTTTGATTCTTTCCAACGCCAACATGCCGGCCTTCGTTATCACTAACCTGGGAATCCGAATGGCGGGGGGTAGGCACCAGGTGGAACCATGACAGGGTTAGGAACAGCCTGTCCTTCAGCGGCGTACGACGACGTGATCGAATCGATGACCGATTGAGCTTGTTCCTGTCCGATCTCTATCCTCATTTTGTGAGCTAATATCCTTGATGAACCCTCGGGGATCTCGCATACGTTGATAGTACTCCAACACGTTCCTCAAATGGTTCCGTCCTGAATTATGCGCCTTGCGCACACTCATCGAGTCGTGCGTGAGGTAGACATCGCAGTAATCACCTATACGAGTCGCAACGGTTAGCGGAAGTCGATAAGGTTGTCCGGCCACGGCAAAACCTACAGAAGAGTGCATAGGAGTTAGTTTGAAAACGTATCATCTGGAGGATGGGAAACACTTATATTTCGGCATCTTGAATGGTATTTCTGGTGATTCGACTGTTCCTGGTGTCCTAGACCAAGCTTTGACGGGTAGCGCTGCAAAAGCGCGTTGCGCGTAGGGTCGTGAAGAATCTCAGCGTCGCGGGAAAAGAGGGACTCAGATAAATTTAGGACGCGCCAATTCACTGCTAGTTAGCACGACGTGATGATTCGCGATGTTTCTTTGATTTCCAGAAGAGAGAAAGCTGTGGTCGACGTTGGAGAATATCGATGGCGGAGGTTCGTAAATGGAAGGCGGTTGCGGATGGCAAAATCAAGCATATTGTCGACGGGCTTCATGATTGCCGTATTAGATGTGTGCATAGGGATATGTGCTTATCGGGGGGTTTGTTAATCTGGTCGCATTAGACACCATGGCAGTGTGAGCTACTAGTCCAAATTCCGAGTGTGAGATTATTAGTATCGGACCTAATATAAACTTGCTTGCAATATGGAGATGGATATATATTTGAGCAGAGCTGGAGCTACATTAGTGATCACTACGAAGTACCTATCGTCCGTACATAGCCCTCCTGGGCCAAATAGACTAACATCTGCGCAGAATGGCGTTCACATCTATGTCATATATGCTGAGATGGCACATCTCCTCAACTAGACGCAACAAGTGTCTGCTCAGTGCAGCTCGAGCGACAGTAACTTGATTTGCAGACAGTCATGGCAGCCCGACGACGTGCGAAGGGGCCAAACTTTATGAGACAGTCATGATTGAGTCAGTTGACACAGGAGGTTAGGAACTGCATCCCTAACATGGGCGCAGCCCGATGGATTACCATCCTCTTGGCAAGATGAGATGCGCAGCCACCCTTCATTCCAGCTGATGAGCAAAATTGAAGCCAAGTGACCAATGCAAGCGCGCAGAGATCTTTTGATACCTGCCTGCATTAGCTGTACTCTGCATGGGTGCAATTAGCACCAAGTATATGACGATGGCAAAAACGCCCAGATGTAAACAAAGCGCCTGACAACATCAGCCACCAAAATAGCGCAAGTAAGAGTTGAAATGACATCCTGGCCTGTGTTTCTCAACAATACCAGTCTTGGACATGCAATACATTCAGACCATCACCTCATCACAACACTCCCTGTCGCAGACCGCATCTAGAGTCAAGAAATCACTCAAGGAGCAGAAAACAGTACGTAACCGTTAGTAAATGGTTCTCGAAAGCCTGGAGGCTTGCAGATGCAACAGTAGTACGGAGTACTTGTACTTGTAGACACGATCCGCGCTGGACCGGCCGCGCAGAAATGGCGGAATTCCATGTCATTCGTTTGAGAGTGTCGCGGGGAAGTGCACCATGCCATCATAGTCTCCTCCCCGACAAGGAAATTAAGGAGGTACTCATGCAGCTAAGAGGGGAGAGTTATAAGGTGCATTACTACTCCGTACAAAATATCCCTCATTAATATCGGCCGCTGATACATATTCTGCGGGAGGCAGGAAAATCCGGGGAAGCAGATTCGATTCGGCTGTCATCGGTTGCCATTTTCAGATGCAGCCGGTTATTTGCCCGGATGTCCGGCTCGGTCATGTGGACCAATAAGGAGACTGGATTTGGGTGGGGGCTAGCCGATGATGATTTTTTTTAAATTTTTTTTTATCAGCCGACTGCTGAGTCAGGAACCTGATTTGGTTTGGTCTGAAACGTTCCAAGCGTACCATGGCAACTGCATTGAGAATGTCGGTCAGGGCTTTTCACGTAGAATATTCGAGGCTTGGTGCACTGATTCAAGAGTTCCCCGTGTGGCCTGATGATGAATGAGTGATTTCTTTCGTGATCGGGGCTGTTACTAAAAGTATGTAACGATGATCTGCCAGGGTTATGAGCACCCTGCCAAGAGGCCAGATCTACCAGCCAAGAACGGCTGTAGTCAGGAGGCATCTTCAATAACCACTTTTAGAATGGCAGACAGTTGGCATTATGAGATGCCCAAGAAGACAAACAAGTATGCTGGGCGAAAGGAACAGCCCCAAGGGCCGAGTATGAGTACCGTGACAGAAAAAAAAAAAAAAAAAAAAAAAAAAAAAAAACTTCGGTAAGGACCAGTGAGGCCAGCAGATGGGGCCTACCGAACAAACACGTCGCTAGCCCTGACACATAGTAACCCAGAACAGCGTGGTCAACGTGCTGCCGACGGGCGATGATGCAATGGTACAGCAATTTTCCCCTGTATTCTATAAAAGTTCTATGGCATTATTATTTGTACTATTTTGCATTATCCCTGCCAAGGACTTGGCTCGCAATACATGTTCAGTATTCTCTCATCAGGGATAGTAGTATATGGCAGAATTACAGGTAATTATGAACTCAACGCGTGACCAGTGAAAGCGTAGTTTCCATTACCCCCAGGAAATTGCTCGTCTTTCCCATTTTGGGACTCATGGCCCCCTGACGGTCCCTGATTGGTCTTCTCGGGGGTTTTTGTTACGTAGCGCCACCACGCCCATTGGCGTCTGTTTGTCAGATGATCCGGGGGCGGCTGTCTGCGGTAACCAATTACAGCGGTCAGGAATTACGCCGTATTAAGTAACGCGCGCCAAGTGGGTTCTTGGCAAGGCAAAATTATGAAATTGAAAATTGAAAAAGACGCAGTCCCACTTTGACCCACTTCTTACCCCATACGGAAGAGACCAATCATAGGTCACAGGACGGTGCCTGGCAATGAATCTTTTGGTTTGTATAAAACCCTGAGGGTCCCGCTTGTTGTCTGGGTCTGATTCACGGTGCAAACATATTCAATTCTATCACTACTACTCACACACGCTACCAACGGGACATCATACCTGACCTCCTCTATACTCCCACCTATACACCACAACAACATTCGGATGGCTTGGAACTGCATACAGCAAATAGAAAAGAGCTTTCAGTTCAATAATAATAGTCATCATAGACATCATTCATAATGCCTGCCTCCACAAATTACCACGTCATTGAACCTCATCCCTCGGTCCCTCATACCTCCCGGCCGGCCATCCATACAGCTCGCGGCGGTGCAGGCAATGTTATTAGTCTGAAGAACACCAAGACCACCGATTCCCGCAATGCCTCTGGTCCGCCTTCTCTCACCCGTCTGGACTCGCGTGTCCCTCGTACCTTCAAATCCGGTCGTGGCGGCGCTGGAAACGTCCACAGCAGCAGTGAGCGTGCTATGTTCAGCTTCGACGAGGAATTGGAACGCGAACTGCGTCGTGTGGCCCCCGTCTACCATGTTGGTCGTGGCGGCGCCGGTAACATGATCGCTAACGATACCTCCGGCTCGTCGTCCCTCAGTCGCAAGTTCTCCGGCAGCAGCGCGGGCACCAGCAGCAGCTCTCTCTCGATGGGTGATCAAGTTCGCGACAAGGCCATCTACGGTATACAGAAGGGCTGGGGCAAGCTGAGGGGTATGGCTTAAGGCCTGCCATCTCTGCGCCATTGAGTCCTTCAACGGCTGCCCAACTCGACCTTCAACTGTTACGAGTTTTACGACCAAAAAAGTTCTTCGATTTCTCCTCTCTTCTCGACCGTCTATTCGAATCACCTAGACGCTTTTTAATCCCCATTCCTTCTTCGATACCACGCCTACGAACAGCAACGGCACGGAACCACTACTCATTCGAACCCCTTCCCAGGGGGATACTTTGCTTCTCGCAACCCGTCTGTTTACCAGCGTGTCAATTTTGATTGATACCCCTTTGGTTGATCAGTGCGCACCCCGCATTTGATTACATACATTATTTCCTTCTCTTCTCATTTCCTTTGTTCTATTTTCTTTCTTCTCGACTACCCCTTTTGTCTATCCTTCTAGGCTTGGTTCGGGAGGCTTTGAAACCTGCATTGGCAATTTTGCATATCCATTTTTGTTGCATCATATCCCACCCCATCCCCTTTTATGGGTCGGGTACTATCTTTGGTCTTGGTTTTAGCTTAGTTACTATTCTACCATCACAATATCAACTACTAGCTACTACTTTCTAGCTAGTAAGCAAATGCGCATTGTATTTGCCGGAGTCATCTGTTCCATACTCTTTTTATTCCCCGTACTATGTGTAACTCGTAGACAAGCTCTCGTGGATGTTTAAGTGTAACCAAAGCCATGAGGTGCTAAGTAATAGCACATTGATCGTACTCTGTGCTCCTTTTCTGTGCATCGTTGCATTTGCTTAGCGTTCATGTGAAGCTTGTTATCCCGTTTTCTCTTGGCAGTGAGTTTATCTACTCCCGTACAAGTAGTTGTTCTCCGAGTGAACACATGTTTTAGAGGGGATATTGGTTTTTGTAAGCACTGAGTGCCTTATTTTCTGTATTACTCTTGTGTATGTGCTCGGAGCAAGGGCTCATCCCACTCTCTCGGCTTCAATAAGTATCCATCGTCGTGACCCCACGGCTGATATGCTGTAGATGAATGGGGGTGATTCAGAACCTTTGTCAACAATTTAAGATATCGAGTCATGGTAAAGGCTGATCCTACATGGTGTGCCAGGTCGGTCAGGATCAGTTGAAATACTAAGCTGGATCCCAATATAACTGTCTATTCGTATGTACACTCGTGTCAGCCAAAGCCAAATATTGCCAGTAGATAAGTACAGTTTATGTAGAAAACTGCAAGTGTTTAGCCCATGTCATTGCTATACATAAGACCTCGCGTTGGCAATCACGTTCGAACCCAGGACATAAAACATAAAACAAAGAAAGCTCGGATAATACACCGATTCAAGAAACTCAACTCGCATAAATTGAAGGAATTAACTCTCATGGGTATCAAAAGCCGCTGCTCATATTCCAGAAAAAAGACCCCGGTTAGCGGTGTCATGGATTGCTCGACATCTCGCTGGTCAGAGTTCAGCGCCAGTGTTGTGGATGGTAATGTGGATGGAAGGTGAAGAGAGCAAATAGGGAGACGTTGATCCATCACTCGTGTCTTTTTTTACTTTTTTGGTGGTTTTCCTTCTTCTGACACCAGACGTAAAGCGTTCTTAGACGAATTTCCGGTGGATGATCTCAGGGTCTTCGTGCCATTCGTCTGCGCTAACCCACATCTGTTTCTTGTTAGCAGAGCTGCACTAATTAGGTGTGCAAAACGACTCACCTTTCTGAAAGTACTCAATCCGGCAAGAATACCACCACCAATCCATGTAGTGTACTTCCGTTCTGCAGGCGCAGAAATCCGGATCTTCATGTCCTCCACGGCCAATCTCTTGATCTCGCGCATCAGCCGGTCAGGGAAGTTCTTGCAGAGTGTTGAACCGCCAGAGAGAACGATGTTGAGGTATAGCGATTTCCGCAGGTCGAGATCTGTCCGGGTAATGGCGTCTTGGACAATCTGGTGGACACCGGGGTATTCGAGGCCGATGAGTTCGGGGTCGAAGAGGATTTCAGGGGCACGGTAGCGTTCTTGTCCGACCTGTTGACATGGTTAGAAGGTGTTGGCAATGGAAACGGAAAAAGTGAAACGTACCTTAATCTTGTAACCATCAGGCAAAGCATAATCCACCGACTTGGCCTCCGACTTGTGATAACTATTCATCCAGTCCTTCTCCTCCCGCTTCGGATCCAGCGAAACATAGCACACTTTCTCCTTGATCATCCGCACCACCTCTTTCTCAGCACTGGTATGAAGAACGTGTCCATTCTTCCTCAGCAGTAACTGCAACTGCTCCGTAACATCCCGCCCAGCAACATCAATCCGCCGTATACTATTCGGTATTGCGAATCCCTCAAACACCGGCACCGCATGAGACACCCCATCCCCCGAATCCAGCACCACACCAGTCGTCCGTCCAGACGCGTACAGCGACAACACCGCCTGAATAGACGTATACAGCGCAGGCACATTAAACGTCTCGAACATAATCTGTGCCGCAGCGTCACGGTTCTTGCGCGGGTTCAGCGGCGGCTCCGTGAGCAGCACGGGGTGTTCTTCGGGGAGGGTCTTGAGTTCATTCTCGTAGACGTAGTGCCAGATCTTTTCCATGTCGTCCCAGTCCGTGACGATTCCGTGCTCGAGGGGGTATCTGATCTTCAGCAGGCCGCGAAGTTCTTGCGCGCGGTCTCCGATAAACACGTCGCCTTCCAGACCGCCGGCCATGACCCGGGGGTGTTTTGGGCGACCGACGAAGGATGGGAAGTAGCAGGAGGGGACTTCTTCGCCTGCGAAGCCGGCGCGGATGGTGCCGCTGCCATTGTCGATGACGATGGGGGCGTTGTGAAGTGTTGCCTCGGCCATTGTGTGTGGGGATGGAGGGAGGTTGAGGAGGGAAGGCGGATGTGAAGTTTGGTGACCGACGGAGTTGTTTAGTTGTGTGAGAAGGCCCCACGGCCGGGGTTACTGAACGCGTAGAACCGACAAAGGGCGATAATGTCAACAATTGAGATTTAAACTGAATTCTGTCGTCGTTGACAGAAAGCGTGTGCAATGGGGAATGTAAAGTGGTGGCTTTACGGAGGGGGTCTCCAATCCGCAACTTCGCGTCTCCGGCCAAACAGCGGAGCTTGGGCCACTTGTATACATCCTCCGTATGGACTATGCCACCACCACGAGTACTGAAGATAGGAATCAATGTTGATAGTGGGAAGTCAATTGATTCTCAATCCTTTGGTTGTTCAATTCTTTCTATATACAATGCTTTTGCTAGCAATAAGGAGCCTGCTAGCACCGGAACAAGTAAACCATACTGATTCTGTGCTCCAAAATCATCAAAAGAATAAGACGGATGAAAATAGTCCTGTCATATCTTCGCTGCAGTAGCACCCAGCGTACACTGTACTGTGCCAATCGTGATAAATATACCCAGCCCGGCGTGGCTCTCGGCTTATACTTCTAACCCAAACCAATGTGACCCCAAACTGGACGAATCAATCCACAAACCCAAGCTCGTCCGACATGACTTGCTCTAGTGTCGGTTGTCGTTGGTTTCGTCTGCGAACCGGCGGCCATCTCAACATGTGAGAACGCAGGGCTTCTGCTTCGCTCACAGCTTCGAATACCTCTCTGACAGGGGGTTAGCCGGACAATTCCTTCTGTAGCTGCTGGGAAAAGCGACATACTTGACGTTACTTGCTATCACATAGCCTTGCTTTTGTAGCTCATTCGCCAGTTCTTTCTGATGGTTGTCCTTGAGGGAAGGATTCGGGACGACCACAAGTGGAACACCCAGGCGCATTGCTTCGAGGATACTTCCTGACCCTGGCATTTGATAAGCACCTGCCTGACACACCTCTGTATCAATAAGAAGTCATCGTACCTGCGTGACTGATAATCATCCCACCCTCCTGATCAAATTCAGCATTCGCCTGCGCCAGACGCATCTCTTCACCAAGTCCCGCCTGATTGAAGTCGAATCCGGCAATCTCAATCCCATGACGAGCTTCACTTCCTTCTGGATTGTTCTTGGTGAAATTCTCGCAGATAGCCTGGCCATCTTTGCCGTATTGAACGAGTAAATGTGTGTATCCGTGTTGCTTCAATGCGCTCAGGAACGTCTTGTTGAAAACATATTGGAGGAGTAGTTCAAAGGAAGCTGTGGCTCCCACCGTTACAAAGCACAACTTCATGGCCGGGTTCTGAGCTTGGAATCTTGTAAATCTTTAAGGACTAGACGACTGGCCGCAGGGATCGGGAACCCTTTGATTGGCGAGGAAGTTAACCACGACCTCGTTCAAGCCGGAGCATATTACACCCGTATATATGGGCAAGTCAAAAGGATGCAATAAGATGAAGATATTGCTGATGATGATGCCGGAAAGTAAAGCAGCAGTCGTCCGTAGTACTTGACGTTGTTGGAAGCCGTCCCAATACGGTTTAGCGCCCCTCCGCCGCCAAGCCCCAAAAAACATCCTCCGAAAGTCCATCGAAAACCGTCCGGCGCAAGCACGGGAAATCTCACCAAACACTCAGCAACACCCGCAATGGCCTCTGTCGCAAGGTCTCTAGGCCGTCCGGCCTTCTTCCTGGCCCGGAAAGGCCCCCTCGCCTCGTCCTCGCGCTCGTTCTCCCTCACGCCCCTCAGATACATGCCCGAGGATCCCCCGGTCCCTCCTCCCCCAAAGGCACGGAAACCCGAAGACTACGCCGCCATGCCGGAGTACTCGCCAGACCTGTTGAGTAAGCAGGAGCGGTCGATGTACGACATGATGGCCCCCGAGGAGAAAGAGCAATTCGATGCGGAGAACCGTCGGATTGTGGAGGAGTTCAATGATCCGCAGAAGCGCGCGGCTGCATTCGCTGAGATTGACAGTCTGGCGAACCAGGTGGAACGGGAGGAACCAATGCGGTTCAATGACGAGCCTGAGAGGAGACGGGGGTTCTGGGCGGAAGACGATGGTGATGAATTCGCTCTCGTTGAGGATGGTGATGAGGCGTTTAACGACGACGAAATCACCTCCATGGCTCACGCGGAAGTTGAAATGCACCGCGAGATCAGAGAATACGCCCGCATTGCAGCATGGGACATGCCTCTGTTGAGCCGTATGCTTGCCCAACCCTTCCCAATTGCGTACCATTGCTAAACTGTTACAGACCTCGCAAAGCCCTTCACTCTTCCCCCCCAAACCCACATCCTCCGCTTCCGCTACACAACCTACATGGGCGAACAACACCCCGCCGAACCCAAGGTCGTCGTCGAACTCTCCACAAAGGACCTCACCCCCACATACCTCACCGAAGCTCAGCGCCAAACCTTCCTCAAACTCGCCGGCCCGCGCTACAACCCTGACACCGACATCGTCCGTATGTCCTGCGAACAATTCAACACTCGTGCACAGAACAAGCGGTACCTGGGTGACGTTATCAACAATCTCGTCAAGGAAGCTAAGGAGGGCGATTCGTTCGCTGATGTCCCTCTGGATCTCCGGCACCACAAGCCCAAGCGGCAGCTGCGCTTCCCTGAGGAGTGGATGATGACTGAGAAGAGACAGAAGCAGCTGGAGGCTAGACGGGCGGAGCGGGAACGTGCGGAAGAGAAGAAGCAGATTGTGGATGGGAGTGCTGTTTTTGCGGAGGCGGCAAGGACATTGCCTGAGTTGAACCCGGCGTTGAGGGCGCAGGCGTCGAATGAGCGGGAGAAGGTTGCTGTCAAGGTTGGTGCTAGGGCGAAGAAGTTACGCTGAACGGTCAAGACATGATGGATGCACTGTATGTTTTATGTTGAAAACAAGTGTTTAAAACGGGCGCATGTTCAAAAGGGTATTTAGACTCTATTCCAATGTATTATATTTTCTGGTTACCTTGTTTTCCTACTCTGGAACGTATGCGTATCGCATGGATCATCATATCTGCATTCCGTGTACCTACGGATCCTGCTCTCCGTCATGCCCTATAATGATATAAGATACCCGTCCTGTTATAGTACACACACATATAGACCCAAGATATCCACAGAATTACCACGAAAGCCCAGTACTTTCCCGTATCTCAACGAAAGATCCAACCACCAAAGCCAGTCCAGTCCAGTCCAGTTCTCAGCCATTGTCACAACCCTAAGCATGTTATTCGCACCCGTAAGTCACCCACATCCATCCTGACAACCTAGACCAGCGTTACATGTTCCACTATAGATAAAGTAGGTGAACAAGGTCCAACGGTGAAGTGAAGAAAAGAGGAGATATTCAACCCGGTCATCCAACAACAGACACAACGAAGACATAAAAACGATGAATAAGACAAACAAAAATTAAGATAAACAAAACCACTTGGCCGTCGAGTCGTAATAAGTGACCATTCTCAGAGGTCAGGTATATTTAACTGTGTAGTTTCCACCCTTTCGTTGTATCAAAAGCCAAGTGGTCCTCGCGTCCGACATGATTAAAACAAGAAACAAACGGAAGGCTAAAAGTGTAAAGAAAATCGATCAAACAAACGAGCATGGCTACTTTCCATGATCATGTCCATTAGCAGACTCAACACCGAAATCAAACAAATCTTCTTCCGAAGAATTTGTGTTCGCAGCCTTCTTCCGGTGGTAGCCCCTCTTGCTTCCAATAGTGCCTGGCATGACCCTGTCCTTGTTCTTATTATAGAACGCCTGAGGACTCGACTGGGAAGACAAAGAGGTCGGCGAATGGGTAGATGGAGAGGCCACACGAGTAGGAGGATCAGAGCTTCCCAAGACGCCGATAGGGCTCGTGACCTGAGATCCGTTCGTTCCCTTGGAAGCCACAGAAGCAGCGCTGGAGTATGTACTGTTACCATGATGCGCGTTTCTGAAAGAAGCTTGGTCACGTATTTCCTGGTTTTCCCCGGGGACGACGATCTGGGAACGAGGTTGATACAGACGACGGCCCTTCTGGGTCTTCTTGGAGCGTTGCTGGGTCGGGTTTGGGCCGAGGGGGGTGGGGAGGTAGTCTGGGGTGTTTGGCATGAGAGACTGGAGGTTGCGGACCATTCCTTCACGGTGAGCCTCGTCGGGAGTCTTGGTGTTGGTATTGTTGGCGTTGTTACCAGGGCTTGAAGCAGGATACGCCACTCCACTCATGCCACCATGCAGAGCGTCAAGAGAAGGATAGTCTGGAAGAGGATCGAAAGACAAAAGATCAATCTTCCTGGCACCGGGCGCACCCATGCTCTGACTGGCGACATTCCTTGAACCATGTCTCTGGGAGCTAGGAGCCTTGGGCGGATTCATAGCAGGATAGCTGGCGCGAGGGTTCCCAGAAAACATGCTCGTCTCGTTTCCATTGTTCTGCTGGAGGGCAGGAACATAGCTGGTCGGCTTCTGCTTGGGAGCCTTCTCTGTATCTGACGAAGAAGGGGTAGTGGTTCCGTTATATCGCAGGCGAGCCGGATACTGGATGGACTTGACCATGTCACTGTCTACAGCATCGTCTCTCCAGTTCTGGCTGTTATTGGTACTGGCACGAGCATTGGCACCCCCAGGAAGGATGCTGGGGACGCCGTGTTTCTCACGGTACCAACGAGGGATGTCACGAAGACCGAGTTTCTCCAGCATAGAAGGATCTGTAGGCATTTCATGCTTGTAGAGGCAGCCTAGAAAGCTTTTGTTAGTGTTTTTTTTTTTTTTTTTTTTTTTTTTTTTCCCTTTGATTCAAAAGGAAAAGCTCACCCTGCTGCTGATAATCACATTCCCCATGACGAATCCAATAGGAGCAGTATTCTTTTTTGACGTTAAGATTGGGACCCTATAGAGTCAGTCTGCTGAATCTTTCTAAGATGATTAAAAATAGACTCACCTGCTTAGGGCCTCCCGCTCTCCCACCACTACCACCAGCAGGAACCAACCAATTACCCATAGTCGCAGTCTGAGCTGACGAAGCCCCAGCAGTGCCAGCCGCCCACTGCGGAGTCAAAGCCTGCTGAATCGAAGAATGCAACGCCAAACGCTGGTTGGCAGGAATACTCTCGTCAGAAAGAATCCGCACAAGCGAAGCCTGCAGCTCATAGTCTCGAGAACGAGCACCAGCACCACCAGCAACAGCCGCAGCTGGATTTCCAGCCGCAGCTCGCATGGGAGCATTTGGGACGCCATCAACGATGTAGATCTGATTTCGTGCGTTGACGGTTCCCAGACTGGTCATGCCTTGAGTGTCGTTGGGGGACAGGGCTCGTGAGACGCCGCGGATGGAGATGTGCGAGGGTAGCTCGTCCACGGCGATCAGGGGAGTCACGGTGCCATTAGGACGCGTGCAGAAGAACTGAGGACGGAGAGGAGAGGTCATTTTGTTAGATAGGTTTTTATGAAGGGAGATTTTTGTTGCTTTTTCCCTGCTTTCGGAGGGGTTTGCTTTTTTAGAGATGGCGAAACACCTCGTGCAAAGTCAAGAAAAGAGTATACGAATAAAAAAGAAAAGACGAGAAATATGAATAAGAGAGAGAGATTATAGGAGGGGATAAAGAAGAGAAAAAGAAAGAAATGTGTAGCGAAAAAGAGGTTGGAGAGGGGGGAGGATGGTGAATGTCTGCCCCAGGGAGTCAGAGTACGTAAAAAGAAAGCAGCATTCACTAAGCGAAGGAGAGGGATATAGAGAGATAAATAACAAGAGATATTGCAGATATAAGATATACAATACAGACAGAAATAAGAAAAAAGATGGTGAGAAGATGTACTTGTAGGGGAGTTGGAGGAGAGAAGAGCAAAGACAGAAGAGAAAAGAGTGAATAAAAAGAGATCCCTCAAATCAACTCCAATTTACTATCAAAAGAAAAAAGTAAACAAATCATGCGTTTTTCTGTAGCGCTGTTTGCTTCGATTTCTTTTTTGTTTTCAGCAAGTACCACTTCGGCAGCCTGCAGCAAACATCCATCAATCACCCCCGGATTTTACATATCTTTTCTTACTTATGTATTATATTAAGAAGAAAAAGTAAAGAAAGAGCGAACAAAGAATTCAGGTCGATTACACTCCAATGATCCTAGCCCTATGTTGATATAGCGCTAAAATAAGAACTATGATCGCTGACGGGGATCGAGGATTGTCACTTGCAATGCCACGTTTTCCCTGTACGATGTTATGGTACAGAGTAGACAATGACTATCTGGATAATAAGGCATAGGGTATATTATGACTACAATAGCTATGTTACAAAACAGATCTCAAATGCCTCCACAAATCCCGACCATAACGCCCATATCGATCATCAAATGCATTACCCTTGTCCATTCAATCAAGTTTTGAAACTAGTTCGCCATGAAGGATTGTTGGACACAGATCCCATAGCTATATTATTAGTTCCACTATGCCCAGTCAGATCGATCGCGGGCGGCGGCCCCGGACCGACGCCAGGTCCAGGTCCAGGAGTAGGTCCACCAGGGACCGGGGATGGGGCTGCCGTCCCATGAATGCTTTTCTTTTTGTGGTCATTGAGAGCACTGAGGGCAGCAGGTTTACTTCCCGGGGTCGGAGTCGGGGTTGGGTTTGGGTTTGGATTCAGGCTCCTCCGTCGACGGGCCAGGTCTCTCTTGATACCACCCACGTAGCTTCGTGCTAGGTTTCGAATCTCACGATCTTCTGTGGAATTCTTCAGTGCCTCGAGCATGCGCGAAAGGTGCACCTCGGACTGGAAGTGCGGACAGGTCCGTCTGACTCCGTAGTGTGCAAGTCCACAAAGGGGGCAATGCTCGACCCCGGCCGATTTCAAATGGCACTGACCCGGGGGGTGGCTTCGGTTGCAAGCGTAACAGACGAGAATATTTTCCGCTATGGGGCCTGGGGCTGGCGGGGGTTTGAGATCTGGAAGGTCGACACGTTTAAACGGGGCCACTGCCATTTTTTGTCAGTACCTAGCTTTATCTTTCACTATTGACAGAAAAAGGAGAATCACCCTTGGTCCTCTTCGTAGGCGACCCCAGATCATCCGACACCATCCCTGGGTCCAAATCCGAATCCGACTCTGGCACGTCAAGGTTGCCCGCTTGGAATTCGACATCACTATCGTCATCTTGCCGGCGAGGCTTGGCTGGTGAGATTTCTGCGGCATGGCTATAGTCAACTGCCGTCCGCTTGCGCTTCCCACGACCGAGATTCTCTGCTTTCCCTTTGGACTCTTCTTCCGCTGCCTGCTCCCGCTCCTTCAAGATCTTTTCCCAAACACTTGAGTTGATTGGCCCCTCATCCACCGTGTCGCCTAGCTGACCATCGAGGTTCTGGTTGTCGTTGGCCCACACGCGCGCGAAACTGAAGGGGTCCTCGGTACTGTTTGCGCCAGGCGTCTTGGTCTGTTCGGCTTGACTGCGATCGAGGAGCTTGTCGACGGATTCCGAATCGTAGTGGATGTCACCAGAGTCATCGTCATCAAAAAGCGCCCGAGCGCCGTGCCGTAGAATAGATTCTAGATCGCGACCATCATCTTCTTCGGCAATCATCCGGTCGATCAGTACATGATCCAAGACCATTTTCTTTTTCCCGATCTGCATGATCTTCTCTTCCGCACTACCACGCGTCATCATTTGGAATACGAGCACCTTGTTCTTCTGTCCAATCCGGTGAGCGCGCGATGATGCCTGCATATCCTGGTGAGGATTGAAGTCCGGATCCATGATAATTACGGTATCCGCAGTAGCCAAGTTAATACCAACGCCTCCGGATCTAGTCGACAAGAGGAAAACAAAGTACGGCGATCCTTCAGCGTTGTACTCGTCGATTCGCTTTTGCTTCTCCATTGCTGGCATTCTTCCATCGAGACGACGGTACAACATGCCCAGTCCATCGAGGAAATCTTCTATGATATCGAGATGTTCAAGGAACTGACTGAAGATCAACACCCGGTGTCCGCGTTGTTGCAGCTTGGGTAGCATCAGGTGAAGTAGTCGAAGCTTCCCGGCTGCCTCGACTAAGTGCCGATGAGACGCAGTAACATCGGGGGTGCGCTCTTCAATGGCCTTGCTGTACAGGAAGGGATGACAAAGACACTTCCGCAACTGCAACAGGATATTGTTCAAGTTCTTGCGCTCCACCTGCTTCAAGCCTATCTGGTCGCCTTTCCGTTGGAAGATGGTCTCAATCAATTGAGGATTCTTCGCCAAAATCGACTTGTAAAGCTTCTTCTGCACAACAGACATTGACACAGGAACAATGATGTTGGCAATAGGAGGAAGGAAGTTCAGGACCTGTGCCTTAGTCCGACGCAGGAAGAAAGGCCGGATCATTTCATGCAACTGAGGGATATTATCCTTCGATAGCACTCCGTACTCAGCCTCCATATCTTCCGCTTTGATGCTCGGATCACAGAATTGAAGCAGGTTGAAGAGTTCTCGCGTGTTGTTCTGAAGAGGTGTACCCGTAAGGAGAACCTTGAATGGGAACTTGATCTTGAAAAGACTTTCGTAGAGCAGGCTCCTGTCGTTCTTCAAGCGCTGCCCTTCATCCACGACAAGACCGGCCCAGGGAATTCTCGAAAGTATCTTCCGAGAGTTCTCGTCCACCATGGCTTCATACGATGTTACGACAACATGACACCGAAGATCAGAGCCTTCTTTGCCAAACATCTCATAGTCCTGGGCCAACTTGCGAGAGAAAGCGGATCCGTAGTATGTGACGACTCGAATAGAAGGAACCCACTTCTTGATTTCTTTGCGCCAATTGGGACATGTCGAGTTTGGAACGACAACCAAGAAAGGCCAGCACTTGTGGTACTGAATAAGAGTCGCAAAGAAACCGATAACCTGGATCGTCTTCCCCAGACCCATTTCATCAGCGAGGATGGCGTTCTGCTGCTTGAACCACATGTAGTACAGCCAATTCAGGCCGTCCTTCTGGTACTCCATAATCTCACCACCGGTCATCGCTTCAGGTTTAGTATTGCGAACGACAGTCGTCTTGAAATTTTGCTTCCGAACGTAGGAAAGATGCTTCCTGAATGCATCCTGGCTGGGGGTATGGATATAGTCTCGCCGAACCCAATCCTCGTATGCTTCTTTGAAATCGGCCCATCGCTCGGAGCCGGGCCCCGGAGGAGTTTCCCACACTGACTCCTCGTATGGTAGGCCCTTGAACTTGACGTATGCCTCTTTAACCTTGCCGATTCGCGCAAGGTCGGCTTCTTCGCTGCGATCCTGCGGCTTCTCAGAGTATCGGACATCAAAAACAATATCGACACGCAAGAAGTCTTCTGGGACTGCCTCTTCGGCCGACTTTTGCGGATTTATGTCTTTGTCTGATTTTAGGAAAGCTCGCCGCATGGCATGTTTTGCGACTCCCCACACCCAAGTACCGGGCATCCATGTAGTGTGATGGTATGACTTGTTACGCCACTTGATGAGATACTCCTTCTTGTCTTCGGCTAGCTTACTTGCTGCACGGTCGACGAGATCGGGTTGGACTGGCCGCCAGGCGACCATGGCAGCAATTTCATCTGGAGCCGATATACAATCGAGGCATTTCCAGCGCGACGAGTATTGTTGGAAGCGCGAAGCCGCAACATTGTCACCATAATCATCAGACAATGGAGGTAGATGGTCCAGATGGTAGGCTCTGCGACAGCCAGAACAGCGGAAGAGGAGATTATCGACGTTATTAATGCGCGTCATGTCGACAGAGGTAATAGGATCTTTCCCGTCATTTTCTTGACGAAGCTGTTGTTCTTGCTTAGGCGATAGGCGTTCCCTGAGAGGCTTGGACAGTGATCCCTTGTCGTTGCACGCGTTGCAGTGGCCTAGACGCGGAGACAAACGATCTTTGGCATGAACGACACCCAAACAATGACGGCACTGAAGAACAAAATTATCGTCTGCAACTTTTGTAACAAGGTGGTCTCTGTTCCCCCGCGGTCCCAGGCAAACTTGATGGTAGGAGAAGGTGCAACCCTGACAAAAGACCAGCGGGCCTCTCTCATTCCCGTTACCAGAGATACCGCAGACATCGCAAGTGTTAAGATGATGGAGTCTGAACGAATCATGTCGCGGGACTGTATGGAAAGCCTCCTTGGCGCCGACGTATTTTTTCTCCTTCGCCCTAATCTCATTCTCGGAAATATCGTCTTCAAATCTTTCGCGCAAGTTGCTTCGCACTGCCCTCCTGTCGCGCGTGGAAAATCTAGTGCCCTTCGATCTAGGCTCATCATTGGAATCAAAGTAATCGAATATTCTGGATGATTGCCGCGTGTTTTGCCTTGAACCTTTTTGTCGGACGCCCTTCCGCAACCGTCTTGCTCTTGAAGTTGTCGCAGAAGAAACAATCACGTCGTCGCTCGATGAGCTCATTATATCCCTGTCATCGCCACTGCTCACGCCAGCAAAGAATTTTGTGAACCGACGGCGGGACCTGGTCGCGCGCTTCGACCGTCTAGCATTGACTGAATGAGATTCGGTAGAGTCGTAGTCTTCATCTGAAGAAATTGTAATTTGTGAATCTTGGTCCGGCGATTCGAAGCGTTCGAGGGCTTCCGGTCCATTCTGGAGGTTTTGGAGCTGCGTCAAGTTGACCTATTAAAGAAGAGACTTTAGTATCCCGGACATCAAGTACAAGCAGAAAACCGGTCCTTACTGTTTGCAATTCGCTGCTCCGCATCCGAACTTTATAAACAACATCCCCGTCGTCATCCTGCTCCTCGCTGATGATATACCGGACGGCTGAATGCCCCGGAAGGTTTTCATACTCCTCCCAATTCACTACCGCCGGAATCTCCACTGCCGCTAGCTTCAACCCTGACGGTTGGCCATCTTCTGTGGTTACAGCCAGTTGTAGTGTTTCTTGGAGCTGGTTCGCAGATCTGACTTGCGCGCTAGTCGCATTGAACTGGGAAAGAAGATCCGCTACAAGATCATTATTGGGGTCGAGTTGGAAATTCCAATCCATGGTTAAATGCGAATGAGTGTCGAGAGCGATTTAGTAGGGTTGGGGTTGTCGAAACAGGTAGTAAAAGGGTTCTCAATTCGCGGGCATTCTGTTGAGCGAAGAGGGATCAGCACATGGCATTTCTAAGCAAGCGATGGCAAGAAGCAACGAGGGAAAGAACGAGGGAGAGACCGTTTCCCTGGTGAAAGTTAGACACGCTCAACTCATAACAGGTAATATTGCTTGCGGGTACCTATGAATATAGACGCGCAGTGACGCGAATCGCGCCGGAACAACATTATCCCGCTTATCTTATCGGCGATCTTCTGCAGCAGAGAATTCAGATTGAATATCAATTGATTAGACTGCTGTGGCTGTCTCTATTCGCTATGTCCATGCACGCCTCTCTCGGCTCTCTTAGAGCGTGTATCCAGCTATCGAACGCTTCGTCTGCCCGGCTGACTACTGTCAGACATGCCTCTCTCAACTCCGCCATCGGCCGTGGCATTCGCAAATCTCGCGGACTAGACGATTCTCCTCCGTCGCGAAATCCTCCAAGAGATAACAACCCTCGCTATGGGCCTCCAAGAGATAACAACCCTCGCAATGGGGCCCCAAGAGATTATCCTCGCAATGGGCAAAAGGACGCAAGGCCACAGAACCGCACGGACTATGACGACCGGGAAAATGCACCATTTGATGTAGACGAATTCGTCCGGTCAGGGAACTTCCGCGGAACACCCGGCGAACCGCAGCCGCGCTGGATGGCACGTGAAAAAGTGGACAGGGACGAAACCTTAAAGAGGCTCACCAGAGCCAAGAAGCGCGAACCAAGACACAAATGGTCAGAAAAAATGCCGGAACGGGTAAAGGAACACGTTTTTGTGCCCAAATCGATCCCCTATACCACGCCTGCGTCGGAGTTCATTTACGGGACCAACGCTGTCGAATCGACGCTGCGTTGCAGCCGGCGGAAGATCTACAAGCTGTATATATACCAAAACAAGGGTGAGGAATTGAGCCCGGCAAAGCTTACGCTGCGCAAACTCGCTTTAGTGAAGAACATTCCGGTCAAGATGGCGTTTGCAGAATGGGATCGTCTGCTTGACAAGATGAGCTCCGGACGACCCCATAACGGCTGTGTTCTCGAGGTATCACCCTTACCCCGACTACCTGTTCAAAGCTTTGCCCCCGTCTCATCTCCAGAAGAAGACTCCTTCCGCGTGGAATTGGGTTCCCAATCGCGCGAGGAAGCTTTAATCAACGGCACAAATAACCGCATTGGAATTCATCAACCGTCCCAACAACAGCGCCGACGATACCCCGTCACCTTGCTCTTAGACGGAATTGTTGACCAGGGGAATCTCGGCGCAATCATCCGCTCCGCATATTACCTGGGCATCGACGCAGTCGTTTTCGCTGGCCGAAACTCGGCGCCTCTGTCCGATGTGACGATTAAGGCTTCCGCGGGAGCCTCCGAAAACATGACCCTTCTCGAAGTCGGCAATGAAAGGGCATTCATTCAACAGTCTAAGGCAAATGGGTGGCGCTTTTATGCAGCCGATGCTCCCGGCCTTGGTTCTACGCTCGAGAGTCAACACGACGCAGACCCTACTAGCGGTGGCAGTATTTTCACTCAAGGGCCCAGCGTGATTATGATGGGGAGTGAGAGCAGCGGATTGAGCCGCCACTTTCTATCACATGCAAATGCTATCGTGAGCATCCCAGGATCACGGTTTGTTGGCGGTTCGGGTGTTGAGTCTGATCCCGCTCGGGTTGACAGTCTCAATGTCAGCGTTGCTGCGGCGCTGTTGATGGAGAAGTTCTTACGGACTCCGCTTGCAGTGAATGAGATACCGCAGCAAGGATGAACCGAAGTCGGACGGATAATGTCATTAATTGTAGCATAGCTTTCTGTAGGACAAAATGACTAGACGATGGAAAACATGAACGTCTACGAAGTGACGATGGCATATTCTTGTACACAAATAGGTTTTTGAATATCGAATTATCATTCCCTTCCTCTGGTACATTTTTGATATCACAATCCAATAAGTTATGGTATTACACGAAACGAAAGAATAAACGAGAAGAAAGCAAGGAAGCATCTATCTATTCAACGCCAGTCCGGGATAAAACGTAACCCAACAGACCCTTCCAGGCCAAATGCACCACCATACCTGCAAAACGATCAAACGCTAACAGACTCGGTTTAGAATATTACTTCTTGCGACTCTTGCTCTTGGGCGCCGTGTTGGAGGAAACACTGGCTGCCCGTGATGTCGAGGCAGAGTTAGATTTGCTACCGCCCTTGACGGCTTTGACCTGCTTGTTCTGCTGTGATTGCATGTTAGCGAATATCATCCAAGATAGGGGACGGGGCTTGTCACATACTACGGCGCCGTTTTTGGCCTTCTTCTTCGCGGGAGCTTCTTCTTCAATCTCCTCGTCTTCATCCTCACGCCCACGTCCACGACCTTTACCGGCTTCTCCATTGGCCTTCCCATCCCCAGGCTCAAACTCCTTGGCAACGGTGTTGAGAAGCGTTGTGCACCTACGCCCAATTTCCACTGGAGTGCGGCTCAGGAAGAACCAGTCAAATCGGAAGAGGGGCGACTCGCGGATTTCGTCACGGATCTTCTCATAGAGACCCTCGCCATCGACACCGTACCGGTCGAGCATCACCAACAGGAACCGATCTTCCTCTTCGGTGTAGACCTTCTTGTTCGTCGTGGAGACAGTGTAGTTGATCTTGAGTTGCTGTAGAGGAACACGGTACATCTCGATCTTCTTGCGGAGCATCTTGCGCTGGTGGCCCATCTTCCGGAGTTTCTCTTCACCTTGGTCGATGACACGGAGATACTTGGGATAGTCTTGAATTTCGGTGTAACGTTTCCAGAAAAGATCCGCGTACTCCTCGACCTCGTCCGCATCCTTGCTGTCAACTTCGGTGGCAATGCCAGAATAGTCGTTGCGTCCAAATTTGGCCGATCCGTTGATGAATTGTTGGAAATCCCGACGGTTCCAGGTCGAGAAACCTTCTTCAGACATTTTCGCCTTCTTGGCTTGTTCATCCTCGGTCAAGGAAACGGCATTGTCAATCTCCTGTTGCTCCAAATCACGTTCGGCCTCGCGTTCACTGAGCTCCTCTTCGGGGCCATCTGGAAGCTGGGCCTTATAGCCAATCTCCTTGTGGAAATAGGCTGTTTCTTTCTCCTGAAGCTCCTGCAGACCAGGCGGGAAGAATTGCCAGTCGTGAACAGCAATCTGCTTTGGTGCGCGGGGAACCTTGGGCTTAGGATCGGCGGTCCTGCCACCGGTAGCCAAGGCCTGACGGTAGTATTTGTCGATGGAGTAGAACTGCTCCTTTCGTTCACGCTTCGCCGGGTTGATCCAGTTGATTCCAATGTCCTTTTTCCGCTCGGTAAAGTCTTTACCATTCCACTCATACGCGCTCTCAGAGCTGAACTTCTGAAGGTCATCGATACCCAACTTTTCATATTTCTTGTTCAACTGTGCAGTTCGCTCTTCACCCTTGCGCAAAATTGCATCAATATCATCTTCTGATATTTGATTTTCAGATGAAATGGTATTGTTATCTTGACCAAACAAGCTGGCGGCTCCATGCTGAATCATACCAAGAAGTTCATCCTTCGAAGCGGCATTCTTAGCTTGCTGCTGGGCACGGCCTTGTTGAATAACCAGTTGGTCAAGCCGCAGCTTCTGTGCCGCTCGTTCCAGGACTTTCTCTTCAATAGCCTTTTCCGTAACGAATCGGAACGCCACCACCTGTTTCGTTTGGCCAATACGGTGAGCACGGTCCATGGCTTGAAGATCCGCTTGGGGGTTCCAGTCACTATCGTAGAGGACCACGATATCTGCAGAGGTCAGGTTGATACCGAGACCTCCGGCTCTTGTGGTGAGAAGGAAGACGAATTTGTCTGATCCAGGCTTGTTGTAATCGTCAATTGCGGCAATACGATCCTCATGAGCCGTCGTACCATCGATACGACAGTAGTTATAATCCCTGAAGACACAGTAGTCTTCCAAGATATCGAGAACACGGCTCATCTGGGAGAAGATGAGTACCCGGCTTCCTTGCTTCTGCATGCGTGTCAGGATCTTGTCAAGGATCACCATCTTCCCCGAGTTGTCGACAAGATGCTCATCGGTCGTGTATGGCGGGCCAGGCTCAGCACCTTCAAAAAGGTATGGATGGTTGCAGCACTTGCGGAGCTGCATCACAATGTTCAACAGACGCGTCTTCGATTCGCGCTTTCCTGCTGCTCCGTTCACTGCGTCGATATCCTTTTCGAGGATCTTCTGATACCACTTCACCTGCATTTCAGACATGGGCACGTACAAGTTGATCTCCTTTTTGGGAAGCAGACTCTTTTCGACATCGCTTTTGACACGTCGCAAAAGGAAAGGTCGCAAAACCCGATGGAGCTGTTGCACCACGGTGTCTTGGTCGGAATCCTGAGTTGAGAACCATTGGTCGAACGCTTCCGAGTCACCGAACACATCCGGCAAAAGGAAGTTCAGAAGGGCCCAGAGTTCATGCAGGTTGTTTTGAAGCGGGGTACCGGTAATCAACAGTCGATTGCGCGAGTTGAAGACACGGATGATCTGAGCCAAGGACGATTCCTCGTTCTTAATCCGATGGGCCTCGTCGATGATAATGTATTCCCATGCAAACTTCTTAAGGTGTGTTTTCTCCCGTAGAACCATTTCGTAACTGGTTATGCAAACATCGAAATTTTCTGCGAGAAGTTCTTCGTTGATCAAACGCTGGCGTTCCTCCTTGTCACCCTGAAGGACCAGAACCTTGACATCGGGCGTCCACTTCTCAAACTCTCTCTTCCAGTTGTCCAGAGTCGATTTGGGTACAGCAACAAGATGAGGCCCAGGGATGTCGCAGACGTAGCGCAGATATCCAAGGAAGGAAATAGTTTGCAGGGTCTTACCCAGACCCATCTCATCTGCCAAAATGCCCGAAATACCATTTTCATGGAGAGAAACGAGCCAGTTCAAACCCGCAACCTGATAATCACGCATTTCACCTTTGACAAATGGCGGGGTTTCTCGAAAGACAGTACCGGTTTGTTCTCCACTCTCGTCATTCAACAATTCGGCATCCTCCTCCTGCTCCGTCCTGCGGCGTCTTTCGTTACCCGCACCACCTGACCGGGAAGTACCCTTCTTCTTGGCCTTGACTTCGTCTGCATTTTGTCTGTCAATTTCGGCAATGATTTCTTTGATTCGGGGATTTGGATTCGTTTCGATAAAGTGGCGGAACAAGTCGGTCAGACCAAGCAGGTAGCGGAACCGTCGAATAGAGTCGCTTTCCTTTGAACAGAAATCACCGTAAGCAACTGGAAAAAAAGAATATTGATGGATTTTATGCGCCAACTTACCTTAGACTCATCCAGACGACCATGCTTCTTACCCAAGGCACTTTTCCTTTGGCTAGATTCTTGAGATCTTCGTTTCCGGCCATCCACAGTCGTGTCGCCAGCAATACTATTTTCATCCTTGATAGTAGAAAGTTAGCCATTCAGTTCACGAATAGTCGTCAACCCAGACACAATTACTGTATGCTCTGGATTGTCCTGGTAGCCCTAAAATAGGATGAAGATCTTAAGGAGAGTTCTCGAAAGAATTTGTTGAGGAAAAAGACTGTAATGCGCGCAGTCTGGGATAGGGGTGCGACAGGGCAGGAGTTTCGACATCACTCACCGTCATCTGCGCGTCGGTGCTGTCCACGGGCACCGACGTGATAGCTTCTTCATTTGCGTCGGTCATGGGGGTATCCGCCTGAGATGGCGTGTCCGACTGAGGGTCTTGGGATTTCGAAGGCGCAACCATCTCCGTCCTTGGCGCACGAAAGCGCAAGTCTCTGATCGGTTCGATTAACGACTCGACAAAGGTCCCGGAGGAAACGCGGATAAGTATAGGATGTACACAAATAGAAGATCTAGGACAGGTGAAAGAAGAAAGAAACGAGAAGCAATTGATGTCCCTAGATGTAGGATGAAACCCGGCAAGCGCAAATACCTCGAACAGCAGAGATCCGAGCTGACAATTGAGAAGGAAAGATGGATAGGTTCGAAGACCGCGATCCACGGGATGGCAATTGGGAGTTTCGTCGGCGGAAGCGCGGTCTACACGCGTGCTGATTGGTGGACTGGGCGCGGCGTGTATGAGTCAGTCATGAGTCAGCAGCGAGCGGAAGACAAGTTTCCCCGCGGTGGGTCACGTTACCGGGCCAAACGCAAAGCAAAAGAAACGCTGCGGTCATATCTGCAGCTTCGTCCCCTCTGCCTTACAACAACACAGTAAAACTTACCTGAACCGTTGTTCGGTGTTTGTTTCGATTTTGTATAGGTATTCTTCCCCTCAAATAACTTGGATTTCTCTTCTGCTTTCTTTAATTCCTTCGATTTCTACGTCTCCATTCTCATCAACGGCTCTGACTAACGAGGGACGGCTTTCAAGGCACAAGAAAGGAGGAGCTGTTCGAGTTACAGCCACCTACCCAACATGGACTCCATGAGATCGTTGAACACTTCCTTACCGAGCTCGACTCCTCGTCCTCAACCCCCTGAGCAACTTCTGCAGTCGTTCAAAGCCGCCGCCCTATCCGTGACCAACCTCTACAAGAATGCTGTCTGCGAACAATCCCAGGCAAGGCAAGCGGGCTACCAGGAAGCAATTGAGGATCTGTTGCAGTTCCTCGACAGGGAGAACTTGGGCTTAGGAGATGGAGAAGGCTGGTCGGTTCGACAATGGGCAACGGAGAGACTGGATAGCAACGGGGTCCCCGGTAGCGACGATGACGATACCGAAAAGCGAGCTAGGAGCACAACGCCGGCTGCAGTCCGCAAGGAACAGTCTGGGCCAGACGCTTCGCAATCACCACCCAAACCCGCCTCGTCTCCTCAAGATGCGCACGTTGCCCCGCAGCAACAGCAACAATCGCAGCCGCAACCGGCACCACCATCACAGCCAGAAGCCAACTCCTTCGACAAGCCAGCCATTTTCACATTCACGTCTGGCCCTTCGTTCCCTCAGCCTCAAGAGCAAGATGTCGACATGCAACCATCGGAAAATTCTTCCGATGGAGCACCTGTTCTCTCCGTCTTCCCTCGCAACTCCCGCTCGCAGCATCGCCACAACAACTTGACACGATCCAACCAGCGTACGTCGGCACGCGAACCATCTGTCGGGGTAGGTTCGAAAAGGAAACTTGCCGTTCCTGACTTCTTTGACTTGTCCGATATGTTTGGAGGGGGTAAAAGGGGTCGTTTCACCTAAAGAATATGAAGTCGGATGACGGGACGAAGCTTATATTCTTACGGTGTCACGCAGCGGTTGATTGATTCGACATTTTGCATTTCGTGGGAGTCTTGCATTTGCTTTCTGGTTTTCCTTTTCGTCTTCATCTTTTGATATATTCTGTTTTTCTTTTCTCTTCTTCTATTTCTTATGTTTTATGTTTCTTAAATCATTTTAAACACATAGACCTTATTGAGCAGGGCGATACCCGGGGTGGAGGTTATTCTTCTTCATTTTGAGTCGTATAAATACAATTATCTTGGAAAGCAGTAACATCATGTCGTATCCACCACTGTACGGAGCATACCAGCTCTTAATTGATTGCTCTCCAGATCCCCATGCCTACCAAGGTTGCCGAAATAGTTGCAATGCCCAGCTGTCGAGAACCCATCTTGTATTTGGTTGCGCTTTGCATGATTGTCTTCTCCTGCTGGCGTAGATTGTTCATGCCCGTATAGTAACTGTAAACACCGAGACCAACGAACGCGGCAGAACCTGGAGCAGCCTTATGTTAGGCAGTGACAAGAGAACAGAAAGGATACAGACATACCTGTTACTCTGCAAGAAAGGCAGTCATCGAATGTATCATCGGCGATGGCTCGTTTAGCATCCTTTTCCTGGACATTCCAGGAGTCATTCTGTGCGGGTGCCATGATGCGTTGACCAGGGGGATCTCCTGAGAGCAGCAGTATAGCCTATAACAAGTGGATAGACATCAATTCGTAGCGATAACACTCATCTCCATCTTCAACTGGGGGAAACCTGAGGAAGGCGGGCATCCACGGCAGAATCGGACCTCTCTCGATTTGGGAATATCTTCAACGGAGCCAGACAAACACCGAGCATTCTGGGAGTTTGTAGCATCCGGTCGGCTCGAATCGAGCAGGAAACGAGCATAAATTGACACGATGAGCGGCGAGATCGATGCGCTCTACATCTATGATGAGCATAAGTATAGAACACCCCTCTCCTCCCGCAATCCGGTTCCTCTGGCTATATACAACCGCGGCCCTGCTAACTGTTGCGAATTACCACTTCTACAGTCAACCTTTGGTAGAGCATGTATATCGCTCGCGCCCGCCGTCTGCAGCAACGCTCCGGCCGCTATACTTCGCCCATCCAGCCCCGCGCCCTTCGCTTCTTTACTTCCCGAGCACCTCCCCGCCGGTAACCGTGTTCTCGGTGGTCCAGTCGAATCTACTCTTCCTGGCGGTATCGGAGGTGGATACGGAGCCGCTCCTGGCGCTGGAGTTTCTACACCGGGTTGTCGATGTGTTGGAGGAGTTCGTCGGGGCGCCGTTGATCTCGACCAAGATCCAGTCGAACTACGATGTGGTAGCTCAGCTGCTGCATGAGATGTGCGATGGAGGGCTGGTGTGCAATACGGAGCTCAATGCGCTACAAGAGGTGGTCGATGTGCCTGGGTGGATGGGGAAGCTGTTAGGTGGAGTTGGGTTAGTATTCAAGCTGCGGGGTATAGGAGTTGTATACTAACTGGTGGTTGCTTCAGGTCATCGTCTTCTGCGCCATCATTGGGAGGTCCTAATTCCTTGAAACCGCCGTTGTCGTCAGCCGCTTCCCAGGGCCCTGCAATTTTGTGGAGAAGGCCTAATGTCCGACATACGTCAAATGAAATATACGTCGATATCATCGAATCGCTCTCCGTTACAATCGCACCATCCGGACGTCTGCTCTCTGCGCTGGTCTCGGGGACAATTGCATTCACAGCTAAGATGTCGGGTATCCCCGACCTGCTTCTATCGTTGACAACCCCAGGAGGACAACAAGCTATTGGGCAGAAGGTGGATCTACCAGTGTTCCATCCGAGTGTCCGACTAGCGAGATGGAGGGAGCGGCCAGGGGATCTTAGCTTTGTCCCTCCGGATGGTCGTTTTATCCTTGCAGGGTATGGGGTAGACCTTCTCCCCATTGACCCGGACCTCGACGAACCGCCAAGTCACATGGAGAAGGTCTTCCTACCCGCTTTTGTGGACATGCGGAAGTCATTAGGACCGACAGGCTCCGAATTCGAGGTCCGGTTGACCCTCAACACGAGCTTCCCTGGCGTCGCACCTGCCGCACGACCAGGAGCAGGACGCGCCGGATCAGGCACATCGACGCCTTCGTTCCTCGGCGGTGCAGGAGGCGGGACTCCCTCCGCACCGGTCTTGGACGAAGTCGTCGTCACAGTACCAATACCCCAATCTGTCCGAAACATCACGGACATGCAAGCCAGTCGGGGTGAAGCCATATACAACCCCGGGAGCGATGTCCTCGAATGGCGCGTACCGACCAAAGACGCAGGAACCGTCTCCGGAACAGCAACACTCCGATGCACCGTAGGCGGCTACCAAACGGGGGACGAAGACATGGAGGACGAAGCAGCCGAAGCAGACACAAACCTCTTGCAGGGCTATTACGACCCCTCAACATCATACCAAGACGGCACAGGAATGGACCCATCGGTCCGCAGGAAACGGAAAACAAAAAAGAAAAAGAAGACCAAGAAGGTCTCTAAATCCAAACACACCTCCGCAGACCCAGACCAACAACAACAAGCAGAAACACAAGCAGAACCCTCAGATCCGCACCTCTCCATCCCACAATCCCCAACACCACAACAATCCTCCCCCCTCGCCTCCTCACCATTGCCCCCCTCCTCCCCTAACCCTACATCCCCACTACCATCATCACAGCTATCCTCACAATCTATCTTCCGCCCCGCACCCCGCAAAACAAAATCCCAACTCAATGCCTCTCTCATGCCAAACTCGGCCTCTGTCTCCTTCGTTGTCCAGGGATGGCTTCCCTCAGGGATCAAAGTCGACAGTCTGAGCATCGATCATAGACGGAGTCGCGGGCTAGGCGAGGGCGTGAGGCCATATAAGGGGGTGAAGTATTTGTGCGTTAGTCGGAGGGGGGTGGAAGCGAGGTGTTGATGCATCGTTTACTTGCTGAGTATGTGCTGGATTTATTTATGGTGATATAGTTGGTTTAGCTTAGATATCTTGGATGATGATGCATTTATCTATCATATCAATGAATAATGAAGAGCATTTCATGAAGTGCCATCTTGCTTAATGCTATTAACCGCATATTAATCCAGTCTCTTCCTTACCACGATCGGATCATTATAGATGTGGGAATGCTTTATCTACTACACTATTAGTGCTGATCAGTGATAGTCCATGTATACTGACCCAGCTCCAGGCGTCTCTGCTGGAATCATTTGTCTTTTGTGTACTTGCAAATAACTAAGAAAGCAAGGAAACAATTTATTGCGGAGCGAAGCTGAATACTCCCCCCGTTGCTCATACTATCGTACATAAACCACCGCCAATCTTATCTCGTTTCATCTCATTCTCTTCCATCTCATGAGTAATCTCCCTAAAACTCATTAGACAAGTTCCGACGTCAATAAACAGACACAAAGGAAAAGAAGAACGATCCAATTATAGTTCGTATATAATCAAAACAGGCCGGCTCAGAGCTTCGCCCGGCGTTCGAGAACCCGCATGACAACGTAGGCCACTGTTATGTGCAAGTGAGATTGTAAGTACATGATATATAGACAGGAAATATGTGCATATGTATATCGAAAGAGCGACGGTGATTAGGAAATAGGGGATTATATCGATAGATCTGGGGTATGGGTGGGTATATGGGGGTATCCAAAATGAAAAGACACGATGGCGCAGACACAACACAAAAGGAAATCAGTCGAGTTGAAAAGAAAAGGGCTCCGATGGTAATCATTGTCGGTCGTCTGATGGATCAAAATGGCCGAGTGAGAAGTCTGCGATTCGCAACAATGGAAGTGCAGGGTAGGGTAGGGCAAGGCAATAATGCAATAATCCAAAAGGACATTCCAAAATATAGAGCCCAAAAATGAAAGAAAAAGAAAAGAAAGTTTACTCACCTGCAGCAACTGCAGCCGCTCTCCCAGCACCAGCTGTAGAACTTCCACCACCAAGAGTGAAGATCATCCGCAACCAGCCCATACTAAGCTTCTTTCCATCACGGTTGAAGTCGGGAACCAGCGTGCTGGCAGCCCGGAAGGGACCCGCCTTGCCGGCGTACGGAGGGTAACGGATGGCGAGGATGGATTCGAGCCAGCTGGGGCTGGTGGTGATAGGGCGACGGTGGACGAAGGTGTCGAAACTGGCTCTGCCACGGTAGGCACCGTAGCCACTCTCACCAACACCACCGAAGGGAAGGGTGGGAATGTGCAATGCGGCGTCGTTGACGGCGGCACCACCGGAGCGGGTCATCGAGAGGACTGATGAGTTAGTCAATATACACGCTCTTTGAAATTTCGGTCAGTACTCACTCTTGTCGGTATCCTGCTTGGAACCAAACGGGTAGAGACCCAAAGGAGTGGCCTGGATGCCATTGGCAATCTTGACAGCCTCATCAAGGTCATCCACAGGCAGAATAGGAATCAAAGGACCAAAGCTCTCTTGGATCAAGAGCGAGTCATCAGTAGAGTTGACCTCGACGATAGTAGGCTCAATAAAGAGCTCCTTCTCGTCCATAGTACCACCAACCAAGATCTTGCCCTCGGAGTTGTCAATCATAGACTTGAGCTTCTGGAAGTGACCCGCGTTAATCATACGCGAGTAATCGGGAGATGCCTTGGCTCCCTGCGGGTAGAATTCGTTGTACGCTTTCTTGAACTCCTCCACAACGCGGGGGACAATCGCCCGGTCGACGAGGAGGTAGTTCTGCGACGTGCAAAGCTGACCAGCGTTCATGGTCTTACCCCATAGCAGGCGACGGGCGACGAGTCTCGGGTCCGCACTCTTGGTGATAATCGCGGGGTTGATTCCCCCCAACTCCAAGACGACGGGGGTGAGGTGCGGAGCGGCCGCCTTGGCGATGATGCGGCCAACGTTGGCACCACCGGTGAAGAAGATCTTGTCCCAGCGCTCAGCCAGCAGGGCCTGGGTCTCGGGGATACTGCCCTGGATGATCTTGTAGCAGGAGGGGTCGAGAGCCTCCTCGACGATCTCCTGGATGATGACGGCACTTCTGGAGGCGTTCTCACTGGGCTTGATGGCCACGGTATTTCCACCGGCAATAGCACCAATCACGGGACCCAGGGTCAATTGGAAGGGGTAGTTGAAAGCTCTGTACGTTTCCCAATCCATTAGTCCAGCTCCAAACCCCGCAATTATTATCCGGAGTAACGCACCCAATAACCAACACCATACCCAACGGGTCCTTCCTAATCTTGGGGTTCATAAACTTGAACGTAAGTTCGATATCCTCAGCCTTCTCATCCTTGGCCCATTTTTGCAGATTCCGCGACACGAATACGCAGTCGTTCTCCAGCCAGCCGCTCTCCGCAATGATGGTCTCGAAGGCGGGTTTGTTCAGGTCCAACCGACAAGCTTCGGCGATTCTGTCTTCGCGGTCTTTAATGCTATTGAGTGTTCCAGTTAGCGTCAGTCAGAGAACCAGAAGAGAAAAGAGAACTCACGCCCAGTAGAGCTTGCGGAGTTGGACCAGACGGAACTCGACATCGCGGGTCTTGTGCTCCGAGAAGGTCTGGCGTAGCTCAGCAACATGCCCCTGGATGTCGTCGAGGGGCGTATACTGCAGCTCAGGGATATCAACAGCACCCATTGTGAATTCTGGAAAACGTAGAGAAAAGGAGCGAAATGGTGGTGAAACAGAAGAGGAAAGGAAGAAGAAAAAGTGAAGAGTGTACTGATATAGGAGACCGGATGTCCGTTCCTCTAACCAATTGCGGGAAGTTTTAATATGAAGTCCCCCTCAGGATATCCACCGTATTTATACTAATCCAGCCAAGCTTCCGTCGCATGGAAATTTTCTCGCGTTCTTTTCTGTTTCTGGTGAGTTGCAAGTAACTTTAGCTTCCCCTCACCAGTCGATCCTCCTCTGAACCGCGGTTATTGCGGACCTGTTAATCATAAGATGCGCCCACCACTATTATGGAGATCCTTTAGAACACCAACCTCGGGGTTTACTTGCTGAAATATTTTCTACTATGTACTGACAGAAAACTGTTAATGTTGCTAATCAATGCATTATAGACTAGGTATATTTTCTTCCCGAAGGAAGACCGAAACAAATCATGAACAGCCCATATAAACCAAAAAGGAAAAAGATCATCTAATATACAAATTAGACCAGGAAAAAAGATTAACCATCGCTAAATTACGCCTTGAACTGGTCCTCCGTCACACCCTTGCCCATGGCAGCCGTGCTGCTGATACCTCCCGAAACCATCTTCAACATGTTGTCCACGTAGTTGGCACCACTCCATTTCTGGTGTGTAACCACATCGACGCCCCGCTCCATTTCGGGCTCCTGCACCAGCTCGCCGTACGCCCGCATGCCCTGCTTCGAGTACGCGTGCGCGAACTGGTCCGAGATGAGTGCCGTCGTGTGCAGACCGGCCAAGGTGATGAACTGCCAGCAGTATCCGAGCTCACCAAGGCGGTGGATGTAGGTCTCCTGCTCGTCGCGAGGCATGGCCTTCTTCCAGTTGAAGGATGGCGACAGGTTGTAGGCCAGCTTCTGCTCGGGCCAGACGGCGTGCACGCCGTCAGCGAACTCCTTGGCCTGCTTGAAGTCGGGGAGCTTGCTCTCCATCCAGATGAGGTCGGCAAAGGGTGCAAACGCAACCGCACGGTTGACAGCGCACTGAGTGCCGCCACGGTAGCGGTAGTAACCCTCACGGGTACGGGCGGAGTCCCAGTCCCAGTGGATGTCGACACCAGTGATGCCCTTGGCGATGGCACGAGCCTCGCTGTTGCTCTTGCCCTTGACGGCCTTCAAGTAGTCGTTGATGAGACCGTCCTTGTTGACGTGCACACCGCTCTTGATGGTGTCAATGACAGCCTCGTCGAAGAGCTTGAGGCCGGCCTGAGCGTTCCACTGGTCCTCAATGGCCTGGAGGTCCTCTCCAGACTTACCAGCGTGCTCAGCAGCCACCATCAAGTCATTCAGAGGCTGGAGGCCTGGGTTGGTAGAGCCGAGAATGAAGGAATGGTCGCGGAAGTCAATGGTAGAAGTGATGAGGGTAGCGGCTTCGGAGTCGGTACGGGCGATAGCAAGGAGATCCGAACCCATGATATCAGCCTGAGCACGGATGGCAACAAGACGGTTGATGTGCTCGCTGATGGGCACCAGGACCTTTCCGGCCATGTGTCCACACTTCTTGGTACCAGGAGCCTGGTCCTCAATGTGGATACCAGCAGCACCACGCTCAATGAATAGCTTGGTCAACTTCATGACAGCGGTCAGACCACCGTGACCGGTGTCTGCATCAGCAATAATGGGACGCAGGTAGTCAACATTGGCAACCTTTTGGCGTTGATCCTTGGGGGTGGTGACGCGCTCCTCGCGCTGTTTCCGGTCATGGAACAGCTGAGCCATCCAGAGGTGGTTGACCTTGTTGGGGACAGTGTTCTAGTCACAACCGTTAGTTACCATTCACCAGACACAACCAATGTTCCACCAATAACTCACCATAGGGTAGTCTGCAAGGTCGGGGGAGGGTTCGTCGGTCGACGAAGCGGTGGAAGAGCTTTGCCAGCCCGAAACGTAAACGGTGTCGAGATACTTGGCCATCTGGGTGACCATGGTGGGTTCGAGACAGCCATAGGTGTAGCTAGGGACCTTGTTCTGTTGAGAGCATATACGTTAGCACAACTATCTCCTTTATTTGCTCGAGTCTGCGAGGACGACGAACCTTGAAGTTGTGCTCGAGGATGCCCCAAAGCTTCTTGGCCTGGACATTGGAAGGGTAGTCGATCGTCAAGGTCCCACGCTTGGCCACAATCTGCTCAGCCGTGAAGGGACGCTTGGTGTACCTCCATCTTGAGTCTTGCCACCAAGCCTTGACATCGTTGACCTCCTCCTGATACTTTCTGTCCTCGTCTTCAAAGGAACCCATTGTGCCGGTGGTATAGAACGAAAAGCAAGAGTGAACAATAATGTAACGGTAGAGTAACTTTTTCAGAAAACCCCCAAGGAAAGACAAATATGGGGAAGAAATAAAGTAATGATTAAAAGAAAAGGAAAAGAAGAAGTCAGAGAATCCAAATCACAAGGCCCGACGAACCCAGGGTACTTATTAGTACCCTTGGGAGCCGGCATGGCGAATGCGTCAGAAGGATTATTGTCGGTAAACACTCGGGTCTGCGGGTAACAAGCGGACCAAGACGAGGGAAAGACCCAGACAAGATGATTAGCCTTGGGTGTTGTAACAGAGTTCACAAGCTGGGGTTGTGATTCGGAAGAGAGGATCGAGACATCACCGTGATCCTCGGTCTAATGGGTCATGCCCGGAGCTTTTTTTGCCTGCGGTTGCCACTTTGTGGCGATTCTGCCATAGGATAGAATTGAATGAGCATGACTAGGTGGTATATTTCTGCTACTCTGTAATTGAGATACTCTTGCTCTTGCTCTTGTTCTCTGTTCTCTCTTTTCTGTTGTCTCTTCTCTGTCTTCACAAGCAAATATCGCGGAGGTCGAGTACCGATAAGCACGGGTGACGTCGGCCACATGCACTTACCCGGGTTACAATACGTGACAATACACCGAAACCGGTAGTATGGAAGATGCCATTGAGTCACTGTGATTCTCATTTGACTTTAGCTTATGGATTTATGTATTTGCATATCGTAAATCATTATACATTCAATAGAATAAGCATAGCTCTCTGTCGCGTGTTGAATTCACCAATGTAGAAGCACGTATAGATCCGTCAATTCCCCGGTATCACTCCTCCGCATCCGGTAACATATCCATCGGCCCGCCATAGCTTTAGGGTCTATACGGAATACATCCAAGTAGATGAGGAGTACGTCGGACAGATCCCGTGCTGCTTAATTAATGACCGGAATCTCTACCATATCGTAGCCACCCATGGAAGTTGACATCCTGGTCTACATCGTACCTCGGCAATTCGACGGCCAATCACAAGCGCACCGAACCATCCGAAGTATGCTCGTCGTAGCCAAGGTCTCTGCATACTACTTGGTTTGCTCGGGGTTGTTTTGACGCGAGAATCGGGAAGATCAGGGACGAGATCTTCGATAGTTGCGATTGTCGGAGGTACTAGCTACATTAACGTACGTAGTATGATACAAGGTGCTTGGATATGAGTCAAGTAAGGAGGCAATTGCGGTAGCTGCGGGAAGTCAAAGGCAGATATGGAGAAGCCTCGGACTCTGCAGTCTGTTGTTGATTCTGTGCCTGATGGAATATGGGGTAGACCCAGTCTGTCTCCAGAGCTCTGGGCTTCGGCGTTGCAAACCCAAAATAAACAACGGTGGGTTTTAGTAGCTCGTATCATTCTACTTACATACAATCAATCCAAGGGAAATACCTAAAGAAGACGATATTCGATTCAAAATGACCTATTATTTTTTATCCTATATAATCCCAAGGACCGCCTTGGGCTGAATCGGTTTCCTCCATTTCCAATCGGAATATACCAGTCAAATACCATATCCAGCATAATCACTTCCCGATCAATTTGACCCTCGCCAATCCATGCAGACGGAAAAGAAATACCTCATCTCAATTCCCGATGGTCTTATACACAAGTACACCGGTGGTCCAAAACGCCAAGTCAGAATAGAATTCTAACCTAGCTAAAAGCGTCGTCACTTTGCTCCATGGCATGGCGATATGTCTCATAAGGAGTGATGGCTCCCAGAGATCTCCGCATATGAGCGTTGAGAATTTCCAGACCGTATACATAACTGGCATTGACCCAGCCGAATCTGCAAAAGAACAATATGTTAGACAAAGTTTCCAGTGCAATGTGTGGTTTTTGTGGAAAAATACTCACCCTTCGCGAGGTGCACCCTTGAAATCGACACCTTGGTTTCCATATTCTGCATCTACCCGATGGGGATCAATCGGCCGCGTAACATCATATTTCTCGACAACGACACCATTAAAGTCGACAAAAGCCTTGGTGATCATAAACAACCACTTATATGCCAGTCGTTTGGCTTCTTCCTCATATCCATAGCGCAGTAACCCTGCCCAGGCAAGCATCTGCTGCGGCGCCCAACCATAGGGGAAGTCCCATTGTCGATTGGGTCTCTCCAGCCCAACGGGTCCTCGCGAGTCTTCTGTACCGGAAACCAGACCACCGTAGGCTTCAAACCGAGGAAGTGCCTTCTCGACCATATCTGCCGCTTGCCGTGGTGTAGCGAGCCCTGCCCACATCGCCCAGAAGGTGGTAGCAGTCTCGTAAGATGTGCGCTGCTTCTTGGCGGTGTCGTAGTCGAAGAACATGCCCTTCTCTTGATCCCAGAGATGAGAGTCCATTCTCATCTTTCGTCTTCTGGCACGACGATCCCACACGGCTGACGATTCATGTGTGATGTCTCGGGAAGATTCAGTACGGAATTCCTTTGGAATGTCCAGTCGGTCGTTGAAATGTGTCCGAATAACCATAGCAATATCGACTTCGTATTTGTACAGGAGCGAGTTCAAATCCACCGTAGCGAGATTGGCGCAGACCTTCTCGAGACGGTAAGAGGTATCGTGACCTGACTCGCGGACTGCTCTATCATGCAAGAAATACTCGTCCAGTTCTGGTTCTTCGATCTTGCTATGGTTGTAGGCTTCGACAAAGTCCCTGAACTCCATGCCGTGCTTCTCCGCATAAGGAGTGAGAATGTGAGTGAAGTGACTCGGTTCGGTCTCTGGTGGCACCCCTTTTCCTTCCGGACGATACCTGGACAGACCGGTTGCTGGGTCAAATCGCGGTGCTGAGACCCATACACTGTAGTATTCCTTGATGGCAGCGAGAATTGCGTTGCGGAGAAACTCCTTAGCATCAGGCTCGGTCTTGATCCGGTCATATACACGGAGCGCCATATCGGTCAAGAACGGTGGTTGAGACCGAGAAAGGTAATAAGTGCGATTGGCGTTGAGAATCTTGCCATAATGCTTGATACAGAAACAAAAGTTGATCACCATCGCTTTGGCAAGATCGACTCTGTCGCTGACGATCAAACCCAAAGAAATCATATAGCTGTCCCAGCCATACAGTTCGTTGAATCTACCTCCCGGGACGACGAACGGCACTCCTATGAGATCTTCTTTCATGGCCGATTCGTTGTACTTCGGGTGCATGGCCAGCGCCAACAGCCCGGGCTTATCATTGAGATCCTTGACATACTCAGACGTGATATTCGAGTCAAGCAATTGCACGTCGAGTCGCAGTTCGGGATGGTCTTTGGCAATATTCCTGTAGTACTCCAACTGCGCCGGGGCACCCGGTGGAACGTAGATTCGAGGGCGCGGATCGTCAGTCCAATCCTTGGGATCACGACCGGCCTCTCCGATGTTGTGACCGTCGATCCGTCGTGTGAGGGCCTTCCAAAATGAGTTCTTGATGAGGCGAGAAAGCCGTGCAACCGGGTTCTCACTCAGACGTGCCTCATCCAAGATAATGTGTTTTCGGTCGTAGTCTTTGGCAATGGTCAGCTCTTGTAGGAGGTTGGAGAGCATGTATGTTCCTCGTAGGTCGAATCGATTATAACCGCCGGATGATGCAGTTCCAACCGCAAGCACCTGCTCAGTGTTAATGACTGTCCTACTTCAAAAAAGCTCTTCAATCCTGTATTACCTTCGGTCCAACATCCTCAATTGTTATTTGCATGTTCTTATCCGTGTCCTCTCTCTCCAATAGATCATGCAACGTCGCATCGACATCAATGAGGAATTTCCGAGGCTGGGCGGACGTCTCATCTATGTGAGAATACAAATTAGCATATAGCACCAGGGTGATTAGGCTGTATGACATATACATACCATGACTGCCTCTTCTTGCTGGAAAATGACCCAGGTAGCTGTCAATATCCTCACGGTTGAACGCTTTCAAGCTCTATTGTACATTAGCCAGCTGGAACTTTTATGCCTCCTCCCAAAGCTGCCTTACCGTTGAGAACGCACGCCTGCGGTCCTTGAACCTGTTGAGGACATTATCATCTCCATAGTACACATCCGCATCTGACAATGGATCGACAGAGCTAATCCGTCGGTGATGGTGGGGATGTGCTTGAGACGAACTCATTTTTTGAATTGTCGAAAGGAAAAAACCGAGAAATTCTGGTGATACAGTGACAAGCTAAGAAGCTAGCACTGGGAAAAGGGTTGCTTTGTTGTGTAGGACCAGTCAGAATTCTTTTTGGATGCGAATGTTTGCCAAACAATTGATATCGAGGACTCCTTCAATATAATATATGGCACGAAGAGAGGAATAAATAGCAACGAAGGTGTAGGAACAACGCAGAGACACAGAGCTGGCTTCCCGGAGAGATAACGCCCGCAAAACCCGTTGTCAATATCCCTTGTATATAGGAGCGGAGGATGGAAATAGAACAGAATAGAATGCTATTCAGTATCAGCTGATCAGAAGAAACACAGACAGTCTCAGAGATTCGGTGCGCAGGAACGTGAGGAATGAATGAATTGGAATGAATGAAAGAAAAAGCTGAACTCGGCGGCGGTGATGCTATGACGGCAACCCACCTATGATGTCGCCGCTCCACCACCGCCGCCGCCATCAAGATTTATCGGGATGTCTTTATTCGTGGTAGCTGATGTTATGTAGCGTTCTTACATATGATGATGATATATTATTATTATCGAATCTCTTACATATCGTTTTAAACAATTGCAAGTCGATTTTACAAAAGTAGCCAGCCTTAAAAGGGTACTCCGTGTTTTGGTCTAGATCGCATGGCCTAAAAATAGATGACATTCCAATATGAACACCGGGTGCTTACAGCTTAGAACCAACAAGAGTTCCACCATCCAATGTGATGGTTGCACCGTTCACAAATGCGCCGGCGCGGCTGCTCAGGAACAGGCACGATCCAGCAACATCTTGAGGAGTGCCAATCCGGCCCAATGGGATACCCGCTTCGATGGTCTCTCTGTAAGCCTCCAGTGTAGCAGCCATCATCTTGCTTTGGAATGGACCACAAGCTAGCGAGTTGGACCTATTGGGTAAAAGTAGGGTCAGCAATTTGAATACAGCCGGTAACACGGGAAACACGAACGTTATGTTTCTTTTGCCAAGGTGGTTGGCCAGCACCCGGCTCAGGTGGTGCAGGCCAGCTTTGCTAGCACTGTATGCGAAGGTCTCAAGTGCCGGAACTCTCAATCCATCAACGCTTCCGATGTTAATGATTCGGGCGGGGTCGCTAGGAGTGGCGGCCTTCTCCAACAACGGCGTAACGAGCTTTGTGATGTCGAAAACACGTTGAAGGTTCAACGTAAGGACCCTAGACCAGGCAGAAGATGGGTATTCATCGTACGGGGCACCCCAGTTTGAGCCGGAGTTGTTGACAAGGACGTGGAGCTCTAGGGAGACGGATCAAGTCAGTCGAGTTTGACCTCGCAAACGCCAACCATATTGCCAATAATCATGGAACTTACTGTTCTCTCGCTTCTTGAGCTCGTCAGCCAATCTCTGACATTCCTCCTCCTTGTAGAAATCTGCCGGGATGGCGTGTGCTTTGCCCTTTCCGAGTGCATTGAGCTCCTTTACCGCTTCGTCGCAAGACTTCGCATCACGAGACGAGATGTAGACAGTAGCGCCGTTGGCCACAAATCCTTCAGAGATCATGCGACCAATTCCCTTCGCACCACCGGTGACCAGCACCACCTTGCCCTGGTAATCGTCAGCTAACAATGAAAAAGAAGCATGGCGTCCGAATAACACGAACCTTGACATCAAAGAGACTCTGTGCGTCCATTGTAACAGTAGTATGGTTCTGAGTAAAACAGAGGGAAGAAACTTATGTTTCAAGAGCAAGCAAGAACAGTCAAGGAGGATGGAAATGATCCATTTTGTAGAAAGGCCCTTCTCCTCATGGTCCAGCTGCTTTTGGAGTAGCCGACCGAAAGCTCCGCAGATACCGAGGCTCAGGGGGCCAGGAACAAGAGATAATCCGGGGAAGGACGCTATTCTATTTTGGGACCTACCTAGGGCTGGTATGTCAGGGTTTTGCGGGGCAACTCTCCTGGCAATTCAACCGCCTGATGCCCATAACAACAATTCGCTCGTTTCGACGTCTCTCTTTTATCGCTAAACCTCCTTCTTTTTATTAACTTATACATATCGTTGACAAAATGGAGGAGTTATTGAGCAAGCACCGCAAAGAACAAAAAGACCTTCAAGCGCGCATCACGCAGAAGAAAAAGGCCGCCACCAAGAAAACCCGCAAAGGAATCAACGACGAATGCGACCGAAGTCAACAGGAACTCAATGAGAAACAACAGGCAGAAGTCGCACAATTGAACGGCGAGGATACTGCTGGAGTTGATGGGATTCAGGATCTCAGCATTGAAGACCCTGTTGACGGAGACCGAGAGAAGAATAACTCGAACGACACCCCCAAAGACACGGGCGCCTCCGATACCACTTCCTCTCCGACCCCTTCGCAAAAATCTGCCACGCATACAAAGAAGCCAAACCGACAAAAAGCCCGCCTTGCTCGACGTGCAGCGGAACAAGCGGCTCAGACAGAAATCGCGCATGAGGAGGCTGCTAAAGTAACCGATCACCGTGGAAACGAAAAAGAAGTCATGGATGATGTATTTAAGCGATTCAATCTCAAGGAGATTGAAGTAAATCCCGACGGACATTGCCTCTACTCCGCCATCGCCAGCCAGCTAGTCGAGTCAGGACTCGGGATGAAACCTGATCCGAAGAGGATTGCCCTTCAGTCTACCACAGAGTCGCGGGTTGAGACAGTCTCTTCGCCAAAACATGACGGCTATCGCGCCATTCGAGCAGTTACCGCCGATTACATTGCTGAGCACAAAGATGATTTCGAGCCGTTCATGGAGGAGCCTTTGGACCAGTATACTCGGAAGATAAAGCTTACGGCCGAATGGGGAGGACAGTTGGAACTTCTAGCTATTGCCAAAGCCTATGGTGTCGAGATCAATGTCATCCAAGGAGATGGCCGTATTGAGAAGATCGAGTCCGGGGATATGGAGAGCTTTGATGAGGAGGAGAGAAACAAGCGTGTCATTTGGCTGGCTTATTATCGACACACTTATGGTCTTGGAGAGCATTACAATGCGCTCACCAAACAAGCTTAATCACAACGCGAAGTGTGGCTATTCAATTCCTCGAACTGCCCCGATCTGGCTTCGGATGAGCGGCACAAGGAGGTATAGCTCCTGGAAATCATATGTTGAGCATGTGCGAAGCTAGATATCGACGTGATATCGCTACAGCGGGCCTGTGCTACAGTACGTTGCTTACACGCATTTCCTGCCAAAGTTGACAGGGTTGTCTTCTGTCTTCCTGCGCTTTGTGCGCCGCCGCAGTCTTGTGACGGTCTTGAGACTTGTGACCTCTATCTCTACAATCACTATGCCTATTCCCATATCAACATCGCCGTGAGACATGGGCGGGCTATATGTCTGGTATATATAGCAAGGGATAACACCCTGGTGGTAGCTGCTGACACCAGGAAATATTCTCTGTATCTTGGTCTGTTATACAGAATGGATATTTACATTGACATCAATTGGACATAGAACTGCATATAATTACAAAGTAACTGAAATGGAATCTGAAGGCCAAGGCTCTCCTATTCACCCAATTACTACTATCGAGAATCAAACGTTTCGAAAAATTGCTACACTCGGAAGGCCCCATCAGACTCCATATTAAAGCTTAGTCTCCGACCCGAAGCCCCGCTGGCCCCAACGGCGAAAATTCTCCATAAAGGCTTAAAGACAGGAAGGGAACATAGCATATTTGCTTGGTTTTGCAATATTCCGTACTGGTTCATTCGATTATGTATGTATGAGGCTCAGTAATAGTGATCTGCAAAATGCTCCGAGTACCATCAACCTCGGCTACCGAAAAGCTCCTTGACTTGCCAACGTTTAGGAAAAGAATCCACGGATGGAGCGGCACATGGGTTCCTGACAGATGATTGGCGCTAGGCCTGGCATCAAGCAATTTCGAGATCCATGCGAAGAGTCTTACTAAGGTTTCCGCAGTCTGAAACGCATTTCCGAACCATTCTTTTGTACCGAGTACGGGGTAGTGTTTGTGGAGAGAGGAGGGGTCAGCATTGCTAATCAATACAAAAATGGCGTTATTCCGCTGTCAGGGCTGTCAGGCACGATTATTTCTGTAGTTCGATGGTTTTGATATTGGATGACAGTCGGGGCTGAGGGGCACTTGCCTAAAAAAGCTCAAGTTCCAACAGTGGAGAGAACGTGACTGACGCCTTCCCTTTTCGGGTAGAGGCAAGAGAAAAGGACCTTCTTCTTAGATCCTGTTCGATTTTTTTTTTTTTTCTCTTTCTCTCTTTCTTCTCTTCTCGAATGAAATCTCCCATTCGCTTTTATCCTCTTTCCCCCTCTAATTGGCGTCCATTTTCATTAGAGTATATCGGCACATCTTCATACTTCTTCGTATATCGCCATTTTCGTCTGCAGAAAGACTTCGATTGCCTTACCGGTTGCTGGTTCATCCTATTCTTTCTTCACTCTATATCAATCCATTTAGCGTTCTGTTGCCGTTATCAGTTTTTCTTTTTATGAGCCAATCGATCACCAAAGCTGGTATACCGGAGCTGCGAGTATAGGAAATGGCTTCCGGTATGGACGAATCGAGACCACCCACTGCGGCACCGATCGACATCGAACAGCTACCGGCACGAGATGGGGATGAAGAAAAATCCGTGGGTCATGGTTCGCCGGCGGTCGAGGGCAAAGAGCACGACGACGAGTTGATTGATCCAGGTCCTACCGTGGTGCCGAGATTGCAACGTCGAGGGCTCTTTGGACAATTTACTCTGCTGGCAGAGGTCGAGAACCCCAAACTTTACCCTCGGAAGACCAAATGGTTCATCACGTTCATCGTTGCGGTGGCAGGTGCTACGGCTCCCATGGGAAGCTCCATATTCTTTCGTAAGTAGAGCCTTCCTTTGGCCGAGCTTGCTGTCGTTTTTTTGATTCTAACTCGATCGGTTAGCCTCTCTGGCCCGAGTGACGAAGGAAATGCATACCACAACCACCATTACCAATTTGTCCATCTCGTTGTACATGCTTAGCATGTCCATATTTCCGCTATGGTGGTCTTCGTTCAGTGAGAGACTTGGGCGACGGACAATTTACATCGTTTCATTCTGTCTCTTCGTTGTTTTCAACGTCCTTTGCGCCATCTCTCACAACATTGTGATGCTCATCGTCATGCGAATGCTCAGTGGTGGCGCCTCAGCATCAGTCCAAGCAGTCGGCGCAGGAACGATCGCTGATCTTTGGGACACGCATGAAAGAGGTCGAGCAATGACTACTTTCTATCTTGGTCCGTTGTGCGGTCCCTTGATTGCTCCCATTGTCGGTGGTGCCTTGGCACAACGGTGGAATTGGAGAAGTACGCTATGGTTCCTTGCCGCTTACGGTGGCTTGGTCGCTGCGTTTATTTTCCTTGCACTGCCTGAGACGTTAGCAAAGCGAAAAGCTCCGGCCATGGTCGAGAACATTGAGCAGTCAGTGCCAATGGAACGCCGGTTGAGCCGAGCTTCTTCCAGACAGGTTGTTCAATTCACGACAAAGTGGCTGAAGATGTTGAAAATGGTGTTCTTGGATCCACTGAAGATTGTTCTTTACTTACGATACCCCCCGGTTCTCTTGACAGTGTACTATGCGAGCATCACATTTGGGTCTCTCTATGTGTTGAACGTCAGCATCGAGCACACGTTTGGATATGCCCCTTACGAATTCCCTACGATTATTGTCGGTCTTCTCTACATTCCTAACTCGCTTGGCTATGTCGTCGCGAGTACATTTTCAGGACGGTGGATGGACAGCATCATGCAACGCGAGGCCAGAAAGGCCAATCGATATGACGAGAACGGCAAGTTGATTTATCGGCCCGAAGATCGTATGCGCGAAAATGCCTGGCTCGGTGCTCTCATCTATCCTGCCGGCTTGATCTGGTATGGATGGACCGCTGGCAAGGGTGTCTTCTGGCTTGCTCCAGTAGGTTGAAAGCATTGGTGGATCTTCAAGAGAGTCTTGCTTGCTAACTTGGGGTGCGTGTAATAGATGATTGCCAATTTCTTCTTCGGTGTCGGGTCCATGATTATCTTCGGCATGGCAACCACGATGTTGACGGAGTTTATGCCACAGAACGCGTCTGCGGGCGTTGCGCTAAACAATTTCATGCGGAACATCTTTTCGTGCGTCGGATCCTTGGTCACTGCACCGATCATAGATGCCATCGGCAACGGCTGGCTCTTTACGATCCTGGGCCTGGTTGCATTTGCCAGCAGTTCAACCCTCTTCACCATGAGAGTCTTTGGTCCCCGCTGGAGAAAGTCTATGGATGCTCTCACGCAATGAGTTTTCCTGTCCTTGTACAATTGTCGTGGGAACCTTATTGTGGTACCGATTCGACCTTTCTTGGATGGATTTTAGTGATTGGTTTAGACTGGGATGAGTATCAGACGGTCGAAAAAGCGATGCAAATAAATCCAAACAGAAAAAGAAAAGGAACGACCACGAGCTAACGAATATCATGTTGCGCATAGCGGTCATGCCGGTTACTGTCATTTCTGTTAGCGTTTTGGGCGGCGTTTTCCTTGTTTTTTTGTCTGCATATCATCTTGGGCGCTATTCGGGTTTCGTTGCATGCTTTATGATCAATTGAAAAAGCAGGTGCCGGTGGCGATTTGAACCATCGAGGTAATGTCATTGAGCGTTTAGTTTTCGGTTGTCTGCAGGTTTTGGCATGTGGCTTGAGGATACCCAACGCGATGAGCTGGTTATTTTTAGTTATAATAATGCAAAATGAATGAGACTAGTTTGCCGAGGTAGTCTGGCATATGAAGACATGGACATGGATCTCCCTAGTCGTAAGCTGATCGATATTCGATCATTCAGCATGAAATGAAGATGACGATATTGGTGAGAATTGGTACGCATGGATTGGGCCTCTATAGATCTGAACCCTCAGCCACCATTCGCCAGAATTATAGCTTGGTACGGTCTTGACAGCCTTCCTTTCTCTTCCATTGCCTTCTTGGGATACCATGAAGTTGGTTGACAGACGACGTGTCGTGTATGGTGGCAAGATAGAGATATGTGGGATGAACCAAGATCGCCCTATAGCAGCTCTGTTAATTATTTTGGGTTGAACTCTTGCGGAGATGTACATAGCACTGCATAGTGTGCGTCGTCCAAACGGAATTCAGAAATGAACTGAGGCCACGAATAGGAGTTGGCATGCGGGATACCGGCACATGCATTGTACCAGAAACCGCACTACGAAAGTACTACTGCAGAGCATCATTGATATATCTTCGACATTGTAGATCGGGATGGTCTTTTGAGCCCTGTATTCTATGCTTGTATTCTGGATGATATGTACTTAGCTGTGGCGATGGGCCCAAAAGGGTCAATGTAGATCACGTGGTACTCCACTCACCGCCTCATTCTGTCGTTTTCGCTTCATCGTCTCTTCCATTCACGTACAGAGTAGACACCCTTCGTTCTACTTGACCTCTCGTCATTATGGCTGCCATCTATACACAATTACAGATGCACAGAATTGGCAATTTACTCGTACTATGATTGCGCCACTGACACCTAAGCTGCAGACGGATCTTGCTTCGAGGGACAAGTCATACACGACCAGGTTACCGTCTCAAGATGGATCAAGATGAGATGAGACGATGAAACCAAAGAAAGACGGACACGCTCTCTCCAGTTCCAGTGATCTGCTCGTCAATTGACCTGACCCATTGCTGCTAACTGACCGGGATTCCATAGTTGCTGAATTGTCCATCAAGACGGTTCCATCGCAAGTGGAGCTGCATTACAATTAAGTACGGTACTGGCGAGTCAGGATACACGCCTCGTGGTTAATATTGCTCGTTATTCCCTACAATTGGGTGGGAATATTGACGACGGATTATTGTCGCACTGTTTTCTCCATGGCTGCTTTTACCGCTGCTGCCCACTGCGCCGGCATTGGGCAGAAATTCCCAATTCCCCATGTCTGACAGTTTCCGGGTCTCCGCTCTTCGATAGCTGGATACCAACCTCCCGATTTACTCAATCCCGATTGCTTTGATCTGTGTTTTCCCATTGCTGGATCTGCGAGACATGCCTCATTTGTTTCTCGCTTGTAATCAACCAGCTTACGTTCTGTGCTACCTTATCCAGCAACACACAGCATCCTCTGTACTCGGAAAGTACTCCGTGCATGCAAAAACAGCAAAAATTACGGATCAGTGGCACTCCCCCACTCTCCGGCGTACGCTATCCTGCTTTGAGTTTCAATGCTGTCCGCCGGTGGCCACTGCTTGCTCGGACTATCAGCGCACTGCATATCGTCTTGCAGATGGACTAGTCGTTTTGTTCTCGTCGCGACCCTATTGAAACACCCCCGGAGGTGCGTATCAGGGTTAAAACTCCCTCAATTGTTTAATTCCGTGAGACGTGGCCCAATGGTTGCAAATCCCGTTGGGCAGTTCGTTTATGACGGCCCGGGATTGCAGTTCTCCTCCCAGAGCTCACTGCAGCTCCGGCCCCGTCATGGGTCCCATTCGACTGGGTAACTGACAAACGACGATACGTCGCCTCGCGTTTGGCCTTTTAAGCGGAAAGCTCCACTTAGTTGGCGGAGAGATGGATGCCCGTTACTTCTTTCCTTTCGGTCCTCTTATACATGAATCGTCTGCGACCTTCTTTTTGGCTTTCTTTAATTGCACTCTTATTCCTCGTCTCACTTTTTTGCCACCCATTTCCTTATAATTTTTAATATCGGGCTCCGTCCCAATTCCCTGCCTAGCGCTGGGCAAACATTCCTTCATTTTTCTTTTTTTGGTCTATAGTCTCTCATTAGTTCCCTCTCTTCCAATTACTTGAAGTAGAGGTGCCTCGTGGTTTAATGCTACGTCATTAATCAAATCGAGGACATGGCCAAAGGTGGAAAGAAAAGCAATAGGAAGAAGAGTATCAATAATAAACAACCACCCCCGGTAATCAACGACGACAACCTACCTGTCTCTGAACCTATACCTGCAGAGCCCGCCTCCGACGAGAAGGCAGTTGCGGAAGATGGGGTCCTCGGTCCAGTATGCACAACTTCCCAAGTTTGAATATCAAAAAGTCGCGAGTCATTATCAAACCTTCGATCGTCGTACTTTAAAATCCGCATTATATCCTGTCAATTCTACCGTTTCTCGTACGACTCGTCTGACTCCAAACAAGGACCAGGGCGATGGCGATGAACCTAATGAGGCGGAAAGTGCCCCGGCAGGAGATGACGCTGCCGCGCCGGATGCTGGTAGGTCACATCTTTTCCCTTTCGATTGTCGTCCTGTCGTGACTGGTACTCAATGTGTTTACAGAAGCAGCCGAAGATGCGGCGCCACCTGAGGAATCAGCAGAACCAGCCGACGAAGAGGTAAAGTCCGAGGAAGAAGCTACACCCGAGGAAGAGGCGAAACCCGAAGGCGAAAACGAAGCCCAACCTGATGAAGCAGCACCCGAGGCAGAAGAAGCAACTGCGGTTGATGGTGACGACGCACCAGCTTCAGAGGAAGGTGTCCCCGAAGAGAACCAAGAGGAACAACCTGCAGAAGAAGCTCCTGAAGAAGCGGAACCGACACCAGAAGAGCCTGGTGAGGATGCACCACCAGCGGCAGATGAAGCTCCCGCAGAAGAAAATCAAGGAAAAGATGATGGTATGTCATGATCACATCTTGATGTTGAATTCAGCTAATTGTTCGCAGGGGAAGGCGACGCCGCAGAAGCTGAACCCGAAGCAACCGAAGAGGCTAGCGCAGAAGAACCCGCTGCTGAACCTGCGGATCCTCCTGCTGAAGACGAGCCAGCCGTCGACGAAACCGCCCCTGCAGATGACGATGCCGCTGCACCTGAAGAACCCGCCGCTGAAGAGCCTGTAGCCGAAGCTGAGGCTGAGGTTGAAAGCCCACTGGAAGGCGAAAACGAGGAGGCACCAGCAGACAACGAAAGGCCTGAAGAAACACCAGCTGAGCAATCAGAAGGCGATCAAGAAGGCACAAAAGAACAGGAACCAGCACCAGAAGAACCCGCCGAAGCAGAAGACGCTCCACCAGAGGAGCCCGCTGCTGATCCGGAACCTGCTGGCGACGAAGCTGAAGCTGCTGCGGACGAAAGTACAGTCGAGGAGGCGCCTGAAGAGCCCCCAGCTGAAGAGCCACTGGTAGAAGAACCAGCTGCCGAAGAAAGCCCCGAAGAGCCTCCAGCTGAAGAAGCCCCAGCACCAGCAGAGGAAGCGGAACCAGCGGCAGACGAAACAGCTGAAGAGGAGACATCAGAGGAATCTGCTGATGAATCTGGTGAGGAGGAGCCAGCGGGTGAACCCGCCGAGGAAAACGCTGAAGAAACACCCGCCGAACCATCGCCTCCCGAAGAAGAATCAGCTGCAACTGAGGAACCTGCTGAGGAACAACCTGCTGAGGAGAAAGAGGCCCCAGCTGAAGAGGCTCCTGAGGAAGAACCTGTCGAAGAAGCTGCAGCTGTCGATGAACCTCCCACTGAGGAACCTGCTGAAGAAGAATCCGCTGAAGGGTCCGCTGCTGAGGACCCATCCGCCGAAGAACCTGCTCCCACTGATGAACCTTCTGCTGAAGAGGAGGCTTCAAAAGAAGTTCCAGCCGAGGAGGCTCCAGCCGAAGAACCCGCCTTTGAAGA